TAGGCCTTGTACAAAAGGATATTAGAAAACTACTAAGCTAGCTACAAGGCAAGGTGCGACTAAATACATAAGGGAATAGGGGTAACTGCGGGGGGCTGGGTCAAGTCATGGTCGGGGCTGATACGGGGACCCTTCGGATAGGATCTGAGCGACCTGAGATGGAACGATTTGTAGAATTGTTACAATTTACATGCCTTTTTACTTATTATACTTTTTATAGCCACTTAATATAAGTTGTTTTGCTTCTTTAAAAAAGGTGTATAGTGTAACAGCACAGGCAAGACAATAGGTCTAAATGCAGTAGGAATCTACTTAGTGTAAGGCCGGGATGGCGCTTACGTGTAAGGCCGAGATGGTGCTTACGTGCGACAGGTATATATACTATTCTGTACGCAATAATTAACATTAGTTAATTATTTACACTTTTTTAGTTGTATTAGCGTAGTAGTACAAAGCTCTGCCCTTACATAATAATTAACTAATAATAAGAACAGTTGCGCGTTTAACCTACACCTTAGACAGCTTTGCTAGTTTTTAGACTAAAACGTAAGGCAGCCTCTTCTAGCGCCACGTTGTAGCTGCTAGGAGGTCTAGTGTGTATAGCTTAGCTGGCGTGGCCACTAAGCGTTGCGTTGTGTTTATCCCGCGCCTCTGGGCCGCAGGTGGTCAGCCTCTGGCCGGTAACCGAGACATGCGCATAGGCGCCTCTAAGCTGCGGGTAGGTCATGTAACGCCTAGGACATGCGTCTGCTAAGAAGGGGGATAATGTAAGGCTAGGATGGCGCTTACGTGTAAGGCCGAGATGGTGCTTATGTGCGACAGGTATATATACTATTCTGTACGCAATAATTAACGTTAGTTAATTATTCGCACCTTTTTAGTTGTATTGGCGTAGTGGTACAGAGCTCCGCCCTTACACTTAGAGGCATATAGAAGTGCGTGAGGACTTAGAACCTAGGAATTTCTATTAACACCTATAGGCCTTGTACAAAGGATATTAGAAAACTACTAAGCTAGCTAAGAGAAGAGGTGTAACTAAATACTTAGAGGAATAGAAGTAACTGCAGAGAACAGAGTTAAGTTATAGTTAGAGCTAATACAGGGACCCTTTAGATAGGTTCTAAGTGTAACAATTCTTGTTCTATCTCAGGTTGCCTAGAACCTATCTAAAGGGTCCCTGTATCAGCCTCAACCCTAACTTAACCTAGCCCTAACTCTGCCCTGCCCCCTGCTGTTACCTCTATTCTCCTATGTATTTAGTTGCACCTTGCCTCTGTAGCTAGCTTAGTAGTTTTCTAATATCCTTTTATACAAGGCCTATAGGTGTTAATAACATTCCTAGGTTTAGAGTCCCCACGCACTTCTATATGCCTCTAAGTGGATTCCTACTGCATTTAAACCTATTGTCTTGCCTGTGCTGTTACACTAAGCAACCTAAGATAGAACAATTTGTAAGAATTGTTACATATAGGTGCTAAGCTAAAAACCTTATATGTAACTAGATTACCTATATTATAAAAATAAAGTTTTTACTATGCTTTAAAGTAGCTTATAATGCTATAATTACTTCTAGTAATATCTAAGAAAAGTTGTAAAGCGCTAGATTAGTTCTTTTTAACTTATAATAAGTTATAATAGACTTTAATATAAAGTTATGCACTTTATTACTACTAATACCTATACATAATAAGCCTTAGCAGTTGTAAACTTTAAGTAATACTCTAAAACTTAGGTTATAATTAATGCTTATAAAAATAAAAATTTAAAAGCATATAAATAGTTTACTAACTTCTATAGTTAAGGTGTTTAAAAAAGTTTTTAAAAAGGCAGTAATAATTACATATAAGCTAGTATTAGTGTAATAGAAAATTACTAAGCTTTAAGTAGCTAATAAGGCTACTATATAATATAAATTACATAAAAAAGTAGATTAAAGTAAAAAAAACCTTAATAATTTAAAAAGGCCTATACTTAACAGCTCTAAAAAAGTTTACAGCGTGTAGTAATAGAAAGAAGGTAAAGAAGCAGGTGTAAGCTAAAGTAGGTAAGCTATTCTAAAGGCGCTGCAAATAGTGCAATTAGACTAGGCATAACGCGCAAATGTGTAAGCAAGAAGCAGAAGTAGTATCTAAATAATATTCTAGGCTGTACTGTACTATATAGTGCTAGAGCAGGTTGTTATAGGCTATAATAGAGTTTATTAGAGTGTAGTCTTAGCAAAAGTAAGCAACTTAGGTGTGTAAGCAACTCGCTTGTAAAGTACGTTAGTATACATTATTTTTTATAGCATGTAGAGTGTTTATAATTAGTTTTAATTACAACTTAAAACACCTTTTCTAGGTATATAGCTTTAAAAGTAAGATATAGAATACTAAATAAACTTCTTTTAGATTAGGTAGGTCTACTTTATACGCCTCTATACTAATCTAGCTTATAACTTTTTTAGTTTTAAGAACTTCTAGTCTAACTTTTTTTTAGCCTTATTAATTTTATATGTTTATTAAAGACTAATACCTTATTTTTTACTTATAGCTATATATGCTTTTATTATTTATTTATATACTTCTTTTAATATACATTTATAGTAATAATTTTCTTATAGCATTTTAACTATAGAGCAAGTGCTTTTACAGTAACTCTGTTTACTATGTGCAATTCCCTCTAACTTAAGAGTTCTCTAGGCTAATCTAGCCTTCTTAGGTTTGCTCTGTAGTATGCTTAAAAAAAGTAACTTTTATAGTTACATATACACTATTATTATACATAAATTTTACTATTAGTAACTACATTACCTAATTATCTTATTTTAGGTAATAGTAATATTTAAGGTACTATTCTAGAGTTTAGTTTTGTCTTTTAGTCTGCCTATTAGTTTTAGAATAGTAAGCTAATAAGAAAAATTTTTTATGTGCTAAAATAGTAATAAAAACTATCTTAGTACTTTAAGTTTATTATTAGTTTTTAATGAAAAATAATGTTCTTTAAAACTTTATAAAAGTAAATAACTTTTTTTAACTAAACTTTTACTAGGTTTAAAGCCTTCTAATTAGCTTTAGCTAGCACATAGTAGGCTATCTTAGTAAGATAGTCTACTATTATAAGGATTACATTATATACTAACTCTAAGTATTTATAAGAGAGCAGCTGCGTTATAAAATCTATTGTAACATCCTACTAAAGCCTATTAGGTAGTAGTAAAAAGTAAAAAAGCCTATATAGGCAGTGTTATAAAGCTACTAATTGTAACGGCGCAGGCAAGACAATAGGTCTGAATGCGGTGGGAATCCACTCAGAGGCATATGGGAGTGCGTAGGGACTCTGAACCTGGGAATGCCATTAACACCTATAGGCCTTGTATAAAAGGATATTAGAAAACTACTAAGCTAGCTATAGAGGCAAGGGGCAACTAAATACATAAGGGAATAGGGGTAACAGCAGGGGACTGGGTCGAGTCATAGTCGGGGCCGATACAGGGACCCTTTGGATAGGATCCGAGCGACCCGAGATGGAACGATTCGTAGAATCGTTACACTAATTGTTTACCTCTTAAGTAGTTATTATAGTACACTTTTATGTCTTTTTTAAGCTTTTTTAAGTTATATTAATATATAATCTTTTTAAGCGTCTTCTTTACACTAAAGTAGCCTACTAATAGGCTATTATAGCACTCTTAGAACGCTTCTGCCTTCTCTTAGTCTATTATTAAGGTTTTTCTTCTTATATTAGCTATAGCATATTATTCTAGCCTATTCTAGAGATAAGTGTTTTTATTAAGGTTCTTTTTATTTTTTATTTACTCTTAGTGTCTAATAAGTCTCTTTTATTATAGTTTTCTTTAATACCTAATATAAAATCTTTATTATTGTCTTTCTCTAGTTCTTTACTTATAGCTCTTTTAGAATCTAGCTGTTTTAGCCTTTATTTTTTTAAAATAGTTTTTAGCTAAGCCTAAAGAATTTTAAGAACATATAATAGCTATAACTATTAATTTCTTTTTATAATTTTATTAATTTAAAAGGTTGCGCATGTTTATTACATATGCTATATTTCTCTTTTAGGAAGGCTATTATTGTAACGACTCTCATGAATCGTTCCATCTCAGGCGTCCCAGAACCTCTGGAAGGCCCCCGTATCGGCCCCGACCCCGACCTGGCTCTAACCCCTGCTGTTACCCCTATTCCCTTATGTATTTAGTCGCACCTTGCCCCTGTAGCTAGCTTAGTAGTTTTCTAATATCCTCTGTACAAGGCCTATAGGTGTTAATGGCATTCCCAGGTTCTGAGTCCCCACGCACTCCCATATGCCTCTGAGTGGATTCCCACCGTATTCGGACCCATTGTCTTGCCTGCGCCGTTACAAGGATAGTATTGATAGACGAATCCTTGAGGAGACTCAGGGGTTCGTGAGAGGATATATATATATGTGCTGGGGCACGTGACGGGACGTCATGTGCCCAAGGCTGGGCCGAGGGCTCTCCGGGGAGAGTCCGAGGCATGTCCAAGTTGACCGTGACATAGGCATTACTTACATCCTCTATGTACAGCGTTAACTTTAAACAGCTGCCGCGCTTTGTAGGACGCTCTAGCTGCCTGGGGCGCCTAAGATGGAGTCTCCAGCAACGCAGCGTACGCTCGGATACCCTTGTAAGGACCTGGATCTCCTTATTGCAGTTCCCTGTCTTAATATAGCGTTTTGCAGCTGTCCAGGTGGCCTCTAAGTACTGTACGTTGACCATTAAGGGCAGAAAAAAGCGTAATTTTAAACTTTAGCTAGTGCCCACTCAGGGCGAACTGCAACACTAAAAATCAGCTTTAAAAACGATCAAAAACGCGTTGTTGGGGATCAAAATGAGGGAAAATGTATATTGCTAACACATTTAGGTGAGCTCGGCATGTTTGGCCACATCCATGGCCGCATTGGCCAACTCGCTCGCCGCTAACAATAGCACACTCGGACCATCCCACCACTCCAACTCCGCTGCCATTGCGCAGTAACCGCAAATGAGAATGCTGCTTGGGCTTTCTGAATCTCTTCCCAGCCTCGTGGAGGCCAAGTTCAATGCGGCCAAAGCAGCCCAGAGCCTGATATTCTCGCCTACCGAGCTTGCCATTATCCGCACGTCAACTGGAATCCCGGTAAGTATTCAAATCGCATAGTTGAGCCCCTTCGTACGCTCCCATTAACATGATCTTAGTTCCAGCTACGATATTGCCCAGCGCTCGCAAAGAAACCCGTACCGGGTAAAGACGATGCATCCGCTCCAAAGAAGAAACCTGACCCTTTTCACAATCCGTCGGCAGACCTGCTAATTGCCGATATCCCAACCCTGAACCCAAGCCATCTACTGGTCCTTAATAAGTTTCCAGTCATCCGTGATCACTTCATCCTCGCCACGAAGACCAACAAGGAGCAGACACATGTTCTCGAGCAAGATGACCTGGAGGCAACGTATGCGTGTTTGAAAGCATGGCAAAATAACATGGAACAAGGCCACCAGAAGCGGCTGTTTGCCTTCTTCAATTCTGGAGAGCACAGTGGTGCCAGTCAGCCCCATAGGCATCTTCAGTTCCTACCAGTTGAGTGTATGAAGGAAGGCAAACAGTCCAAGGGCTGGGATTTGCTGATCGACATTATCTCATCGCAATCTGACACAAGTCTGAAGCATGGTGTAGGCTGGCCTTCTGGACTCTTGCAGCATCCTGCCATCCCTTTCGCTCACTTCGCTTTGCGGTTGCCCTCAGAGCCAAGTGGGCCCCAGCTGCTTCTGGCCTACGATCAACTTTACCAGTCTGCAAAGAAAGCGGTCGAGGAGTACATAGAGACTAATCCAAGTACACTTGCCCTCCATCCTATAGAAGAGGGTTCCCTGCCTATTAGCTACAATATGGCAATGACAACCACAGCCATAGCTATCTGTCCGCGCCGAAGCGAAGGGCATACGCTGAGACACGATGATGGATCAGAGATTGGCCTCATTGCCTTAAACGGCACCACTCTTGGAGGAACCTTGATGGTAAAAAACCAAGAAGAATGGGATGTTCTTCGGACACAGTCGGGTCGTCTCGATTCAATTCTTGAGGCTATCGGCATCCCAAAAGAAGTACACCCACCGACACTCCATTCCAGAGTTTGATCTTGCAAGCAAGTCAACTACTTACCTAAGTTGTTCATATAAATATTGACGCAATTTAAATGAGTGGAATTGACTACGCTTCACTTTTTGGATTCTGATGTCTGCATCCTGCAAGATGCACGTTTTGGACCGAGCTGCACTATCACGTGATGAGGCCGCGTCAACCCCAGCCTTGCAACTTTCGCGTGCATACTTAGTTCACACAGAAGGCCAGAATATTAGAACGGGAGCATAGGAGCAATTTATGGGGCTTAAATGTTAGTTACTTTTCGTTTACTGTCCAATCCCCGACTAGCACTTAAGCAAACCTTTAGTTTAAGGGCATTACCACCGGAATGCCGCCAAACACACGAAGTAGGTCCCGGATATTCGGCTTCTTTAGCCTCCCAAAAGAAATCCGACTCATGATCTACGAACACCTTCCTGAATCCATCATCCATCAATTCGTATCCGAGAATTGCATAATTGAAGTCTCAGACAAAGTCTGCCCACCTGCCATCCTCCGCACATGTCGACTCATCCACGCAGAAGCTAAGGGCCTCATCTTCAACCTCCTGCACCACAACGGCGCAAGAATTTGCATTACGTTCACCGGCCTGGACATCGACAATCTCTTCCTCCTCTGCGACAAGCTGCAACCAAGTCGGCCCAAGGAACGAAAGCATTTCCAGCAAGGTCGTAATCTACCACCCTTGCACTCCTCCAACGCACCCTTCGATTTCCAACTTTTCGAACTGCGGAGTTTCATGCGCACGCCTAAAGATCACGAGGTCCACGTCAACTGGTTTCCATGCAATCGGGCTAACTTATCTGAGAGAAGGTATCTAGTGAGATTTATCAAGGACTTGGGGAAGTTGTATTGTGTGCTGTGGAATTATGCGTATACGGCTAGTGTCTGGGATACTGAAGCTGAAGCTTTCATCCCACTTTTGGATTTCCTCCAGCAGCCTATTGTAGGTTGTAGTCGTGAGTTTCAGGCGCATTTGAGGGCAGATGGGTTTGTGACGTGGAAGGACATTTTTATGAGACCGCGTGGGCGGAGTGCGACGAGCACGTGGTTGCGTCTTATGTGAAAAGGGGAGACAGGTATTTGGAGGAGGATTGATATGTTCGCATTAAGTAATGACACTAAGGGTACATAATATCCATTCCCTAGTACCCTTGGTCAATACTGCTCTGTCTATTTGTCTAAATCTCATCTTTCCCTACTTCTCTAGCCTGGGCCAAAACACACAGCCCTATCCAAAAAGATCACCATCCCTACCACTTTACCCACTCCTAAGAACCCCACTCCCACCCCCGAAAAGACAAAAAAAAAAACCAAAAAGAAACTCCACACATACCAGAGAGAGTCCAGATACACCGTAAGGTTTTCTGTTGTTCAGCTTGAAACTCTATACTCAAATCAAGCCTACTCGAACCCTAGGTGTAGTATGCGTCAGCTAGGTACTAGTCAAGTATAGATTGACTTTTTCCCCCGCTAGACTACTAAGAGTGAGCTATTATGAAAGAAAAGAAACTTTCAAGGATTTATATATTGATAGAGATAACTAGTAAAAATATTATTTGTTCCTAGGCTAGAGGGGAGTGTCTGTTGGAAGTGAAAGGTGGGTGCTTGGGCCAAGTGACTTGGTAGATAGAGAGAGATGAAAGGGTTCTTCGTTTCTCTGTTTTGGCGGTGTGGTTCGCGATTTGTGAGCGTAATTTATGTACGTGCGTTTCAGGGAATACTATATCTACGACATGCAGAAAGGAGAACGACGGTTAAGATGTATTCTTACTGTGCGAGCTTAAATGAAGCCTCGCTATAATTGTAATAGGCCGGCCTCTCTTATGCAGGATATTTTGCCATCAGGAAAGGTTAAGCAACATCATCCTTGAATTCCATCCCAACCATCAAAGCGTACTCAATCAACACACAATTCGACAGCCAATTCGCTGGATACATAAGCTAGACGCAGTCAGATACATGATAGCTTCTATAGTTTATCCAAATATGCCATATCAACACACAGACACTACTTCACCCCACAAGCCTGCAACCTGATGCTATTGCTGTCTAAGCATCCTTAACCTCGACCTCATCATCTTCCCTTGGGCGGTCTGACACCAAAATCGATAACCAATGCCGCAATCTACTGGAACCTCAAGACCTTTGTAATGCCACCTCCGCTTCTGCCAATTCTCCTGATCTAACTGTTCTAGAAGAAGCTCCAGTGCATCGACCTCCGCCCCCTCCTCTTCTCTCTGCCAGCCCGTGCTCTTCGCAACGGCGATGTAACGCAGCCTGCCTAGAAACCGTTGATCCATTAACTCGAAAAGATCGACCGGCATGAAGCTCGTTTGTCCATCAACATCTCTTGACCCGCTCGTGACTAGTGTCAAGCTCTCTAGCGGCTTGGCGTGCTCCCACATATCTGGCGAGAACCCCTGCGGCATGCTCCCGAAATTGACGTCGATGTAATCGATTGCAATGGTCAAGGATTTCAAGTCCGGAACCCATTCCATCACATTATTCAGCCTGCCCTGTTTGACGTATGGGAGATCGCGCAGTTCTACATGGAGTAATTTGTTGGAGAGATTTCGAAGCAAGTTCTGCACGTCAGCAGCGCCAAGTCTAGGGCAATGAGATATCGATAGGGACGTCATGGTTGGCGGGAAGCTATTCGGCTGCCGGTTGATATCGCCCAGAAACTTCTCATGAACATGGCCGGAGAGTTGGAGGTGGCGGAGCATGGGGGGCCATTTCACGTTCATGGACATGGACCCGCCGTCATAGCCGTTCGAGCAGCGGGGGAGGTATATTTCGGTAAGCTCCGGCAGCTGCCGCACGGTTTGGTTGAGCGCTTGATACGAAATGCACTCGGACACGAGAGTCAAGTTGAGGATCTGAAGTTTCGTGCATTTCGACAAGGCAGCCCAGCAGTTGATCGCGAACGAAGCCTGCGGTGCAATGAAGACCTCCAAATTGTTCTTCGTCCGTCCTAGCAGTCTTGCCGTGATGGCCTTGTTGCCCTGATGGACAATGTGAGACAGATCGAGCATCTTAACCAGCCCCGCCAGCTCACTCTTCCGTATGTGTGCGTTAATCGATGGACAGATCGTTCGAACGAAAAGCTCGAAGTGCTTTCCTTCAAGGTAGGGTGAATCGTAGAGCCGGCGGATTCCTACATCGTACCACTGCCTGAACTTATTAAAATTTTCTACGTCGAGGCCGCCATCTTATTTGCAGAATTCTCACCTAGATACAAGACAGAAAGAGGCAAGAGTCGACTGGGACTGCGCTCCTCGCGGCATGTACGACAGAATTTCGAGGAGAAGTTCATCAGGAAGGTGCATGAAGGGCTTAACTGATTGCGGGGAGGTTGATAGTGATTTGGGAGATGACTTGCTACCAATTATGGGCACAATGTAGGTAGAAACATCCATGCTTAGTGGGTTCGTGGTTGGTGCCAACCTTGGGATTATTGTTTGGAGGCGTCGGTGGCTTTGCACGTGTTGGACCTCGGGAAAGTGACGCACTTCCTCTAATTCTTGGCGTTGCCTTAAGTCCGCCAAATGCCGAGCTTCTCTATGCCTTAGCAAGCTCCTTCCCTTGCCACTCTTCTCCATCTCCATCTCGTCGCGCATTTTCATACTAGCTACAAGGTCAAGATATGAAATGTATTGAATCAGTTAATCGCTAAAGAGGCAATGCGAGCAATGCCAAAGTTACTTCGGTATTCAGGCTATGTTTCTTCACTAGGGGTCCACAAATTACTCTCACTCATTTAAATTCTCAGTGGTTCCCTCAGAGGACGTAAACATTGCATTTGCTAAATGGCTCGCTCCCGGCACAATTGCACCAACATTCCAGCTTCATCTCCACTTCTTGCTCCTCGCCACTCTCTAACCAGCATGGAGCTTCGATTCAGACATGTCCAAGCGGTGTTCGATGTCCTCGGCCTGAGCACGAGTGCCAATATGACCCGTCGGAAGCATGTTGAGGTGATCCTCCTCCTTGTCGAGCTTTCGATACTGGAACCAGAAGATGCAGCCGCCAATGAAGCTAATTACAGCCATGGAGCCATAATTCCAGACGAGGAGTGGGTCCAATAACAGTGGAACAAAGGCCTCACCAAGCGCAGCGGATAGGGCGCTCTGGAAAAGACAGAAAGCCTGGACGAGGGAACGCATGTTCTTAGGTGCCTTGGTGTAAGCATACTCAAGCGACGTGACGGAGGCCAGGATCTCAGAGAACGCGATCAAGACGTAGCAACCAGTCTGAGCCCAGACGTTGATCGGAGACGTGCAACCATCGTCGCTAGCATGGTAGCCACAGGGGGATGTCTTGTAGATGTAGTGCTGGAGAACTGCAGCCCAAACCATCGCCGCGCTACCGAGGAAGAATCCGGCCGTGATTTTCTTGATGGGCGTGAACTTGATCCCACGCTTACGGAGCATTGGGTAGACAACGAGATCCATCAACGGCACAAAGATCATGATGGCGAAGGGGTCGAGGTTGTTAAGCACATCATTCGGCACCCCATGGAGGGACATGGTGTTCGCTTGCGAGGTCAAGTTTCCATTGATTTGGTTATAGGTGAGCCAGTACAACTGCGATTACGTAAGCAGGAGGACATTCTGAGTTGCTTCAGGTACGTACCGGATACCACAAGAAGACACTGCAGGCTGCCCAGCCACGAGCGACCTCATCCACCCAAGCGTCGTCGAAGTTCATCCACGATGGCCTAGAAGCTCCCAAATGAGAAGGCTGTGGAGAAATTGTCAGCTAAAACTTTCCACTGCTTGAGATGAGTTGCACGTACCTTGACGTTCTCCCAGAAAGTGCCGTCATTCCAATGCCTCCAGGTGGCCAATGGATTCAAATGCCAACGTCCCTTCAAGGCCAACCAAAACAGCTTGCAAGCAGGAGCCAATACACTACCCTCCGGTGGTCGCAAGATGTACCGCTTCCTGCAGAAAGCCAAAACCGGGAAGCAGGTTAGGAAAAAGAGAGTTGGGATGAGATAGGCTAGGTAGAAGCCAACATAACGTTCAGCATACACCATACCGAGCTGACCAATCAAGGCACCGACATTGATGAAAAGGTAGAACCAATTGTAAATTCGGGTCGTGGTGACGGCCGGGTCTACAATGACTCGTTCTCCCTTCTTAGTGGTCTTGACGTGCATGGCCTGACGGGGTATCTGTTCAACAATGAGGGGCGAGATGTTTGGTTTGAAACAACCAGTGCCGACGCCCATGATGATGAGACCGACCATGAAGAGACCAAGAGAGTTGTGAGGCCTGGCGATGAAGTACGGGGCAGCAGACGCAGTGAGCAGGACGTGACCGATTTCAGCAACGATGACCGCATAGATGATAGTCTTGAATCGTCCAAGGTACGTGTCGGCAATGTAGGCTCCCAGAAGCGGCATGACATAGACCCAAAACTGATTGAAGGTCGTCACACCAGTGGAGGTCTGTTGCCCAAGACCCAAAGCACCAGGGTGGGCATTGGAAGCGCTGGGATTGGGAGCCGCCCCAGTCGCAGTACCCGGGTTTGGCTTCTGAATGAAATTGGTGAAGACAGCAGTCGTACCGTAGTATGACCTGGAAATGGAGTCAGGGAAGCTAAATTAAAGAAATTTAGGAAGATAGACTCACATGCGCTCCACCAGCTCGACGAAGGCGATTGTGTAGACCTTCCACGGGATCTTGTCGGGGACACGGCGGAGAGTGTGGAGTTCTTCCTCGGTGGGAAGTGTGGTCACATCGATGTACTCGCTCTGGAGAGTAGCCTCACCAGCATAGACTGGCGGCACCTCGATGGAGTGCTCAGCGGCTGAGAGCTTGCGCTCTGGGTCGCCGGAGTGGTCCTTGAGGGCGGGGTCCAGCCGAGGGCCGATTTGCTGCGTATGGAGCGTTAGCTCGAGATCTTGTGGTGGTAGCAGACGGCGGAGGTGGGCAGGAAACAGTTGCAATTGCGTATCTTACAGCATCTTCGATATCACCTGGCATGGTGGGCACGCAGTTGGGTTGAGTGTGCGTGTTCCGAGCTTGGTTGTTCTTCGGGTGGGAGGTCGATGAGGTGGACAAGGACAGAAACAGTCCCGGCGGTGGGGAAGAGGGTTTAATATAGGAAGGAGCCTGGGGGGTGCACGAAATCGCGCCTTGGGAAACCGCAGTGTTGCTATCGCGCCCGAGTGTACCCGTTATAGGAAGGAGCCTTATCAAAGAGGCTCGATGCAAACGGTGCTCGCCAGTGATTGAAGCTCCAAGGCAGGCCGCCACCACAGGCCAGAGCCAGCTGTAAGAAATGTAATCCATCGCATACTCCTCGAGCCACAGTATCGGCGGCTGGACATGAAGGCGGGCCCGGCGTCGGGGTGAATTGGAGTTGCACAGGCAATCCGGGGTAATTACCCAGACGGGCAGTAGAGAGGCAATGGACTGATATTGCAACAAATGGGCAAGCAATGCCACCCATGTCATCTGAGGACGCCCCAGTAGCTTGACTGCGGGAGCTTGAATGGCGGCACCCTGATTGGTCACTATCAAGATTGAACTTGCTACATCCGGCAGGGGTTCATCGCCCAGCCCTCAGTGTTTCCCGAACGCCATACACAGGACAGTGTCCCAACAGTGCTCTCGTGCGAAGAATCCAACGGCGTGCCCGCGTGCCCCCATTACCTGGGCATTGAGGATGATGGATTGTCGCACGGGTACCTGGGGGAACAGCGTGAGCGAACATATATTTCCTGCCTCTCCAAAATCAGGAAAGAGAACAACACGAGAGAGGCCCACGAACCTCCCGAGGTAAGTGTCGCATCGCGAGTCGAAGTAACACTGCGCAGTTACTTCGATCTTGTCCAGTCTGCCCACTCTGCGTCGTCTTCATTCGTCTTTCTCCTTTCTAGGAGGTCACTATCGCACCATTGTTGAGCAGATGCACTTCAAACAAGGCCTTCTTGTCGAAAATAGTCTGCGATCGACAACGGCACGGCACACTAGCCAAGGGTCCAAGGTCTCAAGCTCTGACCAAGCCTTCGTCGGCCGTCTTAAAACGCTTCTTTCTACTCCACGCCGGTTTCCGACCCGACTTAACTTCAAAGTCGCCCCCCAGCTGCCGTTCGTTGTCCAGGCTTGTGGAAACTTCTGCATCGGCGAGGTCCACAGGTCGTATTCTACGGGCGTTCGATGCTGCTTCGAATCGGTGAGGCTCGCACTCGGGCCCCCCGCCACCAGCGCCTGAGGCGTGACGCATCACATGCTGCAGCCACCGTCTTTTCGCCTTCCTAATTGTATGACGCGACCGACCGTTCGCCTGTGCCTTTTGTTCTTGCCTCTGGGCTAGTCCTCCTGTTGGACATGCCAACTAGTCTCATTTCCGGGCGTCTGTCGTGATCGCCGATCCTGGAGGAGCAGTAATCCTTGACGATTAGCGCCATTAGGGTAAAGGTGTTTTCAAAGACCAGACACACCTAAATTGCGACGAATTCGCCATACACCAGTTGGGCGATGGATTGCCTTGCTCGTCAAAGTATTCCAATTACTGATAAGGATACGAGTGGATTTAGAGTAATCCCCCACTCTGACTTAATTAAATCCACCAGTGCCGGCATCCTGTTTCAAACGCCACAGTCTCGCCCACACGGTCGCGTGCTCTTCATCTAGATTGACAAAACCCAGTCCAGGAGTGCGGATATTTGGCATCCTGGCTCAGATAGAGTTTAAGCATCAACGATAGCGATTAGAAGCCGAATAAGCTTTACGATTAGAGGGGAGTTCCTGGTTGAGCACGGCTAGCTACGAGCTTCATTCGTTTCATTGTGGAAAAAATGAGTAAGCTGTTAGAAGACCAAAACGGCCCAGAGCCATCTCGTGGCTACAAGTGCTGTCAGACTTCTTGAATTGACAAACGTCCAGGCAATCTTTCGGCTTGGTAAGCCGAGCTTGAATGCAAATGTCATACTAACTTTCTTACGGTCAACACACGGTGCCAATCCCGAACTCCGCTCTCCAATCGCGTCGAGTAGACATCTCTGCAAAACTTGCCGGCGGCACTCGCTCTCTGCGGACTCACTTCAGCACTCTAACACTCGGTTCAGCCGCCATTCTTCTCTCCCACAAATATCTACATATAACATCCTCACCACATCACAGAAAATGATTCAAACACAGACATCATACAACCACTCCACAAACCTCGCGTATTCTGACACTATCATCGCGGAAACCTGCGTAAAATATGCAACCTACCATCCTACATCTCTGATTCACCCACCCACCACCTGGCCTCCCCTGGCAACTCTAATGGTACCTGAGAAAGGCACGATGTGAGACTGACGTGACTACGACTTGTCGGTTCATAACCCAACCACGCATTCGCGACACGTTCTTGCACTTGTGCTCCGTTCTTGATTTACGCGTTCTGGAGGTAGGACAACCGTGGCGCGTTTTGGACACGCAGCGGTTTCTCAAACGCGGCGCTGTTTAGTTCAAAAGCGAGGCATTTGCAGACTATAAGTTTTTGTCTTTTTAAGGGTACAGTTGGGGGAAGATCGGGAATTTCTACTTGATTCTAGTTTAATTACATCGTAGAATTTCGTGATATTTATTGCCGATCCTACAGGACATTGCGCACCCATTCAGTCTTGATAATATTCATTGGTAAGTCCTTTACTCTGCAAGATAAAAAGGGTTTAAGCATCACCACGAATCACATCATATCCAAAACCTAGAGATATAAGTATTATGCAGCTGCAATATTTTCATCACTATCTAACTAAACTACACTGTATGTATTACAATACCCCATGAATCGCCTGTTCCAAATCTCCTCTCCCCATAGCGGTAAATGCCAAGGGATGTTTGTCTCTATCTTGTCTCTGTCGCTAATATGGTGTTACCCTGGAAAGAAAGTCCAGGGGGTAGCCGCCAGCAGTAGGGAGAAGAGAAAGAAAGTGGGAATAAAAGATATTGAAATAAGACACGACACAGTCCGCAATCGGGTGCTGACCATGCCATCCCATAAACGCCATATATTTCTCGTGGGGGTATAAGGGTCGTGGCCATCGTAATCAGAATTAGGTACCTAAGTATATTACACGAGGGAAGGAATCCAGATATCAGAACAACTCGTCCATACAGTAGAGTCGTTGAGGTTCGATACTAGCTGGATATGTGTGAGAAATGGAGTAGTGTTGTAATTTCCGCCGTTCTGGAGGCACTATTCGCGGATTGGCTACGGAAGTCGACTACAGAATATATTTTAGAACAGCCCTTGACGGCAGAAAGAGGGGTGGAGGAGGTGACCTTACGGAGTAAGAAGGATTCATATGATGATTCATAAGTTTAGCGTCTGCTGGGCCCTGGACCTCCGAATCGGCCATTCGGGGCTGTATGATTGAGGCCAAACCCTCCCCAACTCGGCCCACTGTATCCCTGACAAGCCCTATTGTTGATTGGAGAAGTATCCTCAAAGAAGCTTTGGCTCCCAGTAACTCCCAGGTCACGCAAGTGAAGGGGCGCCGGCTTCCATCCTCGAGTGAAATAGTCTTTGTCCCCCTGCTGTGCTATTGACTCTTCCATGTACTCGCGGAGGTTCTCATACAGTCGAATGAAAGCACGAGAGTTTGCAAAATTATGTGGGTCGTAGTTGCGCGATGAACCGTCACCGATAACTTCTAGATCTGTCATGTTACGAGTTCGGGCATTTGCGTTCGCTGTAGCCATGATGCTCTTATAGTATTCTTCCTGTCTAGCAGGACGCTGCCCATCGCTGAACCAATTTCTCAACTTATCCTGCTCGTCGACTTGGAATGAGAGTGGAGCAGTAGGATTGTGGGACGTTGGTATGGTGTCTGCAAAGAACGGGCCTTTGAAATTTTGAGGTGTGGGCCCTTGATGCCCGAGCCCGCTTGCAATTTCACGATTATGAACTTGACGTATACCATCGGGGTCGCTGAATTTCAGATTTGTGGCTGTTGGGACATTTGTAGCAGTAGCATCAGAGTCGGAGTCGGAGTGGGGAATAGGTCGGTTGTCCTGGGGTAAGTGGGTATATGGCGGCGCCGTAGCGTTCAAAGTAGAGACGACACGATGCGGGTTGGCAACTGTCAGTCCTGGGGGAGGAAACAAGTTGCGCGCAGCAGCTGGTCGACTGGGTAGATCCGGGACCGCAACACGGCCATCGCCTTGACCCCCACCACGTAGAGCTTGGTCACCGAGCTCTGCTAGCTTGCTCTTCAACTTCTGGCGAGTTTGAACATCCTCTGGAGAAGGCGGCACTTGCGGACGAGCGACAGTTGGGCGTCTGTCCGGTGCATCGTAGCCACTCATGGCGTCTTCGCCAACATCAATCTCCCGTAGATCCAGTTCAGCCTGCCGCTCCTGTGGGCGTAGCTCGCGACGGATGCGTTCCTGCTCTCGCTGAATAAAAATCTGCCTTCGCGATTCTGGCCCAGATGGAGGCTGAGCTGTCCGGGTTTCTTGAGGGGAGTTTGATGATGGTGGGAACTCGAATTGGAAATCCATCGAGCCCATTGCACGTTGGCCACCACCTCCACGGAGATCACTCATACCGCGGTTGATGGGATTGAAGGTAACCGGTATCGCTGGCTGCGGCGGCCTAGCCGGAGTGACGAATGGGTCATCAAGGAAATCTTTCGCAAGCGTTCGCAGGGATGGTGTTGGTGCTTGATTTCGGCTTGGAACCGCCACACGAGGTGGGCCAAATTGGTTCAAAGTCGGGAATGGGTCGGCTGTGGAATCCGAGGTGCTAGAAAGAGATGCAAAGCGGTCTGGGTCAGTGAAGGCAGGACGAGATAGTGTCTCGACACGTAGGATGCTTGCTGGGTCAGGAAGCTTTCGCTCTTCTTGCCGCCCGTGCTCTACTATGTGCTTCTCCCTCTGCTCCGCCACGCCCTTGAAATATTGCAGCGAATCATACGGAATATTCCCAGACTTCAGACGGTCAGAAGTCAGCGACCCTTCGATCTTACGCCGGTTTTGAGAATAGGCACCAATGTTAATCCATTGGAACGCTGGGAGTGACCACTGATGGGCAGAAATATCACGATTCGGGTGAGCGATGAATACAACATGCCCATCAAAGTCGCCCATCTGTTCGCGGAGGCGGATCGGGTCAGGTAAAGGCTTCTCGCCAAATACCCGAGTTTTCTCATCCATAATATGGCGCGTGTTGGTAGGGCTTATATCCTCGCTGTTCGCCCGAGTGAGTGCGGCAGACGCGTCACTGGTGTGATGATACTCTGAGGTGTCAACTCGGCGCTGATGCAGAGAAGAGGCATTAGTCTGCAAAGGAGGCAAGTTGGAGGGTGAGGCTCGTGGTGCAGACCGGGGCCGTTGGGGAGGCTCAAGGCCGACTTGTCGAGTGAAGTTGTTTGCAAGCTCCCTGAGCTCCCCATGGTCAGTTTCATTTCCGTCGTCGTCTTCATCATCGTCCGGAAAGTCGCTCTGCTGAAGATATCGCCACTTGCTGCCTTTCTTGCGGGTTGGCTGCTGAAACGGAACAAGGCGTGCCAAAGACACAGGACCAGAGGTAGCGCGCTCCTCCCCATGTACAAAATCCTTGTTGGTGAAGCGGCGAGCCATGTCTGCAAACGTCTTCCCTTTCTCAGGGTCAATGTTTGTGGAACCGTGGGCCTTGCGACTCTGCTGGGTGGCGGAAGGCGGGTATTGGAGCGAGGGAGAGCGAAAGGTGGGGAGGTTGTCTCGGTCACGCTCAGCGGCTTCGATGAATTCGTTTTCCTCTCGCGGCACGATCTGAATGTGTGAATGCGAGGAGCTACCGGCGAGCTGGCCGGGGGTACCGATAGGCAGCCTGCCTTTTGCGGTGTTCGCGACGGGGGCACCGCGGCGAGCTGGAGGCGGGTCAGCGGTGGCACATAGAAAGGGCACACGCCGTGAAGCACAATGACGCAAGAGAGTGTGGGGCTGTGAATTAGGTGAGGGCAGAATACTCACTGCGCCGGCCGCCGCGAGTTCTCGGCTTGCTCGCCAGGTTGGAGAATTGCGGTGGAACAGGAAATACGATTGACACGAAAGTACAACTGGAAACGAACCTGGACGAGGAGGGCAAGTCAAGCAAGCCGGTGGAGAACGAGTCAAGCAAGGCGATGGAGGAAAGACTAGGTGGAGCTGCTTATCGCTTTGTTTGGTGCAAGCCAAAGCTAAGGCGATGGGATCTCGCGGTGGCCTGGTGTGAAGTTGGCGGGGTGACGTGTGGGGGAAGTGAACGGTGCCCTCGAAGAAGCCGCGATAGTGATGTCGTGACGGTTCTAGGGCCGGCGCGGGACGTCTTTGGTTGTGCAGCGGGCTGCCCCCTGCAGAGTCGCAAATCCTGCTATAGACAGATGCGCTGGACAAATGCTAGACAAGAAGCTAGGGTTTATTGTGTTCTGTCCCCACGCAATGAACGATTTGTATGGAAAGAGGAACATATGCAAACACAGGTCCGAAGGGCTCTAGCGGCTGCAGCACGTGCTTGGAGTGGAGGAGCCTATCTCAGCCAGCAAAAATCGTGAATGAATTTCCTTCCCTGCATGCCCCGTCTGGCCTTCCAATACAAGTCCAACCGTTGAGCTTTTGTGTATCACTCATCCCTTGCAGACTGGACATCATGCAGAGGCTCTAAGGCTACGGAAGCGTCACGATAGAAGCCTTCAATTACCACTAGTACAGGCAGAGAAACGCGGTTACTCAATCTCTAGCTAGCTCTACACTCTAAATAATGATCAGATTTTGTTGAGACTGTTGCAGGGAGGAAGACATTACGCGCGAGAAGGTGAACGTGTGACCATTGTAGTTCTAGTACATTGACTCACTTAAAATATGATCTATAACTTATAAAAGTTATAGCAGATTCGACTGGGCTCGGAAAATCGGATCTATCATCTTCCACTGCACTTCAGAAGATGTGTGTACCTGAACTAACTGCAGGCGCGTCTCGGGCCACCAATGACTGCTCAAGACAAGGCATTGGGGTGGAAGGTGAGGAATGGGTTGAGAGATTGCTAGAGATATCCTTTTAGCCATTTTTCAAGATGATAGTCCTCATCACCATGAGATGAGAGAGTCATGGTGGACACTGGAGACAAGGAAGCGAAGGGATGAAGTCGGACATCGCAGCTGACTCATGCCGCGCCGAGAGCAGAGGTGCAACCGTGCCATAGTTAGAGAACGCTGATTGGCTGCCACGATGTCACCATTCCAACATTACCGAAGTGCAATGCATTCTGCCATGTACTTATGTTCATCCCCTTATTGTGTAACATATCCAATATCAGCATAGATCCAGGAATTCGTTAGTACACTGGTGAAAATGATAAAACGAGTGGCCAGTAGAATACAACATATCAAGAAGAATGTGTACAAGAACGATAGACTACGAGATGCCACGGAATTTGTGGATGATATGGAAGAATAAAGAATAATTATTAAGTCTAGATACGCGCCGTGTATTATACCGTAAATCTTCGTGCATGAGAAGAAGTTTTATGGGAAAGAAGTAGGATAGTGTTAGACATGTGGCGAGTTATAATCCTTGGAGCCTGAATTAATGCTTGGCAAGCTATGGCCGCTCAGTAGGTAGTAGCGATGCTTCATCGACCTTGAGGTGTTTTAAACATTGCGGAATATGAGAGCAAGCCACACTGTCAGGCTTGTAGCATTGTTTCCGACTGTTGTTGATGACGCCTGGCTCTGGAATCACATGGTACGGGTTCAAACACGTCCAGTTGCTGCAGAGGTGGCTAGCTTGCCATTTGTTCTCAATAATTCCTTCTTTGTGTTTATCAGTCATGATACCCTCAAGGAGCATAGCGACGAACATAATGTTTACTGTGATGTTGTAGATATCGCCGTCATGTTGAAACCTAATGGAAACCGAAATGGCTCGAGATTTCTTTGGCAGTCGGCCGCTGTAAAGCCAACATTCGTAAAATCTTCGGCTACCTAACACGCGTTGATGATGTGCTGAAAGCTTTCTCTTAATGAGTGGAATATACTGTTTCCAGTAAGTGTGATAGAAGAGCCTCTTCTTCTCCTTAAGTATTGCGTCTTGCTCTGGTGTTCTTGGCTGGGCATTGCGGGCTGATACCTTTTGAGGAAGCTGTTGAACATCTTGATCGCGTGGCGATGTGGATTTAAACCTTCGTTCACCCAGGAATGTGAAGCCCGGTTCTAGACTTTCAATTTGTGCCCCCTTAAGAGTAGTATCCAGTGGAATCTTGTCGAAGTCTTGGGATGAATGTCCAGTGTCAAGGTTTTCGCTGACCTCATTTTGTTGGGAGGAAGAAAGGCCCGGAGTTAACTCTTTTGGTTCCTCTCCCACCTTTTCTTTGATCGTGATAACGGATGGTTTTCGTTGAGGTCTCGAAGGTGGATATTTTCCACAATCGTCAAGTATGCTTATGCAATCATCATGGTCGTCGTCTTGCATCTCCTCGCTCCGTACGTTACGAAGAGCATTAGCACAGATCTTGGGCTTGATATTCTGGTCTCGGTAATGGCTCCAAAATTCCGAAGCAAATGCTTCGGGCTCAGCGTGTGGTTCACTGCCTCCTCGGGGACGTTGAGCAGTGTTGTCTTGAAGGGGACGATCATTTCCCTCCACATCGCTGTCAGAGATGACGACTAGGTCGTTATTTCCCGCATTGATCGTGTTGATATCACTACTCCTCCAGTGGCTGAAGGTGAGGGGATCTTTCTTTGACCCGCGTCCTTTCCTTATCTCCCAACTATCACAGTCATTGTTACCTAGGACCAAGATTTCTAGCGGTGGTCGAACTTTTCTCGGCCGCTCTTCATCCGGTTTTTCGATTGATTCAGCCACACGTTTTCGTTTCAGATAATTGGGGAGAAGAAGGTCCAGGCCCTCCATTCTCCAATTGAATTGTGGAAGGTCTCCTTACGAGTCCTTGGCAAATCTGAGGGATAAGCTTTATCTTCTTCTATTCCCAATCTGAGACTCTTCTTCAGGTTGTGATATCAAAGGTGGCGATAAGACTGACTTCAGGCTTAAACACTTAGATAGTCATGTTACCTCACCTATTCCGATAAAGCAGATGAAGAAGTAAGAGAAAGGGCAGCTCAGGCTTCCTACCTTGACTACGTCTCGTGCTTCGTCCTCACCCACAGTGATATCAGATAGCGGTACTTGTAGAGGGCTAAGTCTTGGTGGACTTGGGCCTTGTAGTGAAGTTCGCGTCGTGGGGGCGCGGTAGAGGAGAGGACGAACGGCTGAAACAGAATCAGTAGAGTACCAATTGAAGAAGTGTGAGAAATACCCCAAGCTGCAATGCAAGTAGTCAATTAGGTCCAGAGAGAGTCTCGTAGCTTATGGGAGGTAAAGTCCCACCCAATCGCCTAGCTAGCCCTCTAGCTGAGTGTTGAAGAACTAGAATGCTGTATAGAGAGGTAAGGCGAAAGAGTACTAAGGATCTCTCTCACAACTTGTCTAGGAGAGAAACGAGAGAATGAAGGACACTGTAGCGTTCTACGGAATAGAGAGATATTGAGATGGTGATGTCGAAGATCTGTGCCTTTGGTTTTTGCGTTTCTCTCACTAGAAGATGTTATAAGGCCAAGAGAGACATCCTCAGTCTCATTCTTGAGAGAGTGGGAGTCCTGGGATGTGAGAATCGAGGTTGAAGAACTGGGCAATCGAAAGATAAGCGCTGCCTAAGTCGCGATCTCTGTTGGGCATCTTGAAGTGTTCTCCATTACCTACCGCCCATTGCCCTCAAGAGCCTTGTTCTGGCTTTGGCGTCCATCTACGCTATTCGGTGTGAGAAACATTGCCAAGCAGTAGCCTTCAAAAAGCCTTTGCCGTCTTGAAACGGGCAAGCCGGGAGAGAACAACATAGAAAATCGCCGGGAAAATATGTACAGAATGAAAGCCATCATTGAGTCCCGCACTATCAACGAGTGTGAATCCACAAGCAGAAAAGGCTACTGAGTCACTAAAATCGCCAGCTCAATGCACCATCTTCAGATCTCGAGGTTGCCAGCCGAGGTGTTCAATAATACGACGAGGGGAGGAAAGTGCTTCTCCGATGAGGCACAACGACCTGCTGTGCAGCCATCAGTGTCTCCCTCGTGATCCCACCCATCCACCTCTCTTGCCTGGTTGATCAATACGACTTGCCGATCGTTTTCGCAGATGAAACGTGGACATAAGATGCTCAATGAAGAACTCCTCGTCCGATGACGAACCAACTCCGCCAGTTCACGTCGGCATTTGCACCTCGTTTCGAACGGCCCGCCGAGCGGACCCCAGACCCGTCGGCGCCGCACCTGCCAGAGGCAATTCCTCCTCTAACAACAACATTAAATCAGGCCGACCAGGATAGTCTCCCGCTGCCAAATACCTGAAACCCCGTACTCCCGTCTGACAATTATCCATAGAACACATGACAGGCTGCGTGCAGCCATGCATGCACCATGCAATTCATGCCATACCAATCCTATCTGAGCCAAGCAATATCACGAAGCACAACGCAGGACTTCTTGCCCCAAATCCGGGGCGGCTCCAACATCGTAAAATAAAAAGCCTTTTAATTTGCGAAATCCAGGCTCAATTCCACGATGGGACAAGATAGATAGATGACGAACCCCAACTGTAGATCCCCCGCTCATCAAATCCTCCAATAAGAATAAAGTCCCCTCCGGCCAACGTCCCAATTTTGCACTCTAGGATTTAGAAACCCCTTTCCCCCGGCATATCTTTTCTTTGGAATTTTGCGGTCAGGGTTCTAAGAACTCTAGGCTATATTACTGGAATCCATGCGAATATATTTGAGCTGCATGCGAGGGCCGGGGCCAATTTAACACGGAGCAGAAGACCAAGCGCCTGGATGGGCAATTAAGGTTGCTGGGACTTCAGGAACCGCTGTAAATCCTTTGCATATAGGGTCTCCTCTGCCCTTGTTGTTATCCTTCCTTGGGGCACCCATCGTCGTCATTCAACTCTTTGACCTGACAGGGAACCATCTTGACACAACTCAATCTCGGTGCACGACCGCAATAGCCTTATTCTTATCGGCTCGATTCCCTAAAGTTGAAATACCATCAATGGCTCTTCGAACTCTCCTCTATGCCTCAATGGCAGGCCACTCGTTGGCAGTCAAGCTCTATGCAGCCAGCTATAGCGGAAACGTAACCACATTCGAAATAAATCGCGGGCTGAGCGATCTAGCCGGCCGCAACTCTGCCTCCCTCAAAGCCGTAGCTGTGAACACTCAGTGCGGAAGTGCACCAACCTGGCTCGATCTCGAGGGATCGACTCTGTTCTGCGTGGATGAAGGATTCTCGACCCCAAATGCATCTGTCAACACGCTCACTATCAGCGCCGATGGGAGTCTCAAGGCGGCTTCCAAGGTCGATACAATCCAGGGTCCCGTCTCAGATCAGATATACAACGACGGCAAAGCACTAGCCTTAGCGCACTATGGAGGATCCGCCGTATCGACTTACAAGCTTAGCACCGTAGGTGGACTCACTCCGCTCCAGAATTTCGTTTTCAGCACACCTCCAGGACCACGGCCAGAACAGGAAGCATCGCATGTCCATGAGGCGATCATTGATCCCACAAAGGAGTATCTTTTCTTCCCTGACTTGGGAGCTGATGTTGTCCGCATTTACAAAATCGATCCGGCGACTTCTCTACTCACGGAACAACCGTCTTTGAAGGCGGACGCTGCTTCCGGTCCGCGTCACGCCGTATTCTGGTCGCCCTCAGGCATGTCCTACGGCAGAAAGCCCGTCTATCTCTTCGTCATCCATGAGCTCGCCAACAAGATCGTCAGCTGGAAAGTCAACTACGCCACATCCGGATTGACCTTCACGCGCATCCAAGATATCGGACTCTACGGCACCACGCCGCAACCAAACGGCACCCGTGCTGCTGAAATCGTTGTGTCGCCTGACAACCGCTTTATCATCTCGTCCAACCGCAATGCTACCATATTCAGCGTTCCTAACCCCGACCCATCAAATTCAACAAAGATCCCTTCGGATTCACTGACGACCTTTACTCCGAGCGAAGACGGCAAGTTGACGTTCCAGAGCCTTTCGCCAAGCGGTGGAAGTTTCCCGAGACATTTTAGCTTGAATAAAGATGGCTCAATGGTTGCAGTAGGAAACCAGAATTCTGGCTCCGTAGTTGTGTGGATGCGGGATGTGAAGACGGGAAAATTTGGAGACAGGGTCGCGACGGCGGAGAACTTGGGCCAGGTGACGAATGTGATTTGGGATGAGCGAAAGTGAGTGTAATTGGGAAATTTTAGGAATTAATGAGCAAGCCTTAGATAGTGAAATGAAATGCAGTCAGACAATATACCTAAACTTAAAACAATGAAAAAGATTGTGATCCGAGTGTCGGCCCGATCTTGCGGGAATCGGAATGACACGTGTAAGAGCATCGTCGAGAATCCAAAATGTTAATTAATCTGGAATCTGGTACGTACCATCAAGGACGCATGCAAGCAAGGCACCCCAACTCCTCGCTTGAGTACGAGAGAATGGGTCAAAGGATTCGCCGGAGAAGAGAAAATCGCTCATAGTGCCCACTTCTCCTGTCCTACTGCCCAGCTCACGGCGTCCCAGACATCTCCGACTTCCATCCGCGGCGTGTGCTTTGGCACTGTTCCAGCCACATGAACGCCAGTCCTGACGAGCACGCTGACCCAGTCTGTGCCATGCGGGCTGTTGTAGCTGTTGCCGCCTAGAATGTCACTCTCTGGATTGTCCCCTACCATGTAGACCCTCTTCAAGCTTCTTAACTTGTCGTCATTCTGTTCAAGAAGGCGCTTTCGGTGAGCTACTAGTCGCTTCTCTGCGAACTCGTATGTCGGCCGATGCGGTTTGCCGATTACGATCTTCTTCAACTCAACGCCGTTCTTTTCTCCACCTGTCAACGCTGCCCATACACCCTCAAGAGCTTCCCGAAAGCCGCCTTGTCCTAGCCGTGGGAGATGGTACTTTGCGGCCCATAGGAGGTCTGGGTTGGAGAAGTAGAGTGGAGGCTGCCCATCTTGTTGGTAGCCCTTGTTTGGCAGAGCAGTGTTTCCGTTCTTCTCAGAGAGCGTTCCCAGAATGCCTTGGTGTGACAAAAGTACATCTTTGATGACCTGGGTGTCCAGTCCCCAGTCCCGGGGGTCATTGTACACAAAGACGGCATCGATCTTGAGGGAGGTAGACGGCGAAGTGGGATCGATGGGGGCAGGCAGAGGTCGTGAGAAGGTCTCGTAGTAGGGGAGGAGCTGCTGGGAGAAGGGCCACACGGCGGGATACGCTGTTAGAATGTCACCTGGTGTCACGACTGTCTTGAACCCATATCGCTCTGCCACCCGCCGACACATGTCTTCGACCCCACCAACTACCATGATTGTCCTGTTCTTGTACTCGTCCAGGTCAGCAAAGGGCGTGTGGCTCTGCACAAACATGCTTGTATCTAACGGGACCTCGAGCTTCTTGGCAAGGTCATCTACACGGTCCGACTCGTGTTTGCCTCCGCCATTAGTGAGGAGAATAAAGGGTATGCGCTGAGACTGGAGGTAGGAGAGGGCTTTGTGGGCACGAGGGAGAGGGTCGGAGCTTCGGACGAGAACGCCATCGATGCTGCGATCAGTCAGCTCCCACATTGGAAAGGGCATGGCGTGCTTGCCTTACTCGAATGCAAATGCGAATTCGGGAAGGCACGGTGGAGGGGTCGGTGCAGAATGGAAGCAGCAGCGGGGCGGTGTTTGGGGGTTACTGCACTTCAGAAATGACTGTGGCGTTAGCAATGGAGCTCTGCATCTTGAAGCCACTCGTAAAATGCTTGTTATGGGTGTCTTGGTGGCCATTGCTGGCGGCGGAGGTGTAGAGGTTTGCCCGAAAGGCCCAATGCGTTGGAACTGCTCATCCATCTTTACGGCAGGATGTTTGAGCCAGCAGCGACGCCAGTTCTTAGTCAGCCATCGGGCATCTCTTCTCGGACGAGCATGTGTATAGCGGGCAACAACTCCCGTGCCTATCCAGATGTTTACGACCGAAATGGCAGAATTGACAGACACAAGCCCCTCGAATGCCTCCGAGTTGAGTACGGGAACTTCTATTACGCCTCCTGTGGAGATCTTTGCCCGTCCACCTATCAAACGAGCGAGGCCGCAGCTTAGCTGTACACCGTGTCGGCAAGGCAAGCTGAAGTGTAATCGCGAGCATCCTGTGTGCGACCAGTGTTCGAAGCGGTCGCGACACGAGTCCTGCAAATATGTACCCCCTCCTCCGAGGAATAAGCAGGCTCAGAACATGCGAGGTCGGATCAGGAATCTGGAGACCTTGGTTGTCAACCTGATAAATCAAAAGACCCATGAGCAAGGCGACACTCTAGTAAACGAACGAAATAGAAGCTGCAAGACAGAGGTGGAGGTGAATAGAGAACCGGAAATCGACTCGTTTGGCCAACTTCGCATCAGTCATGCTGGTACCGAAACCAGTTATGTCGGGGCAGGACACTGGTCTTCGATCTTGAAGGAGATTGAGGAAGTAAAGGATAGCCTAGAAGACTCTGAAGGTGAAGATGACGCAAATGAGGAAGTCTGGGATGACATCAGTGCTCGCTCAACTGTGACATTTGGGATACCTAGACCCGTCACTAAAGCTATGCTCATCCAGGAGATGCCTTCTAAGGATGACGTTGACCGACTGCTTCCCCTTTGGTTCAACTCAGCCGATCCACTTCTCTACATCATACATGCGCCAACGTTCCAGGAAGAATATAGGCAGTTCTGGAAAGACTCCTCTTCCACCCCGGTCATGTGGATCGCGCTCCTTTATAGTGCAATGGCTCTTGGAATCATCCTAGGGCCCCGGAACCCAGGCCTACATGCCCACGCCGCTGCATACGACCGCTCGTCTGGCTCTCTCTTTGACAAGAATGACAATCTAGCCAGTGCGGCCGACAGATATCAACAGCTAGCGTCTTCCGCGATGGTCCTAGCAGATATAGCAAAGTCCCAACCATATACCCTTGAGACTCTGATGATATATGGCGAGTGCGAGTTTCTTAGAAGAGATGATCACCACTCCAAGATTTTCCTCATGAACGGTGTTGTGGTGCGCGTGGCGATGCGAATGGGCTACCACCGCGATCCGAGCAACTTCAAGGGTATGTCACCCTTCCAAGGTGAGATGCGGAGGCGTGTCTGGCATGTGTTAAACATGATGGATAGCCTCATCGCGTTTGCCGTCGGTCTTCCTAGCATGATCCGCCGAGTCGAAAGTGATGTGCGAGCGCCGCGAAACCTCTATGACACCGACCTATCGATAAATATGACCGAATTACCAAAGGATCGTCCGAAAACTGAGATAACCCCCGGACTATATACTATCTCAAAGAGTAGAGTTTGTGCAGTGTTCGCCGAGGCGGCAGAGCTGTCCCAAAAATGCATTCCTCCTCGGCATTCAACCATTCTTGCTTTGGACAAACGCTTGGAGGAAGCCCACGACCTAGTGCCTGAAGGAATGCGAGTGCGCCCGATGGGCCAGTGTATCACCGACCCTCCAGTCTTAATAATGAGTAGATTTAACATCGAACTCCTGTATCAGAAGACTCGAGTGGTGCTCCATCGCAACTACCTCACCGCTGGTCAGTCTGATCCCAGATTCGCAGATTCTAGGAAGACTTGCGTGGATGCTTCTCTCGAGATCCTACGTTACCAGAACATAGTTTTCCAAGCTTGTCGACCAGGAGGGCAACTCCAAAAAGTGTGGTGGTACATGTCTTCACTCTCGACATATGATTTTCTTCTGGCCGCTATGGTCGTTTGTCTTGAACTCAACCACCTCCGCAATATAGAATCATCTCCAGATTTCGAAGGCACGCCAACGACACGGATAGCTGAGATGCTGGGTATCCTTGAGAACACTTATGAAATTTGGGCAAATCATCCAAATCGATTTCGGGAGTCAATCAGAGGAGCCGAGATGGTCCAGGCAATGCTTAAGAAATGCTCTGGGCCTGCGGGACCTCGGATCACCTTGCAAAATCCAATCCCCAATGGCATGGAACAGAGTACGTATGTGCCTGCAACACATCTATTGAATGCTAACCTTTGGGAAGATATCGCCGAGCTACCTCCGGGGTTTACTCCTAGCATGGCCGCTGAGGAGTTGCCCCCACAAATCTGGGGCACATGGCCGCCGCCTCCCGAAGCTTCCTCACTTGATATGCCGGGTATTCCTTCGGAGATTGACTGGGTGAGCGCAACCTCTCAGCGTTTTTGTTTTATTTCGCTGACCTAGTCAAACAGACTCTGTGGGATAGTACTATGCAAGAACAACAAAATATGCTCCCCGCATCAAACAATACTGCAATGGATATGTGGATGAGCAGTATGACTAGCAATGTCAACAGCAGGATTGACAACATGCTTGATTTCAGCGATCCGTTGAACTTACACGGCTTTCCTACCTTCTACGCTCCACCACCTGACATGTAAAGCCAAATACGACATCTGGCAGACTTTCTCAAATCACACATATTGCCAACAAGATCTCTTTAGCAAGTTAATTTATCCACGAACTTCCGGATCTGATCGAAGATTTCTTTATCCTGGCATTGCAGCACGCCCCTTATCGTATTGGCTTTCGGTTCCATTTGATGAAGTCCCCACCGTAGAGGATATTGTTTCCAGGAGCGATAAAGATCAGTAAACCGCATGCACCGGCAACAAGGACCAATGGTTTTTGTCCTGGAGAGGATTCTGTCGAAAGCCCTAAAAGTCAAGGGAAGCCTTCGCTCGACATGTCGAATTCGGCCTGAGACCACAAGAAGAAGACTGCCAGGGAAGCCATTCACCACGCCACATTGTAAATATGTGCTCTGACACATGTATTTCCTTGGTCAAATGCTTCCGTGGATGCCATGGCAGACTTCGCAACTCGACGTATCTGATGAAGAAATGCTCTAGGAACGAGCTTCGAAGGACCCAAATTTTATAGACATATTATTGTAAACGCTGTCAAGCCCTTTGCATGCACCCAACATGCCAACGATTAACTCGTATCCTCGTGGACAATCAGCTCGACCAGGTAGAAGGCCTTCGCCATATGTGTTGGCGTTGAGAATAATAGTAAGGTGAACAATAGTAAGAGTCTTGGCACCGATAGAGGAGGATTCTCTTCGCCACTCCTTTGTGAGAGATGCCCAGCTTCATCCTTTTGATTCTTTTAGAGAAGCCTTTCATGGCGCTCTCAAAGAAGTCTAGAGTCAGTTTGAAGAATTGAAATGCCTATAAGTATGCGCATGATGGCGGCCAATATGTTTCTCTCAACCTACCAGAACATTCAATCATTCCTACAGCTACAACACTCTTTGCAACACCCCCAAACAAAATTAAACGATCAAACATGCTTGGATCTAGATCTCAGGTCTCCATCATGCGCACTAGCACTGGCTTTCAGTGTTCAGTCATGCGGACTGTCGCTGGTTCTCAGTGCTCAGTCATGCGCATGCCCGGCACTGGCTCCCAGTGCTGCACTTAGTAAATTAATTAACGATTTACTGAATTCCGAGGGAGCATGGCTGGACAAACCCGGAACCTTAGCACAAAAATTTTATCCGGACCGACATTCTCTTCGAAATGATTTCGATTCTACCTACGCCTTTTGATATCGGTGAGGTCCGTCACCATGACCCAACTACTTGTCCCGGCCACGATCCTCACGCGCGGCTTTGCCTACACCACCATCTCTTCCTTTACGATGTATCTTCTTAAAAAACCGATGGAATTGTGGGATGTACATCGTGTGGCCTGTCTTTGGTGGGCTCTTGTACGGATAGCCAGTGCCTTGTTTACGAACTCCTTACACACCTGCCCGGTTACTAGGATTCCCGAAACGTTCCGGCTACAAGACTCCTTTGAAAAAATTAATCTTTAATTTTAAAAGGATTCTTTTAGATAGCACGGATAGGGAGATTTTTTGGGATTCACTGAATACATTCTTTTTACCTCTTGATGTCTCTTATATTGCATGTGATTATTTGCTGGTGTGTGAACTTTGGAAGATGGTGTAGATATGGGCTAAGGCATGAGGTTTCTAAATCACGTTTAGTACCGAACCAAGGGCTTTGCTTGGGTTTGCATCGTCTGCACAAAAGAATGGCGTCAGTATCGTTCTGCCTCCTGAAAATAATTGTTTTGTGTAACACGACTCCATCGCCCTCTGGAACTAGCATCTTGATGTGCTAAATTCAAAAAGGTGGCTTAGAACAGATGTTCAGAAGCGACGCTTGACGCATGCACCTCCACTCTCTCCTTTTCGTCTCATTGCACCACGTTTGTGAGGTGTTGCATTATGGCTTCGATGGATTTTATCGATTCAAGTTGTTTGGTGGAGTACGTCAGCTTGAATTGCATGTCCAAGCGCCTTGGAAATCCTGCGAACACACGCCATCGGACTTTCTTGATCCTTTGGCGTCCGGTTGGATCTAGCCCTCTCACAGACTGTGGAGGTATGGAGCGGATCCCTTTTATCCCCTCTGCTAAGTCTTTCGATTTCCATTCTAGATAGCAATGACTACTAACATCTATACCATCTCATCCGATAGCTCTCTCCACTTCTGTTAATACTTACGACTTCTCGAAGCTGGCAGTGCTGAGCCTCCCATGAAAACCCATTTTTATATCCCCCGGCAGTGTGCTTGCAGCCTGCATGCAGCAAGGCCCGAAGCGCCCGACCCCGGAAAAGCTCAAGCATACGATTGGTCCCGCGACAAACCTTCTCGTTCCCTGGACCCTGCCGAAGGATTGAGACAACGCGACAGGGTGCTCGACCAGGAGAGGGAGGCTTCGCAAGGCATATGCAAGTCAGATGTGAGATTTTGGAAAAGAGGTGGGGAGATTTCATGGGATTTTCTAGGAACCGAGGGCAGGGCAACGAGGATATATGAATTGGAGAAGGCCTGCTGCTGTGAGTGAGCGGCACGGACTATTGGTTTTGTAAATGCGATAGTATTGCTTTGCGCTTTATAATTTTTTCGTTATGTTTCGTCCATCATTTTTGTTCTTGCTTCCGTTCGCGCTGTTCGAGTCGGCCTGTGCAGCAAGTCAGTTCGCCCCTCTTGCTTCCACCACATTTCAACGTCGCTGACGCCTTTGTAGCAATAACATCAGCGCCACCCTTTCCAACCACAAATGCTACATCGACCTCAGTGTCTCCATCTACATGTCCAACCGGAAAGTGCGCGTTCAAGCTCCCCGTCGGATCGCAGCTTCAATGGTTCAGATTTTCTCCTTCAACGACAATTGTCGCTGCGACGGTTTCTGTCTTTATTGTTAACGGCACGAATACAACTTCGACCACTACAATCTTCAATGATCTACCATCAGGGATCGCGCCGCCTCCCACGAACGCAGCTGGGACACGGACGACGGTAGTTACCAGCTTCGCCGGTGGAACTGTTGAAGTGTGAGTTCTATCTTCTAATTGCAAAGGGGCTAAGCTGACCTAGTTTAGAGCATATCCAACAGGTTGGGCAGACTACGATTCTCTCGTAACATGGTCCGGAACGCTATTAACAAAGGGCATATGCTCGACTGAAACAGGATCAGTCATCACACTTGCACCGCATTCAGCTATTCCAACAAGTCTTCTCCAGGAGGTGACTACCGATGCTACAGATCCAGAAGGCATCTACTATTCTCCAACACTGGAGCCGTTTTACAACCCGCGCTTAAATACAGATGCACCAAATGAGGATGCGCTCAAGAGTTGCGCCTTCTCCATGACCGCACCACTGATAGCAGTTTCCGGAGTGCGGTTCTTGACGGAGACAACGACGGATTTTGGGAGCAGTCCGGCGACTACGACGGCGGATGCTGTTCAAGGGTCCTCGAATACCCCGGCTCCACCACCTGCGTCCAGCGCGAGTCCACCTTCAGCCCCCACTTCTGCTGCTCCTGTCCAGCAACAGCCCCCTCCGAGTTCTTCACTACTTCCTCCCCCTTCGAATCCAAATCCTTCCAGCCTGGCTCCCCCCCCTGTTACCGTCATCTCCCCAGCACAACCATCCGCCCCACAAAACGGAAACCCAGAAACACCAAGCCAAGCACCAGCCCAGCAATCCATACCACAAAGCGCTAATCCGGGGGCTCCTGCACCGAGTCATGCACCAGTCCTCACATTCAACGACAACCCTATCACCGCAATATCTTCCTCCGCCTTCGTAATCGGCACACAAACGCTTACTCCCGGCGGCACTATCACCGTATCCGGCACGACGATTGCTCTGGGACCCTCTGCTTCCTTTGTTATCGTAAATGGCATCACTTCTACGCTTTCGAACGCTCTAGCTATAACAACACCTCCCCCAGTCCTAACAATCAACAACACGCCTATCACTGCAAGCCCTGGAGGCTCGACGTTCGTCGTTTCCGGACAAACACTCACACCTGGAGGAACTATTACTATCGACGGAACTACAGTCAGCCTCGGACCCTCGGCATCCTTCGTCGTCATCAACGGCGCTACTTCCACGCTCGCAAATCCCGCGGTGCAGACTCAGGCTCAGATCACGCCTCCTCCGCTGACGATCGGAGGGTCTACATTTTCTGCAGCTCCTGGCACGGGCATTAGCTATGTGATCGGTGGACAGACGTTGACTCCAGGAGGAGTTATTACGGTAGATGGGACGACAATTTCATTGCCAGCAGGAGCCTTGCCGACCGTCGTTGTGATTAACGGGGAAACTAGTATGATTGTCGAGGCTACTGCGACGGCTACTGCGTCTGCATCTATTAGTAGTGGAAGGGGAGGAGGACAAGGTGGGCCGGGAGCTACGACGAATTTGGGCGCGAGTCGGACTTCGGAGGGGCTGCCACTATTTACTGGCGCTGCTGTGAAAGGCGCAAGGCTGGAGCGATGGGGATTGGGGGCTGTGTTGATGTGGGGCATAATGCTAAAGGTGCTGATATGAAGCTTGGGCGAAGACCATGTTAAAATGTATGTATGTATGTGTGTATACGACGTAGAAGGCTGCGGTAATGTGTAAAATGCAAAGAATTCCACGATGTACAATTAGCGAGAAAAAAGTACCTGTGTCCTTACGCAGCAGCAGTGTTACGGTCTGGATACTAGTTATCGCGCGAGAAGGATCACGTAACTATGTCACGTGATGCTCGTGCGCGAACATGTAGATATTCTCCTTTTCATCCGTACGCAGGAAAGATGACAAGTAATGACCAGAAATCTGTTGCCCTCCAACTCCAACTCCAACGCTGTCAGCGCGGGCGTTTTCAACGTCCTCGTACAATCTAGCGGCACCGGGCGCATTCGCGTCACCCTTCCAACTAGTTCTGCTGCTAATCGGCAGTTTATGCAGCGCCTCTGCATGAACGTACGGATCTTTTAACTTCTCTGCTTCTTCTTTGTGCTAAAGGCTAACGTGAACAGCATGAGGAGCAGAGAAGTTAAAAGATCCGTACGTTCATGCAGAGGCGCTGCATAAACTGCCGATTAGCAGCAGACTAGTTGGAAGGGTGACGCGAATGCGCCCGGTGCCGCTAGATTGTACGAGGACGTTGAAAACGCCCGCGCTGACAGCGTTGGAGTTGGAGTTGGAGGGTTGGAGAGACATGTGCGTGTGGGAGGATCTGTTACTGTTAGCACCGTACAAAAGAGAAAAGAGCCAGGGGACTGTACAATAGGGTTTGTAAAGTTGATGTTGCGTTTGCCAAAAGGTCAACCTCCTAGCTAGCACAGCAGAAGGATATATATAGACGGATAGCTGTACGCGACAGTTGATGCTAAAGAAGAGAAGGCAAAGGGAGAGGGGAGACCTTTTTATATACACCTCTCCATGGAAAGATTCCGCACTATTCCGCCACAGAATTCCACACGAACAGCCTTTACACCGCCAAACATTCACAGGACAAACGCACGAGGCTGAACGACGATAGCTCAAACGCTCTACAGACCCGTACTAGATCCTGACGTATCAATGATGGCTTAAGGCCCCCCGCTAGGAGACAGACCATTATTCACAGAGTTATTCACAGGACAGAACTAGCCTATCCTAACGTACGGCATCACTAGGGCAAGTCCTAACAAATGGGGTAGGGTATAGGCAGAACGTAATCAGATAGACCTGCACGGACAGGAGGGAGGTAACTAGTACGGAAGGCAACTCTTTGGACAAAAACAGAAAGTTGCCAGTGTCTGTACGCAGTAGCGTTACGATCTAGATACTAGTTATCGCGCGAGAAGGATCACGTAACTATGTCACGTGATGCTCGTGCGCGAACATGTAGATATTCTCTTTTTCATCCGTACGCAGGAAAGACAAGCAATGACCAGAAATCTGTTGCCCACCCTACCTACTCCGTACGCTGTGCACACCGTACACTACTCTTACTCTTGCTACTTAAGTGCTCATACCATAAGCAGCCGGCTGAAAGAGCCCATTCAACAACCTGAACATTTTTCTGCATCGACATCCATCGATATTCTCTTCCACCAATTCCTAGCGTTCCCCCCTCAGCCTGATTAATTCCGAATTCCAATTCACCCGAGGCCATTTTTCTTTCTTTTTCGCCAGTCGTTCTATTTCTAGCTTGCATGTCCCACGCGAACGAGGGGCCAAAACGCACAAACTGCGGTTCGCACAACATATGAACGTCACAACCACCACTCACCATCACACACGAAAGCCAGTGTCGCCGGAATAGGGAATTTTCAAGCTGTAAAGGCGAAAGTTCTCGGGTAACCTATGGCTAAGCCTCTTTGGTGGTCAGTAGTACTGAAATTAGGGTTGTGGAAGAGAGAGAGAGAGAGAGAGAGATGTTAAATATGAGGGAGAGCACATGGTAGAATGTTACGGGGCATTTGAGAATTCTGTTAGAAAGTTCTTAGCCTTGCTGCTGTCGTTGATTCTCTCATTGCTACACAATACATAGACCCAGAGGCAAAGTTAATGAGCCATGGAGATCTCATTCAAAGCCTTTGCGTGCATTCATATCTTCTTCCTCTACCTCTACATCATTCCAGTTATATGCATTTCCTCTTCCTTATCATCATCACCAACACTTAAATCCAAGATTAAGTCACCCACATCTCTAACAGCCGGGCCGCCCTTCCCAACAACAAATTCTTCCTGTCACCAACAGTGTAATTGGCATCCGCCATACGTAAATCAGATCAACTGGGTCTCCTTCAGCGCCGCAACAACAATAACTGCTGCAACAGTGCAGGTAATAGTTAACAATGGAACAAATGCAACGCGAACAACGACGATATTCAACAAATTGCCCGCGGGAGTAAGTTCAATACCAACAAACGAAGCCGGAACCAGAATTACAACCGTGACTGATGTGTTCGGGAACATTTCAACGGTGTGCGTGGTCGCCCTTTTTGTTCTATTTAATCTTTCATGAGAACTGACTAGCCTGCACATAGAGCCTACCCCACTCGCTGGGGCGACTACGAAACCGAAGTCTCCTGGACCGGCACACTGTCCACATCCTCATCCTGCCTCACAGGCACGCACTCCATTACGCTGACCTCGCACCCACCATGGACGGCATCTGGGCCATGGGGCCCCATCAAAACCGATGCCGGGGATCCAAGCGGGATGTTCTACAGCGCAGTTCTCGAGCTTTGGTTCGGTGACCATCAGTTTTTTCAGAGCATTATGCCGGGAGAATTGTTTATGCAAGTGTGTGGTGTAAGTGAAGCGGCGCCGCTGGTTGCGGTAAGTGGGGTTAAGTTTTTGACGGATACGGTGACGAGTTTTGAGACAGGGCCAGCTAAGACGAAGGCAGAGGCTGGGGCGGGGCCGAGCTCGTTGGCGGAGAAGACAACAGTGGTGGAGAAGAGTGAGGTGAGGTCTACGCAACCGGCTTCTAGTGTCGTGCTTGAACGGCCAGAGAAGACGTCTTCGAAATCGGATCCTCCTCCTCCTCCTCCTCCTCCTCCTCCTCCTCCGGCTGCTACTACCGAAGAAGCTCCTAGGATAACGCTTGCGGGGTCATCTACTCCTCTCCCTCCAGCTCCAGCTTCGACTCCGGATGCGGAACGTCTATCTCAGATATCGTCAGCTCCAGGGAATGTCCCGTTGAGCCACGCTTCTGAGCCCGCTGCTCAACCTCTGCTTTCAAACCCTGCGATTCTTTCTCCATTGCCATCGATCGTAGTCGTGCCACCACCAGTGTCTTCGCAAGCAGGGAACGACGCTCCTTCTTCCGGGCCTCTTCCGTCTTCACCAGTGAAGCCCGAGCTCGCTTTCATAGTAACAATGATCTCAACCCTAATCTCCCAGCTTAACACCATCACGGCATCAGACGGAGGGGTGAAGGTTGAGACGACGGTATATCCTACCCTAGTCTCTGTCATGCCGACTCCCGTAACCGAAGAAGTCACTTCCACAAACGGGGGTGGAAGCACAGCCGTGTACACCTTAACATACGAAACTTTCCTGCCCTTGCAGTCGACCCTGACCTCGAAGGCTATTAGCGTGACGGAAACCGATGGCAGTGTTAGTGTGTATACGACGGTTTATGCCACTTTGGTGCCCATGCGTCCGAGCCTTACGACGGAGGTCGTGTCGGGTACAAATAGTGATGGAAATATGGAAACTTATACAACGACGTTCCAAACTCTTGTTCCAGTGTTGCCAGCTACCGCCCCGAAGCTTGTTACCGTTACCGACACTGATGGGAGCTTAAGGATATATACGACGACTCCTCTACCCGCCGTCTCTGCTTTAACTAACGCGATGGGTTCGCTATCGAACACTGAACCAGCTATCCACTCAACGGCACAAGTTCTGAGTTGGACTGGGATTCCCACGGGCGCAAGCACAAGTACACCGGATCAAACGCGGACACCAACAAGAGAAGAGCCATCCTTGTTCACCGGAGCTGGAGTCAGAAGTCTGAAACTGGATGACTGGAGTTGGGTGTGGAGATCGAGTGCTTTTCTAAGTGTAGTGGTGGTGGGGCTGTAATCTAGTGCTGAGGCGGCATTGAAATGGCCTATAGTATATGTGAGGGAATTGAATTGTTCAAGATGGCTTGGAATTTCCAATAAAAAGTAGGCTCAAAGATGGAGTATAGTGACGTTAAAGGGATAAAGGGTACAGATGACTGGAGGTGATTAGGAGGCAACTTTGGATTTAATGATAGAGGGATTTACGTGGGAAGGTGGGAGGGAATGGCCTTTCGATGGACTCGAATTGATCTACTTGATACATCTTTGGGGACTCAGCTTATCTACAGGTCTTGCATGGCCACCGCAGTAAAGGAAGTCGGGGGGACCCGTCATGATTCTCTAATTGAGGGTAAAGAAAGCGGAGGGTTAATGAGGGGTTGGTTTAGAAACCATCCTTGCCCCACTTGTTGAACTGGTCGTGGAGAGACTGATTGTGAGTTAGTAATCAAGAGCAAAAGTCTTGGCGCCATGTATGTATGGCTGGACCCACCTTTGGAAGGGTGACATTAGGGATAATGACAGTGTTCAATGCTGAAGGAGCGTCCTTCTTGGGGGCATTGGGGTCGCCACCGGGGTGGTACTGATATTTTCCAGTGCCTCCACCCTCTTTCCAGGGCTCGCTGCCGGGCGCCTGTGCAATTGGTTGCTCGGAAGAGGAGGAGGTGGGTGACCGCGCTGTGCAATTGGGTCAGTGCTCTTTCTATAAGAACGGCACTGCACGCCAGGAGGAAAGATGCTAGGCCATGGATGTGTATTCAAAAGGCAGCTTACAGAAATGCCATCCCGCAAGCCCGAAGGCACCGCACATGATTACTCCCAGGATCTGTCAAGCTCATGTCAGCCTCCAATTCCTCTGTCTCCGGCTCACACCTTCTCGCGACATACGTAGAGCTCTGGATTGCGCCTGGCACCCTGCTTGAGGGCTTCCTTGCTCGCGGCCCGATCATCGACGGCTTCGGCAAAGCGGCGGGTAGTCGGGCTCATTCGGAGGCGGGGAGTGGCCCGGAATGCGGCTCGGCCAACGATGGACGACATGGTGTCTCTAATTGATTGCGGTCGCAGAGATGGGCGGACGGAGCGGAGAGGGGCAGGGTGTGTGGTGTCGCGGTGACGGGTGATGAATGACGGCCTGCGGGCTTTTGGCGAGTGGTGCAGTGGTGCAGTGGTTCGATGAGGATTATGTCAGCCGTCATGCACTGACTCTCGCGGCGCATGGCCGGAGAATTGCTAGCCCGGAAATGTGCTAGTGTTCCTGGACGGGCCGTGGGACCTTGCAGAACAGTATCAACTTTCTCGCCCCTTTTAACTAGGACAATATACCTCCAGCCCTGCATCTAGACATGTCGCCGACGGCTTTATAACGCGTTCGGCCTTCCCTTCATTGACACCTTCACGTCGCCACTCCCTCTTCCCTCTGCCCTTCTTGCGCTCCTTACTGCTCGCTTCGGCACGTCCTGCAGCCAAGTTTCTTTTAAGCACGCTTCACTTCTCACATCACTTCCAACCCTGGGAAGTTTCAAAACTACCCAGAATCTCCCCCCTTCCTGAGTCGATGTCATGCATTGCTGCGCGATAAATATTCTTGAGACCATCATCGCCTCACTTTCGCAATGACGACACCACCCTCTGACCAACCTGCGTCGCCGAATGCGCTCGCGAATCCTGCTCCCGTCGTACAATATGACCGCACCCCTCCAGACCCATTGCCCGACGACCCCGAACACACCGCAGCAACCATGCAGCCGAACCTGAACAATCGCAACTCCACCGGGAGCCGCATTCTGGGCATGAGTGGACCTGCTGGGGAGCCGGGCCTTCCGCCGTCGCGGCCCTCTTCTATTGCGACAGCACAGTCGGGGGGTGGAGGAAACCAGCGCAGATGGTCGCAGGCCCCGCCATCGCGTCGAGGAGGAGGTATTCAGAGCGGCATCGGGGGCGCGAGCGTGGCCGGAAGCCTGGGAGGCCAGAGCCGCCCCACGACGTCTGCAAGCAGAACACACGTCCCACTTGCAGCGGCTGGTTTCTTTCGTCCCATGAGCTCGCAAAGGCTGCAGCAACAGCGAAATCAACGGCCGACGTCATTTCTTGGCCACGGTTCGATGTATTCAGAAGGCGCGAGCGACCCTGGGAGCAACCCGTACCGTCAAAGCTCGGGATCAAACAAAACAGTCAGGAACCCCGTTCCGCCGCTTGGACTGCATCACGACCTTGACCACCCTCCTCCCTCCCGAGGGACGGATATTACCGACCGAGACATGCCCGATAGAACAACCGCAAATACGACGCCCACAGGTGCAGAGACGGTGCGGAGCAGGGGGGAGAGCATCACGCCTCTCGCAAGGCCAAGACCCCAGCATCTGGATCTCTCAAAGGCACACAAAAACGACTCTGGCAAGCTTCCAACCCCAAGCAAGTCTCCGCGCTCGTTCAAATCGAGCTTCATATTACCCAGTCGTGAAGGAAGATCTTCCCAGATGCGACCACAACAAGGACACGAAAAGCTTGCATCGGCCGAATCCTCTCCTCGCATGACAAGAAAAGAGGCCACCAAAGAGGCTGTCAAGAGAGAGTTGGGCAAGAACTACCATTATTTCTCAGGCAATACCGCCTTTTGTTGGGGAGGAAGACTTCAGAACGCCCGGGACCGGCCTGTGAATATTGCAACGGGAATATTGATCCTTGTTCCCTCTGCTCTCTTCTTTACGTTTTCGTAAGTCTTCCCAATTCATGGAAAGACCAATGAACCCGCTAACATGTCTTCTCAGAGCGCCATGGTTATGGCTTCACCTTTCTCCTGCGATACCCATTCTCTTCGGCTACTTGTTTTGTGTTTGTATTTCTTCTTTTCTTCATGCATCTGCTACAGATCCAGGAGTAAGCGCCAAAATGAATTCCCGCCATGCCAGTATGCTGACAAGATAGATTCTTCCTCGTAATTTACATCCATTTCCACCACCTAATCCTAATGACGACCCATTAAATCTTGGACCACCCACCACTGAGTGGACCATGGTCGTGTCAGCGACATCTCCAAACTCTGCCATGGAGGTGCCGACTAAGTACTGCAAAAGCTGCAACATCTGGCGCCCGCCGCGCGCCCATCATTGTCGCGTCTGCGATAACTGCATTGAAACTCAAGATCACCATTGCGTCTGGCTAAACAATTGCGTCGGACGCCGCAACTACCGCTATTTCTTTGTCTTTGTCACCTCTGGCACGATCCTGGGTTTGTTCCTGCTGGGCGCCAGCCTTGCACACATCCTTGTCTGGCGCCAGCAGAACCACGCGACTTTCGGAGCAGCAATCAACAAGTGGCGCGTTCCGTTCGCTATGTGCATTTATGCAGTTGTTGGAACGCCATATCTGTTTAGTCTGGCCGTCTATCATCTGTTCTTGATGGGCCGAGGCGAGACAACACGAGAATATCTTAACTCTCATAAATTCCTGAAGAAGGACAGACACAAGCCATTCAATCAAGGCTCTCTGTTGAGAAACTGGCTCGTGGTACTGCTGCGACCGCGACCGCCAACATACCTGCATTTTAAGAGAAAGTATGAAGAGGGAGACCAGCGATTTGGTCCTCGGAGGGGAAAGCGTAGTGCTCCCCTGACGGCGGAGCAGCAAGGTGGAGGTGTCGAGATGCAGGACGTTCGTGCTTCGCAGGGCTTCCAGGGTCCTAGCTCCAGGGCGGGGCCCAAGAGGTCACTGCGAGATGATGCTGGCAAAGATATAGCAGCATAGATGGTTTGTCAGGGGAAGCCCTGAACCTATTTCACGAGTCACTGTATAATTGTCATCACAAATAGTTCTCTAATGTGTATATATAACGTGGCGACGGTGACCAGCAGCGGGGCTCTCGAAGTAGGATATGGAGAGTTGGGCTGCTCACTGTTGGCGTGGGAGTGGAGGTGGGATGGGCAACGCCTGAGGCTAGCTCGACGTGGTTGCAGACCTAGCAATAAATGAATGAACCCGCCCCACGACGACGACTCCAGCGCAGAAGGCCAACGTACCCTGACATATGCAGCGGTTTATCAATTGGCGCAGGTGGTGGAATGGACGGCATGCTAGGGTGGTGACACAAGCGGATGAGGAATAGCCTAATTGGCTGGCTGACTAGCGGTTTATGTTTACCTCAAATGCTTCCGAGCTCTGCCTCCCTCACACGCTCCATATCGAACACCACATCTCGGTGCCGAGCTCGCACACCCGTCAATTCGCGGTGCACTGCTTCGTGCAGCCCGTACCGACCGACTACAGGCATTTTCTACAGTATTGGTCGTCTGTCGCGTCTTAACTTTCGAAGTGTCACCCCGTAGCCGGCCTGGATCCGCCAGACTTGGACCTCCTCTGCGCGTCCACGGCCTCAGCACACACCTTCCTCGCCCACAACCACCCCGCCTCACCCACCAGCACCATGGCTGGGCGCGACACATCCCCCTCGTCGACATCCTCCACCCTCTCCAACATCACCGTGCAGACGGACCGTCTCCCGGCCTCCCGCTCCATCAGCGCGTCGCCCCCAACGTCGACACCCCCAACGAGCCACGGCGATGAGGCCAGCGTCCTATCCGACACGCACAAGATGGACACCCCCGTAGAAGCGCGGGACGACGTCTCCACGCCCCGAGCGCATCCCCAAGCGCATCCCGAAGCGCATCTCGCGGTGGAGGCCACGCCTGAGGTGCCAAAGAGCGAAGGCAGGCGGTCAGCACGGAGCACTCGCGCCGCTGTCTCCACGTACAACGTTCAGATCCTCGCGGGCACCGCAATTCACACGCCGACGAAGTATTTGGACAAGCACCACAAGAATGTCTTGCACGGGCCGCTGCCGAAGAGTGCCGTTCACTCACTGATGGAAACCACTGAGGGCGGCGCGATCAAACTTGAGGACGGGGACTCCGGCGATCCTGCAGAAGAGCAGCTTGCCTCTGAAGCTGCCGAGGCGGCCCAGCGGCGTAGGTCTTCGCGAGTGACAGACCTCCGCAAGGAGGCCTTTCGAAACTTGGCTGCGGCTGGCGAAGCTGTTGCGCAGAAAGGCCAAGAGCTATTGGCAACAGGGAAACAAAGGGTGCAGCATGCTCTTAGAAGCAGTGTGGCCGAGCAGCGCACGAAAGAGTCGCAACAGGCACTGGTTAAGTCTTCGCCGAAGAAGCGCGCACGTGCCTCCGCAGCACCAACCCCAGAGGATGAGGACTCAGAGACGGAGACAGAAAAGGACTTTGTGAAGCCGAAAACTAAGAAATGGCTTGCGCAAGGGCTGTACCTGGGCCAGCATCGGGAGTTCGACGCCCGACTAAAGGAGAGCCAAAATCGGGCAAGGAGGAGGTCGAAACAGGCCAAGGAGAGCAAAATTCTTCCTCTCCCTATGTTCGCTGGAGAGCGCATGCTAAACGTAGATCCACAAAACGAGTGGCGAGATTTCAAATTACCTTTCGACACCTACAATCCGCTGCCTCGAAAGGTAAAGGTCGACGGCTGGGTTAAACTGCAAAAGAGTGAGTGATAAATGGTCAAGTTTGCATATTTGTAGGTGCTAATCGTGTCTAGATCGCTTTATTGGTGATGCGTCTGCTCAGTGGAAGCGTGAGAAGCAAGACTCGTCTCAATGTTACTGCTCCCCCGAAGACGGCTGCGGGGAAGCTTGCCACAACCGTATTATGTCTTACGAATGTGACAGTACCAACTGTCCACTCAGTCCCGAGCAGTGCGGCAATCGTCCATTCGCACAGCTCAAGAAACGGGCAAAAGGTAATCGGTACGATTATGGTGTGGAAGTCATGGAGACGGAAGACCGCGGTTATGGAGTGCGAGCTATGAGATGTTTTGAGCCCCACCAAATCATTGTTGAATATGCGGGTGAAATCATTACTCAGGGCGAGTGTGAGAGGCGTATGAAATACGTTTATAAAAAGGATAAGGTTGGTGATGAATTTCTCTCAATTCTCGCCCACCTACTGACTGATGAATCCCAGTGTTATTATCTCATGTCTTTCGATAACAAGATGATTATCGATGCCACTCGTGGGACTATCGCTCGCTTCGTTAATCATTCTTGTGAGCCAAATTGCGAGATGATTAAGTGGACGGTTGGTGGGGACCCTCGCATGGCACTCTTTGCCGGGTCTCGAGGAATCATGAGTGGGGAAGAGTTGACATATGACTACAACTTTGAGTGAGTTTCAGGTTGAAGATCAGCGTCTGTTCCATCACTGACACTTTTTGTAGTCCATTCTCCTCCAAGAATATTCAGTTATGCAAATGCGGTACAGAATCCTGCCGTGGAGTGCTTGGGCCTAAGCCCAAAGACTACAACCGCGACAAGAAGACAATGACGTCTTCAATCATATCTGGTACCAAGCGTAAGATTCAAGATATGTTGGGCGGTTCCAGAGGCTCCAGTAGCACCCCGAGCTCGCCAAAGAAGCGCAAGCTTTCCTCTCTTGCTACCACGGCGTTGACCAAAGCAAAGAACTCCCTTGCACAGACTGCTGCAAACGAGGTAAAAGCCAAGGAGAGTGCAGCTGAGCTCCAAGCTCAGAAGGCTTCTCGTGAAAACCGCGCGCTCCGCCGCTCTTCCTCCATGACTCTGTCATCAAGACGCTCTAAGATCGTCCACAAAGCATCTCGCCGTTCTCTACCCGTCCTCAAGTCAACACGGCAGACTACAGTCAGCATCAAGCACAAAACTCCCAAGCCAGTACCCAGACCAGGTGCTCTGAAGCCTATCAATAGAGCTTCACTGCTCCCTTCCATTCTCCAGCGCAATCTCCCAACATTCAAGGGCAGGAAGAGTCTCCCAACGTCCACGATCCCGAAAACTCCTGCTCGATCATCTCGGTCCACTCGATCCGCCCGATCCACCCGATCCGCTCGATCCGCTCGATCACCTTCGCCCTCCTCTCCTAACATCACGCCTGCCTCTCTTCGCAGCGCAAATCGCACTAGCTCAAAGAAACTTACACAGTCTAAGCTTAACTTCAAACCAGTGAACGATGTCCCCAGAGGATATAAACTAGATTCCGTGCTCTTCACCGATTCCGAAGATGATGATGACGATGATGTCGACATGGAGTTTGCGCCAAAGACTTCCCGTACTTCAAGGCGTCCTACCACTGCTAATTCTGTCCGTCGAGCCGCAGCCGGGGCAAAGAGAACGTTCGAGCGTGGTGTTCGGACCTCAAGGCGAGCTGCTGGTGTGGGCAAGGCTGCTGCTGGGCTGGGTTTCAGGGGTATGGGCGGTCGAGGTGAGGCTATTAGTGGGAGCACGATTCGTGTGCTTACTGGAGATGACGACTGAATGAACAGAACAACATCACGACTATTCTCTCTCTTAAAGCATTGCAAGGATAGGGATGATTGGTGGGTGCGATACAGTTTCTGTGGTGTCATGGGTAGTGGCTGTTGTTCGTCGCTGAATTTTTGGGGGAGTTCTCTGTCTTTTCGATGTTCTTTCTTCCTTCTCCCCCATTCTCCCTCACGCACGAGCAAACCCCTTTTTCAACATCGTCGGGGTGGACCGGTCTGTGAGATGGAACGGAACTCTCTGTTTGTATAATGGGAGCGCATGGAAGAGAGATCATGCATACATGGGCGGTCAAATGGAGTATGGTGAGGCTTGTTGGTTGTATCTCTTCTTAGCCTGGTCTGTCTCTGGCTGGTGTCTGTGAGGCGTTTGACGTGGTGTTTAGAGCAGCTGATGGGCCGGAATTGTGGATGTGGAGAGCGCTCCGGACACAGTGGTCAGACAGGTTGTGTTTTGCTTCAATAGATGGTGTTCCTATCCTCTAGTCTCCGAGAGTTTGACGTGATATGTTCGCTGTCCACTGCTCATAACTTGGCGTGTTCATTGTTGGATGAATGATACAAAGGCCTCGTCTCCCGGGCCTAACACTAGGAAGAGCGAGCCTAGATGGAATAATGAACGGGGAAGTGATATGTCTGTTTGCTATGTCAAGACCACCTTACCAGTAGAGCTAGCTATCGGTCTGTAACAAAACAAAGCCATGAAAAGTCCAGACCACGTACCTTCTCCTATCAAGACAGAAGTTCTAACCTGTCAGGGAACCAGTGGGATCCTTTAGCTTGGTTCCTATGTATCTTCTTCCTCGGGGACAATTTCCCGCGACCCCGAAGTTCCGCGTCCTCCTCCAGCCCCTTCAATAAACATGTATATTCGACTTTGTCTTAGCCACTCATACTCCTTCATACATTGACAGACAGAGCGTTGAGATACGTTGGTAGACCGCATTGAAAATTTCATTCTCTAATTGAATCGTATTCCTTTCCCTCCTCTCTAACAAACCAAAGAGAGTCTTGCAGCTGACTGGAGTGCGAGAATCCAGTGAATGGGTTAGATGGTTGGGTTTATTGACGTCACCCACTGAGTATCTTCCACATACATTATGTCACAGAGGGCGAAAGATTGGTCTCTCTGCCTGGCCGTCTGGTTGCCGTCTGGTTGCCTGCCTGCCATACAGAGTGTTTGCCTCAGTCTGAGCTACCAGCTATGACCAAGGAACAAGGATCTCAAAAACTACGAAACCACGAAACAAAATCTTCTGACTCAGCAAACCGGGCTTACGGCCTCATTTTCGCATTCAATTACAGTATCCATCGTCCCAAAGCCATATCCACCACTTAAAAGACCTAAAATCTCAGATGTTCTCCATGAAGAGTGGGTAGAGTGGTAAGTTGCATATATGACTCTGTGAAACCCGCAATTCCCATCATACTTTAGAAGGACATTTATCCATTGCTACGCCTCGCCTGCCCACCTGCCTGCCTTGCTGCGAGCACTAAAGCCAAACAACGGTGGTACCCTATCGTACAAAAGCCAAAGAAAAAGAAAGTAATAAAAGAGATTAAAAATCTTCTTTTCCTCTTTTCGTAATAGACCCAGACCAGACAGACCCAATCGATCCACGCCGTCTAAAATGCCACACCCCTGACTATCCTCCTTCAACTATTCGGTTCTCCCATCTCTTCTATGTCACAAAACAAATTACCCCTGCTGTTGCGTCGCCGCCTTGGCCTCACTTGCCGGCTTCGCCCCCTTCTTCTGCTTCTCATCCACGCTCCTCTCCTTCGCCTGATCATCTTTCGCTTCAACCGTCGGCGGCGCCTCACTAGCTTCCACCTCCCCCTTCTCCTTCGTCTCTGGATTCCTACCCTCAGCGTCTGGATGCGGTGGCGCCACACCCTTGCCACCCTGCTCACCCTCCACAACTCTCGCATCTACAAGCGCCTCGTGGATCTCATTTCCTTGCGCGTCGACGATGCGCGTGCGCGTCTCGTACCTTGTCTTGAAGCTGACTTTGCCGGCAAGCGCCGCAACTTCTTCTTCGTTAAGGATGCGGCCGTTTTCGTCGCGGTACTCGATGCGTTCCTCTTTTGAGAGGATGGGAAGTTCTTTTCCTAGGGGAGGGGAGTAGGAGGGTTTTGCGGAGACAATGGGTTCCTCGGGCTTCTTTTCTTCGTGTTGGACGGCAGGAGGAGGGGGAGGAGGTGGGGGTGGAGCTGCAGAAGAAGGCGCGGAGATGGATGCGACGACTTGTTGTGTGTTATATTGATCATACTAAAGCAGCCTCGTTAGTCTTTTACAATGGTTGGTTTCAGGACTTAGAACTTACAGAAGTATGGAAAGTGTTGCAGTCCCAGTCCCAGGTGCCAAACAGCTTCACGCTGTTGCACTGATCCCGTGTCCATGCATTACCATAGGCAAGCGGAGAGAAGATTGTAAAGACGGTGATTGTCAGGGCTAAGAATGCGACAGCACCGGCTTGGCCTATGGCAGGATATTGCTTGAGACCAAGAGCGCTGAATCGATAGCTGATAAAGTCATACATCTGACACAGCGCCATGATGGCAAAATACAGAGCCGGAAGGTAGTGATGTAAGAACAATTGACGAGCCATAAGGTAGAATGGGAAATAATGGAAAGCCCATCCAAGTATGGACATCCCAATCTCGTAGTCGAAGCGTTTGAAGGTGACGTTGGAGTAGTCCTTGAACCCACGCTGCCATCGGAGGATCGCGAAGCCCTTGATTGCGAGGTAGAGACCAATGACTGCAGTGGAGCTCCACCAAATAACTGGATTACCGATGAGGTAGATTTGGCGGTTATCTTTACCCCAAAAGTTGATACCTCGGCGGAGCACTGGCCATGAAGGAGGCCGGGAGTCCCAAGCGTGAGATTCAACCAGGCCAGCATTTGTCCGCCACATGACCTTCTGGAGCTCCCAGAATTTACCGAAGAATCCAGGGTTGCGATAGTTGACTTTCTCGGCGTCTTCCTTAAGCAGTGGGTGGGCATTGGCTTCAATATACCAAACGCTGTTGGGTAGAGTGCCTCCGCGAGCGCATGTGACCTCTTGTTGCTCATACGCCCAATCTGGGAGCTTGACCTTGTGGGAAAACAGCACACACCCTGTCATGAGATGGACAAGCCTGAATTTAGTCTCAATGGTCCTCAAGCGTTTCTTCGCCTCCGCGCCGTCAGACATTGACTTGACGATTTCGACACGGAACAGGTCATTCGCATCTCCCTCGAAGCCTTCATATCCATATGCCGATACTTCGTTTTGCCAATCTGCCTCGGTAACTGGGGCCCTAACATCATGAGAATGAAGACGTCGGTCAGTCGTAATGTGGTAAAGTCGAAGAACTGCGCCGTCCTCAATGAAGATTGGGCCCATGTTGTCCCACGCCTTGGGGCCTTCTGGCTTGGGGCCGTCAAGAACTTCGGGTAGGGTCTGGTTTTCCAAAATCCAGACATTGTTTTCGTCCTTGTGCGGGTAAAGCGTGATCTGTTGCTGTTTGCTACCGGTTGGATACATATGGCTATGGGAGTGAAGATAGCCGCCTTGGGTATTGTGATGACGAAGGGAGATTCGGCTGCCGAACGCAATGTCCGCCGCCACATCCTGCATTCCTTTGGAGTTGAGAGTGGCCTGAAACTCGGACGACATGAACCCATCACCATCGCCGGGGTTGACGAGGCAGATGAAATGAATACCGAACATGGCCATATAGAAGGTTAGGGGAATGACAACCAGGCAGAAAAGACGGGCGAAGAAGTGCTTGAACCAGAGGCGCTACATAATGATCATTAGCGCCCATCCTTGTCATGGAAGATATTCTGACTCACAGGAGTGACGTTCTTAGTGTCTCCAAGCAACACCCACAGTTGAAGGAGGGTCAAGCTGCCGACCCAAGCGATCGTAAACAAGCCAACCCACTTCACGCTCACGGTAGCTCCAAGCCCAACACCGGTGGCAGCCAGCCAGAACCACCACGACGGCTGGAAGGCCTTCAACGGGCCCTGTTCGTGCTGGTTTGTGAAGCTTGTCCATGCCAGGGCGGTGATGGCAGTGAATATAACGAGGGGCGAGTCGAGGAGAATCAGCCGGGACTGGGTGACGAGCGCATTATCTGCCGAGCGTCAACATACATGTCACAAAAATCAGTATCTAAGGGTCCAGCTCGCACCAAATATGACAAGGCCGGCGCCAAGCACAGCCGTAGTTGTTCGACAGCCCGCAGCCTTGAGGGTAAGAAACATGGTCGGGATAGTCGCAATACCACAAAGGGCAGGCAACAAGCGCATGGAAACATAGGGGACACCGGGCTCAAGGTAATCTTTTCCAATGTCCTTGAAGTCGAACTCGCCATCAAATCCAGCCAACCAACCAGCCAGCGTGATCAACATTTTTGCGAGGGGAGGATGAACGTCCATGAAGAAGCGGCCCTTTATGTACTTTGATGCAAATCCGCCGAAACTAGAGTCTTGGTGTCAGCCTTGGTGCTCGCCGCCAGACCTCCCAATGTCAGCGCGGACTTACTGGACCTCATCGAAGACAACGCTGCTCGGCTGATATATCCTGAAGAGACGGACCACAGCTGCCACGACGGTCAACAGCCCCAGTAGCTGCCAGTCGGAGCCCGGAAGATTAAAAATATCGTGGTCCGTCACGCCCTGGGAAGTGTATCCAGAGGGCTTCTGCTTGTGCTGCTGAGGCTGCTGGTGCTGCTGGTGCTTCCTCCCCTGAGGGCCTGGCGACCGTGAGGGCGACTTTCCTGACTGCCGCGCATCTTTTTTCTCGAGCAGAATGGGGTTATGGGCTGTTCGGTTCGCCATAGCGGCGGACTGTCAAGGAAAGGTGTCCTCGAGATGTGCGGCGTGAGATGTTCAAATATGACGAATGCCCTCGGGAGCACTGCAAAAAGTGTTAGCTGAGCTGTAGGCGATGCACGGAGTAGTCTAGGGACGAACAAGAGGAGTTAACGAGAGTAAGAAAGGTTAGGATGGTAATTGTGGGGGGGGGGCGACAGAGCGTGAGGGTGAATTGGTGGTGGCCAGGGGCCAAAAGAGATTCTGTCTTTGGTGTGCACCCTTGTCTGTATGGCAGCCGCGCAACTCACGGAAAGTGCAAGGTGTTCGTTCGGTGCTCTGCTAGCGGGCCAAGCATGGACGAGCTGAGCTGCAATCAAAAATAGCCCACAACAGATGGCCGTTTTCTTGTCCTTTCCGTGGAAGACATCTGTGGCAAAATTAACACCATCTACTCACAGGACTTTGCAGCGCTGCTATAGAGTGACCCGCCACTACAAGGCGCGACAAGACGTGTTGAGTGCGCCCAGACAGATCCCCTGTTCGGCAGTGCCAAGGCCGTCGGAAGGAGACGCGTTAGACGCGCGCTAGACCGCAGAAAAGCTTTCCCGAAAGCTCAAAGATCATGACTTATGCCTTCATCCTTAATCCAAAGCTCGCCTCACTCCAACCCCAACTCTCCACATCCTCCACCATGACTGCGGCAACACCAAACGGCGCTGACGCGTCGACTGGTGATGGCGGTCTGGCCGCGAAGCCTCCTCCAGATGTCGTGATCCCTCCAAAGCAAGTCCGCGACGACATCTCAAGGACAGCCGACTTCATCCATCGCAGAGGCGAGGGTACAGAACACCATCTGCGGGAACGGTCCGGTCACATGCAAAAGTTCTCCTTCTTGAACAAAGACGATGCATACTACGCCTACTTCGCCTGGTACCTCAATGAGTTGAATCAAGGCAGGGGTGCCACCGGAACAGACGGTACGGGCGCGCAACAGGCCCAGGACAACAAGCCAAAGGGACCACCCGAGCCACCAAAGTTTCGCTTCTCGGCGCGCATGCCCAATATCAGTGCGAAAGACCTTGAAATCCTGAAAGTAACTGCGGCTTACACAGCGAGGAATGGTGAAAACTGGCTGAAGGAACTCCGAGGTCGCGAGGGTGCCAATTTCCAATTCGACTTCCTCCGCCCAAACCACAGTTTCTTCCAATTCTTCAGGTCGTTAGTTGACCAGTACAAGATCTTGCTTGAGGATGAGGACACCGTCCAAGCCCGCATCGACGAGCTGACTCTCAACATCCAGAACCGCTTCCATGTACTAGACAGGGCTAAGGCGCGCGCCGAATACGTCAAGTATCAGGCACAACAGAAACAACAAGAGGAAAAGAAGGTGGAGGATGAGCGGAAAGAGTATGCTCAAATAGACTGGCACGACTTCAGCATCATTGCGACCGTCACGTTCGACGAGCTCGATGACCAAGCTGAGCTACCACCCCCAACTTCTCTCAATGACTTGCAGTCAGCTTCGTTGGAACAGAAGGCGATGGTATCTTTATCTGCTGGACGACTTGAAGAGGCAGCACCCGATGAGGAGACGTACTATAACGTTTCCCAGCAAGCTCCGCAGATGCCACCGCAGGTACAAGCACCGATGCAGTTTCCTATGCCACAACCAATGGCACCACCCGTTCAGCCTGTGTACCAACCACAACCACTGGCCGTTCAGGACTATCGAACACCCGCACAGATTGCCCGCGAGGAAGAGGAGGAGCGCGTCATCCGCGAGCGGCAGGCAGAGCGCGAACGCGCTGCGCAAGCGCAAGCCGCTGCGAAGGGAGCGGGTGGCCCAATGCGCATCAGGGCAGATTATGTACCTCGCGCGGGAGTCAAGAAGCAAAACGTTCCAATGGCTCTCTGTCCCAATTGTAAACAACAATTTCCTGCTAATGAATTGGAAGACCATATTCGAAGTAAGCTAAGACCACTGGATATCCTGACAACTCTTTGCTGATTGCCTTCCCAGTTGAACTGCTTGACCCTCGCTGGAAAGAGCAGCGGAATAAGATGGAATCGCGGTATTCCTCAAGTAACTTATCTACCGTCGATGTCGCCAACAACCTCAAGCGCTTCGCTAGCCAGCGCGATGACGTCTTTGACGGTGTCTCCGGGATGCCAATTTCCGAAGAAGAGCAGGCCAGGAGGAAGAAAGCAGCCATGTCGTACGATGGACAGCCAGACCCCGCTAAGGATGCTGTTCGTCTCCAGGAGATGCAGAGCATGAATTTGCAGGATCAGCTTAGGAGAATCAATGAGAAGCATGGAAGGAAGTAGCCCCCCGGGTGAGTGCACCAAAACCAGGAGATGAGATTTCGTTCTTTATTTTTCAAAGAGCTTGTCTACATTCTTGCAGCTATCTACAGCTAGAGTGATAGAGTCTCCCCAAGGTTTCTATTCATCTCGGTTACAAACTTCTTCCATCCGGCCTGGTAGCCTTATGGGATTCAATTGCATCAGTGGAGTTCATGGCAGGGAATCACCGTCTGTATAAAATCGTCGCTGGGTGGCGGAATGGGAATTCGTCGACAGACCTTTTACATCCGCTTCAATGTAGGCTCTTCCAGAGCAGATAATTCAGAACAATACCCAATACCCAATATAAAATAATAAAAATGAAAGATGAGATAGCTTGCGTTCTTTCGCCTATTCACTTGGCCTTAGTGCGATTTCAGGTTTAGCAAGATCGCCGCGGAACAGGTTCTAGAAGCTCGGTCCTTCGAGCTTTCTCCGACCTTCGGTTTGCCTCCAGTTATGATTTAATCAAGCTTCAGTTCGCACCATATTTTAGAAAGGGCTTCTTCAAAAAGTATTCTCTTCGCCAACATGTCGTTAGCACAAGTCAGCAAAGGCGACATGTCATACCAAGTACGATCGCTGGTATGTGTTCCTGCAGCAGGCCCCTCATTCCGCCACACTTCCGCAATGCGCGACGTGCACTAAAGAATGCATTTACGACCAAAGCACATTTCTGATAGCGTCCTGGTATCGGCCACGATAGTTGGAGAACGGCAAATATGCTAATGAATCGATGTCTGCAGTATCGGTCCCTCCTCCGTCAAAGTCGCCAATTCGCCGCATACAACTTCCGAGAATACGCCAAACGAAGGACGCGCGATGCTTTCCGGGAACATGAGAAGGAGACCGAGGAGAGGCGGATACAAGAGCTAATGCAGAAAGGGCTGAAGGAGCTACAAATGCTCAAGGTACGTTCTGGATACGTGGCACTTTGTGGGGATTGAAAGCACGATTTTGGCTCTTTGGGTCGGGAAGGTACGCTAACACTAGAACTGCAGAGACAAACCGTAGTCAGCCAATTCTATCAGCTCGATCGATTAGTAGTAGAAGGTGGGAAGACTGGCAAGGAGACAAGGGATAAGGGCGGGATTGCACGGCAGAAGGACACTGGGTAAGCCGTTCCGAAGGCGGGCACTTCACTCACCAATGCGCTAATATTAATTCCAGGTGGGACTGATCTCGTTTGGAGATTTTGGGACTGAGCCTTTTGTTTGAACCACTCTCCTCGGGCGTTGGCGTGTTTCTCATCCCGGCGCATCTGCCTTCCGGAACCGGCAGCAGCAGCATCTCCTCATTATAGCTACTATGGGATTGTACTATACTTAGACATGGATTTACATGCAACACGTCAACTCCTATGGCGTTGTAGATATACAAACCCTACTTTCACACTGCAATCTGAGCACAACACGGATATCAGGGTGCTTCAATTTGTCAATGACTAAACGGGGTACTCCTGAATAATCCAAAATGCACATGCGCCCACCAGCACACAAATTGTCGGATATAATGGGTCATGAAGGCGGACATGGCAGTCGATGGCTGTTCCAGGACAATAGGTAGTTCCATGTGCCAAAGGGAAAATATATCGTTCACCGCCAAATCCAGTTAGTGCAATGCACGGTCGCGATCATCTCAGCCTCAAGCTGCAATGGATCGCGCCTGCCCAACACACCGCGCTGCGACTTCCCATCATCGAACGCATCAAGATTCGCCCATCACGCCAGGCATCTGCTCCGTGCAGTCACGCGATCTGAACTTTCCGCGTTCACCATGGCTCCGGTACGTATTTCCGCTCCCGTTGTACCTTGGGTCTTCACCTGTCGTCTCCAACCCCATTGCTTCTTCACTCAGCGCAAAACCAGAGTTTGCTTTCAATATATTTCCCAACGGCGTCTTTAATCCTATTCTATGATTAAATAACGCGTCTGCTCGCTCGATACGTGCGATCAAATACCTATCCATAGGACCGCGGGTCTAGCCCGCTCCCCTTTTCTAAGCCCGGGAGGACTTGACGTATCTTGAGCTTTTCACACCTCTCTCTATTCTTTTGAATGGAATATGATTCGCAGTCTGATATCGTACTCCTTAAATTCAATATCTCTAAGGTTGAACCCAGGCTAACAGCACGTGACCAGTTTCGACCTGGAGGCCGATCCAATCGGTCTGGGCGTGGCCCCGTCGAGCATAATGTGCTCGAAGGGTTACCCATTAACCAGTATCGAGTAATGGAAGTCACAGTTGGAATGAATGACCCCGAACAAAAAGAGATCGATAAAGATGCGCGGCCCGAGCTACCAATGCCGCGCGACTCTCATATGCTCCCAGAGCATTCCCAACAGCTTCTCCGGGCTGCACGCAGAGGGCGGGTCATACAACCGCCGGCTCCGCCAGATGAAGAGAGGGAAAATTTAGACGATGAAGAGGAGCACAAGGAAGTGGAACGTGGGTTTACCGTGAAGAAATTTGTCAAGGTACCACGACACCTCGAAGAATCTGAACCGGAGTACCTTGCGAAAAGACGGAAAGGCCTTCCCTCACAGTATACTCCCACCACTGGCCAAGCGCCGGTGCAGCCAACCCCGATGAGAGAGACGAAAGTAAAGAAAGTGGATGCGGAAGGGAATGTCGCTGTTTACAAGGTTCTTGTTCCCGAAGGTCAGGCGGTTGAGGGCGAGGTCCAGGAAGCGGACCCTGTCGCCACAGAAGTTGCACCAGCTGTGGCTGCCCCAGGGACCGTCGTAGAAGGAGTCGGAGTTGTGAACGCAGAAGGAGTTGTTGTAGCCAACGATATCCCGCAACAAACACCACCGCGCAGAAGGCCTCCCCCTCCTAAGAAGAAGGCGAGAAGGGGGCCTGGAAGAGGCCACAAGAAGATAAAAGTGCCTGAAGGCGGGATGGAAGGGGGAACAGAATCAGGAACTCCCGCATCAGGCGCTAATTTACTCACAGTTCCTCATCTCAAACAAGAAGAGGGATCAGTCGGGCCTTCTGATGGTGACACGCCGATGGCAGATGCTGGAGAAGAGGAGGGCGAAAGCGACGGGGGGTCAGAAGACGATGATCGCGAGGATGGTGAGCTGTCTCCGACGCCTGTTCAAAGAGCCACGCCTTCGGAGGCGCTCGTAGAACTCGTCCCCGAGCCTATCTCCGAACCCAGCAAGGCGCCTGCTGAAGAACCAGCACCCATTCAAGAGATTCCAATGAGTGATGAACCTCCTGCGCTTGCAGGACTCACAGCACCTGCTGAAGAGCCTGCAGAACCCACTGAACCAGAAGCTAAGCCTGAGAAACTGCCTAATCGCGATCCTTCTAGCTCCCCTGACTTACCACTCGCCACCGCTATCGCTCATAGCCGTCAAAACTCGCTGAATCAAATTCCAACCCTTCCCTTAGAATCCGCACTCGAGATTGGCACGATCGAACCTGTTCCCGAACCCGTTAGCGAGGCGCCTCCAACTGAAGCTCCGCCAACTGAAGCTCCGCCAACTGAAGCTCCGCTAACTGAAGCTCCGCTAACTGAAGCTCCGCCAACTGAGGCTCCGCCAACTGAAGCTCCGCCAACTGAAGCTCCGCCAACTGAAGCTCCGACAACTGAAGCTCCGACAACTGAAACTCTGCCAACTGAAACTCCGCCTACTGAAGCTCCGCCAACTGAAGTTCCGCCAACTGAAGCTCCGCCTACCGAAGCTTCCCCTCCCAAAGCTCCCACTGCGCAAACGCCTCCGAAAGAGGTTGCCACCACAGAAGATGTTCACATGTCCGATGGAGAACCAGATATACTAGGAAGCCTAGAAGCACATTTAGAAAAAGACAGCCGGATGATGGCAGGTCCATAATCGGTCTTTTATTACTTGTAATCTAACTTTTGATGTTGGCTCAGCTTGAAGTAAATCGTCGCAAAAACCGGTCCCAGTTTAGAGCGGCTACATTGTTTATGTCAGACCAGCTTCTCTCGCCAGTCTTTGAAGAGCGTCCGGAGCCTATGAATAGTTCAGCGGATACGACGATTGGCTCAACACACCGCCTGGAGACTCTCCGTAGATGGGTTAGAAGTCACGCAGGGAAGCTAGGTTTGGATGGGAGGTCTCTGTAGGATACTACTTGGGTATAAGTCCTCCTTCTCTGTCTGTGTTCATTTATATTAGTCATAGAGCTTCTTTGAATTGAGAGCAGCCACCGCTTTTCCCTTCTTCTCTCTTCACGTTCTCCTTTGCCCTTTGCATCCGTGGAGTGTATATCCTTACTAAGCGATGCGTCAGTAGCTTCGGTCATGTAGCTACCCCTCTCTATCCCGGAAACGATGCTCAGATGTCTGCATCGCACTTTGTCCGACATCGTTGAGATGCGGAATTAGCCCGTGCTTCGGTTGTAGTTTGACCAGATATTATACTCAATAGTTCGTCAATCTCGTTCATTGCATGACACCAGCATCCTTAAAATGCCCTCAATCAGCGAAGTCATTGAAGCCCACCGGCCCGCACTAGGTCAGTATGAGGACCTCTGTAAGTACCCTTCACCACATGACTTCCGGACACTCCACTCATACCAAACTATAGATAAACATTTCCACACATCTCCTGAGCTCTCATTCCAGGAAACAGAAACCGCGGCCAAAATAGTAGACCATCTCAAAAGCCTTGACGTATACGAGATCTTCGCCAACATCGGCGGTGGTGTCGCTGCTGTGCTCAAAAACGGAGCCGGGAAAACCATCCTACTCCGCGCAGATATCGATGCGCTACCTGTGGAAGAGAAGTCAGGGGTAGAGTATGCGAGTACGAGGAGAATGAAGGATTTAGATGGTGCTATGAAGCCGTGTATGCATGCTTGTGGGCATGATATGCATATTACGGCATTGTTAGCGGCGGCGGAGACGCTTGCGAAAGCGAAGGAGATGTGGGTGGGGAAGCTGGTTTTAGTGTTTCAGCCGGCGGAGGAGAGGGCAGGTGGGGCTAGAGCGATGGTGGATGGAGGTTTGTATCAGAAGGTTCCGGAGCCAGACCTGTGTGTGGGTGCGCATGTTATGGCTTATCGAGCGGGTAAGTAGTCATTTTTATTGGTATATTTACGAAGAATTCTGGAAACTGATGCGAAGAAGGTGTGATTGGAACTAGACATGGCCTTGTAGCTTCGTCGGCAGATTCTTTTCTGTAAGTTGACAAAACTATATCTCCTTTATCTTTGGTCATACCATATTGACTGACGGCCAGTCTCACCATCCACGGTCGACAAGCGCATGCCTCAATGCCGAGTCGAAGCATCGACCCTATAGTTCAAGCCTCCAGCACTATCCTGCGCCTCCAAACCATCGTAGCCCGGGAAGTGGACCCAGCAGATTTTGCCGTCGTCACTGTCTCAGCAATCCATGCAGGAGACGCAGAAAACATCATCCCAGACCGCGCCGACGTCAAAATCAACGTGCGGACCGCCAAACCAGAAGTCCGCGAACGAGTCCTCAGCAGCATCCGCCGCATTATCGACGCCGAAGCAGCAGCGTCCAACGCCCCTCCACCTGAGTTCAAACCAACAACGCAATTCCCTTTCCTATATAATGACCCTGACGTCACTTTTGCGCTCGAGAAAACCTTCTCATCGCTCTTCCCTCTTTCACCGCATGGATACACTACAGATATCCCGCGTTTGCCTGGGAGTGAGGATTTCGGGATCCTGGCGACAAGTATTGGTAAACCTAGTTGTTTCTTTCTGTATGGGGGCACAGATCCAGGGTTGTACGATAAGGCGGAGAAGGAAGGGAAGTTGTTGGAGTTGCCGGTTAATCATAGTCCTTTTTTCATACCGGTGTTGCAGCCAACGTTGAAGGTTGGGGTAGATGGGTATGTAGCGGCTGCTTTAACTTTCCTGGGGAAATAAATGAGAGATATCGAATTTTAGACCCATTGAATTATTACTGCTTTGGCTTGGTATTCCGTGTTGTGTGTTTTCGTGATTTTGTGTACCCGTAGAGCACAGTCGTGCCTTCCTTTCTAATCCCGCTGTTGCCATTCGCTATCTCACTTGCTGCCACATCACTCTTCCATCACGGCTACTACTCAACATCTCGGTGGGGCCCCTCCTCTCTTTCTTTCTTCCATGTTTACTTCTGCTCGGTTCATCTGCCTACCTCTCTCTGTCGATGGCGCTTAGTTCATCCCACAATGGTCTCTTTCGACATGTTCCCAACGAAACTAGCCTGTGAGTTGATAAGCTACCTCAGACCCAACGACCTTACGAAGGACGCACGAGGGTGGGAATTTCAGAGATATTGCCCAGCTCGAAGCTCTGGTGGAACATCGAGCTTCACCGTCCACATTTGCACACCAAACTTGTCGAGTTCACTACGAAGCCGAAATATCAACGAGCGTATCTCACCAATGTGATTTTAATTCTCCGAGAGCTCCCCTGTTGATGTTAGGTTAGGGAAACCAATCTGCCGGTCATAGAACACATGCATCTGTGCAGGCTCCCGCTCCACCTGCAGAGGTGAAGTGAATCGATAGGAACACATTTGCTCTTGCATATATGCTAAACTCACTCGAGAACAGCAACCGAATAGTCTCAGCTTACCTTCAAGCTTCTGAAGGAATCGTGGCCTTTGGGAATGATGGTAGGTCTTTTGTTAAAAATTAACGTTGTTCATCGAACTCTTTGGATTCCAATCACGCAAGTCTGCAATAAGACCTCTGACTGGGTGGCCCGTTTCCTCGAGAAAGCATTGGAGCTTCGCCATTTAGGTATCGTAGATGATGGCAAACTTGGCGCTACACACTGAGCCCAGGTCACTTCGCATCACCGCTCCCCTCGTGCCTTCACTGGAGTGTTGAACAATGGCCTTTAGAGAATCAAGCGTTGTAGGACAAGACAGCATTACGGGAACAGTTTCTGACCTCCTGCAAAACATGTCCAGGGTAATATTGAACAGAAATTTGCACCTCATTATCCTGCCACTTGTCCGAGCAAGGGGTTTAATAGCTATATTCTACCCTGATTATGTCCTATGTTAGGTGATAAGATGAGCGGTAGTTCAAATGCAGCCGTTGCGCTAGCACCCTGGACAGGATAATCGGAGAAATGCTGACCCGCACCCACTTTTGTTGGCACAACCGGATTGTAACAGATGCAATATTGGTATCTCCTTCGGTAAAGTGAAGGGGGTGGGATGCAGCGGTGGGTTTGGATCAGTCGGACTTGTTGTTGGATTAAGAAGGTTGTTAAAAGGAAGCCAGTTTTTTAACCAAGAGCAGGCCTAGTTCTACTCTTTTAGAAGTGTCGACATGCAGTCCGTCTACGTAAAAGACGCTTTCTCAAGGACTCCGCCAGTGAGCAACTTAGTTTTCTGCAATCAACAACTCACTAGAAGTAGCTGCTAGAACTAGGGAGGGTGTCGGAGGAATTTTCAAGAGAGAGAGAAAGGGGCTGAAAGGTGACGCGAGTACCTTTCAGCGCGACGAAGCGATAATAGTTTAATCCAGAGTTCGCTGAGGGCACCCTGCTCATTCTGCGCGATTGAAATCTCTCATAGTCTGGCTAGAGATGTTGGCCTCTTACGAAGCCATTTTGTATAGCGGAATTGAGGAGGAAGATGTTGAAGAAGACGTTCCACTAAGGCTGAGGAGGAGGTCTAAAGTAGAGACTGAGCTGCTGTGCCTTTCGGGGAGGATTGTGGACGACAATTTGGTGGGGCAGGACGACCAAAGAGGCAATCCATGGCTCGCCGCCTGAGATGGCTTTGATCTAGGAGACTTGCACTGCGCTCAAGGCAGGAAGGGTGGCTAGCCCGAGGAATAGGAAATGTTGATGGTGGGAAGAGGCTGGAATGGATAATGGAAACCTTCAAGGATATTCTCGAATCAAGGCTTCGTTTTGACAAAGCAGAGCGAGTCACCTTTTTAGATCGTGACATTCATCCCTCTGAAGCGGTATTCGAAAGAAAACCTGTGGCTTTTAGGTGATCTTCCCACCTTGCGTTCATTTTTGCTCTTGTCTCGCGTAGATTGTACTATAATTCGATGTGGTAACGATCAGCTAGTCGCATTTCCGCGCCACACGCCGCGTCGATTGGCGCTTCTGTGAGGAAGGCCTTTTGCTCAGCCCAAATGCGGCGCCCGTATTCACTGCCTTCGTCCGGCCCCATGCAAACCGGTGAGCTGGACTGGACTTGCCGCCGCGCAAGCTGACTTTTGACAGCCTGCCTACGTCCTTCCAACTCTTTCGATCGACAGGTTCGATCCTGAACAAGATGCGATGCCCCAGTTAACGTTTGTTTTCGGACCCAACAACACCTTCTTCTTTGACTGTCCCAAGTCATGGAAATTGTGAGTATGCACGGAAGAAGAAGTGGAAAGGGTGTGGCAGCTGACCTGACATCCCACTAGTCACAATATCCCGGCGAGCCTCCGCTCGTTGATGAATGCGTCCATGAGCCCGGCGTACCGGATAGCACAACCATATTGCCTCGCGCTTGGCCCGCAGAACAACTCGGCGGAACCGATTTGGTATATAGGATGTAAGGTGTGCGACGGCCAGGAGAAGATCTGTAAGTAGCTTCAGCCTTGTCGCAGCCTCCGAAACGAAACGCCGGGCTAATCGCATGCGGCAACAGTCTACTCTCAGAACACCTTCGATATCAACTATCCCGACCTGTCGCGCTGGATTAAAACGATTCCGAACGCTCCGCGGCAATGCGTAATAACGTTTGGCCCCGCGCTGAGCTTCTTTGCTTGTGCGCCGGGCTTAGGGTCCATCTGGGCCGGGATACCAGGAGATCTGAGCGATAAAGTGCAAAAGGCGTTTGATACCCCGTGCAATGTGTCGCTGGGAATGAATAATGCGTGGTTCGTCATGTGGCCGGATGGGTATTACGCCTGGAAATTCTACGGCGGCTATGCGACCCTAGATAAGATTCTAGATGCTGCAGAACCGCGATCAGTATCTGTAAGTTGTGGAGAAACTTCCATGTTCTCCCTTAAATGCTAATTCGTGATTAAGTATCTTGCGGTAAGCCCGTACAACGCGGATCAATACTTTGTTGCTTTTAAGGACCGTACTGTAAAGTACAACCTCTCGCCGGAGTGGATGCCTCAAATGCAAGAAGTCTTCCGGGAATGGCAGGTAGAAATTATGCAAAAGCAGATGGAGATGATGCAAAAGGCAGGATTTCGGCAGCCTCAACAGCCTCAACAGCCTCAACAGCCATATCGACATTCAATAGCGGGCCAATACCCTCCTCAACCCACTCAGCCACAATGGAATCCGAATCCATACCCAACCTCGCCCGCTTCTCCAACTCCTAGCTACCTCAATCCTTCAACGCCAAACACACCTCTACCAGCATATTCAAATCCCGTCACACCGGGGTTCTCGTTGTACAGTCCGTATGGAGACCAGCCGCCAGATAAGACACCAGAAGTAATGAATGGAGCTATGTTTGCACCACAGGGTCCTCCTCCTAGGTCGGCTTCTACAGAAGTAGGTTCCCCTGATCAAACACTCATGAATCCTTTGCTAACGTGCCGTAGAAACGGAAAAGTTTTTTATCGAAACGGATGAGCCATAGTGCTGCACCGGTCGCAGGGGCAGTTGGTGCCAAAGCAGCAATAACTATGGCCACTGAGGGAAGCCAGACTTGCGCTGTCATGTAACGACATAATGAACCTCTCCTTTGAGTTCCAGGATTCTGAATGCGGGAATGGGGATATCAAAATGGTTTTGGGGTTGCATCTACAAGGGCATCCTCGGTCTTTGGGTTTGGCATCTTACGCACGTTTTTCTGTACGTTATACCCAATATCAAACCGATCATTTCTTCGTCTCCTTCAGCCTTCAACCGCCTTCCATACTCTACCTCAAAGTCCTCTATCCGATATTACACGTTCCTCCAAACCACAAGTGGGGAACCATCACATTCATATACGGCGCAACCTCGGAATCATGCACCGACCTTCCCAATCCAGCGTAACCCTTGTCATAACAAGACTCGTACCTGCAGCCGGCCAAGGATGACGTTGAAATTGAATGCTGCGCTTTTCTCCACTGTCCACTCGTCATCTTGCATTTCTCATCGGCAAACTGTTTGCTTGTTCCGACACGGTGGTGCCATTGCGAGTCGCCCTAATCTCCCGGAACCCGGATTCTGTGCGGAATTAATAATGGGGTACAAAATGATTGCTTACCCTCTTTTTGGTCCTGGGTCTGCTCCCTGATTGCGCGTCTCTTCTGCCGTGTTTATTTTCTACCGCTTGCTGTCGGGTCGTCGCTATGACTCTCACAGAACGGTTTTGGATAGCCAACATCCTCGCCACCTTGCTGTTCGCTACATGCGCATCAGCAGCAGATCCAACGGTCACCGTCCTCAATGGCACATACGAAGGCCTGTACCTTCCGTCCTTTGACCAAGATGTCTTCCTCGGAATCCCATATGCACAAAACACGGGCGGGCAAAATCGGTTCCGAATCCCACAGTCGCTAAATACAACATGGAACGGCACACGCGCGGCAAAAGAATACGGCAACGCATGTCCAGATTTCACACCGGTTGCCGACGGCGTCTACGGCATGAGCGAAAACTGTCTCAGCATCAATATCGTTAAACCCGCTTCCCTAGCCCCTGAGCAAAAGGTCCCCGTGCTGGTCTGGATTCATGGCGGAAGTTACCAAGTCGGAACTAGCGCGTTGCCGAATTATAATTTGACGTATCTTGTGCAGAGGTCTGTGGAAATTGGAAAGCCTATCATCGCTGCAAGTATCAATTATAGGAAAGGAGGCTGGGGGATGATGTACTCGGTTGAGATTCAGGGCAGTGGGAATACAAATCTTGCGCTAAGGGATATGCGCAAGGGGCTGGCTTGGGTTCAGGAGAATATTGGGGCGTTTGGAGGGGATGCAGGGAATGTGACTATTTGGGGAGAGAGTGCAGGCAGTTTTGCAATTGTAAGCTCATATGAACTAATAGGAGTCAGGCTTGAGGCGTGTCACTGACGAGGGATAGGGACAATTGCTGATGAGCTATGGAGGCCGAACGGATGGGCTGTTCCATCGATCTATCCAAGAATCGGGCTCTGCTGCCACGGCATGGTACAACGGATCGGATTGGTATCAACCTATCTACAACAAGATTGTCAACCAGACAAATTGCACAGACTGGCCTGACACCCTGGAGTGTCTCCGCACAATTCCATACGAAACGATATCCCAATTCGTGGACAGTTCGAAAGTCGAAGGCCCCGGCTGGTATCCCACCGTCGACGGCGACGTCATCCCCAACTATCCCACCGAGCTTCTCCGCTCCGGCCGCTTCGCACATATCCCCCATCTGTACGGAACAAATACCGACGAGGGAACCGACAACGCCCCCGTTGGCGTCATAAACACCGACGAGGAGCTATATGCCTACCTCTTTGGCAGCACAGGCTACGATTTCCCCCCCTCCGTCGTACAAGAAATCATGCGTCTATACCCCGACGACCCCACCGTCGGGATCCCACTCAACACGGGTAGCGAACGCTTCGCCGACCGCGGCTACCAATACAAACGCATCGCCGCCATTGTCGGCGACGTTTTCTACCACGCGCCACGTCTTGACGACGCCCGATGGTACTCCAAATACAGTCCGACATACATCTACCGTTTCAACACACGCCCCTGGCTGAACAACACTAACGCAACCTACACCGACCTCACCGGCTCACTCGCCCCGGATTACAAGGGTGTGCAGCATTTCAGTGAAGTTGCGTTTGTGTATGGAAACCCGGTTTTCGTGGGACCGTGGCCGGAATATCAGGCCCTGAGCAAACAAATGAGTGCACAATGGATTCACTTCGTGAATGGCGGGGATCCGAATGCGGAGGGTTTACCAAAGTGGCCGAAATATAGTGATAGCACGAAGGGGCTGAATTTAGTAATACAGGCGACTGGGAGGGGCCAGAATGGGAGTTTTGTCGAAGAGGATACATATAGGTTGGAGGGCAGGGAGTATTTGACTAAATGGGCCCGGAGGAGGCATGTTTGAGGAAGGGGCTGGAGTGGAGGATGAAATTTAATGCTCTAATTTAATTCAGAGATGGGGACAAGTGCTCACTTGAAGGACAGCAGCTCGAACTTTGATATTGATGGCTGTGAGACCCAAAGCACGCATTAATAGAGCCATGTTTGTACCGGGTATCTTACGAGTTTCATTACGGGATCATTTAAGGGATCGTTAGAAACAGGGAAGATGCAAATGTGCAAACGATGTCATTGATTTCGAGACTCATTGGCACAATGATTAGGTTATCCAACTCTCCAAAATCCTTTTGGGTGAATTTGCAGATGCCCAACCGCGTAACCTTAGTTCACCACGACCAAGGGTTTTGGCACTAGCCTCAAACCCCTTGAGAATAGGTTATTTGGATCATACTTATACTTCAAATCTTCCAATTTCTTCGCATTTCTGCCGTAGATATCAGTCGCAGAAACGTCGAGATCTGATTCCCACACATATCAGAAAAAATTCGTTAATCACACCTCCAAAGTGATGGATGAGCAGCACTTACTCGCATAATTCCCATATACACCCACACCCTCCACACTCCGGACCTTCTCGTCTTGGACGACGCCGGCGGATTGACTCGCCTTCTTGAGCAGGTTCCTGCTGAAGTCCCGGATTTCTTGATCGAGCGATGGGTCGAACCTATAGCCCCAGTCAGCGTGAACATCAGCATCAGAAAGCTTAAGCGCATTCACTATTGAAACAGGGGGTGTGGACCCTCGGGGTCTTACCACTTGAAGCAAGTAGCAACATTATAATAATCCCCACGATTCGAAAAGGCCATCTCTTCATTCGACACCTCTAATATCTTCGTAAACGGAATTGTCTCAAATAAAATTAAACTCTCATTCATACGCTCATGTGAATTCACAAAGTCCAAAAAGTCAGCATGGATGCTTTGCACGAAGGCCGGGTTCAGCGGCAGCTTAAACGCGCCGCCACCGAATTGCTTGCGGCCGTCGAAACCAACGGCGTGGTTGAGCAAGCCGTTGAGCTTTTCGTACGGAATCATGGATGTCGTGTTGGCGACAGGGCCGAGATTGATCAAATCGGTGAAAAATTCTTGCCCCGCAGATTCGGAACCGTTGTAGAAGACTTGGGCTAGCACGACGGGGGCGTTAGCAGGTGGCGGGGAGGAGAAACCCCATAAGAGAGCTTGGTTTCCGTCGCTTGTGGCGTGGAATTTGTTTACAAATCTGACGATTTGAGGGAGTTTGTCAGGGAGAAAGACGAGGGTCTGAAGTCGGGGGTACAAAGTCAGCACGATTCTTAAAGGCAAATGGTTGGGCACTACTCCTACTTGGTCTATGCAGCGTCCTTCCAAATGCCAATCAAATGGCATCTCTCAGACTTTGCAGCAGACTATGGAGTTTGTACCCTGGGAGTTACGTACGCCTGCAAAAACTGGGTCTGGTTGGTCGTAGCCTTGGAATGTGAATGCGGTGACGACACCGAAGTTTTGGCCTGCACCCCGGACGGCCCAGAAGAGATCAGGGTGGGAGGATTCAGATGCTGTGACAAGTTGGCCGGAAGCGAGGACAATTTCAACAGAGATGAGGTTGTCTGAATGATTTGTTAATAGCCTCCGCTTCAAGTTCATGTACAATGGGATGTAAGATACCAATTGTGAGCCCATGCTTCCCACTCAAGTATCTTGGAGGCATTAGCAAAAAAAGAAATGAGCACATGGAAAAGGGAAACATACCCATACCCTCCTCCCAACGTGAGACCCCCTACACCAGTATGATTCACCGTCCCCCCAACAGTAGCAAGTCCAAATTTCGCAGCCTCCATATCGACGTCTTCCCAGATGGTCCCGCCTTCTGCTCTAATAGTCTTGGCTTTGGGATCAACAGCTACTTTCCGCATCTTGGAAAGATCAATAACAAGTCCATCATCAATGGAGCTCGATCCAGACGTGGAATGGCCTCCACCACGGACCACAAAGGGAATCTCGTTCGTCTGCGCAAAGTTCAAAGTCTTGCTAATATCGGATGATGAGGTGACTTTCACAACGGCTTGCTAGACATCACATTATCAGCATCAACACAATTTATCTTCCAGCCATATGAAAATGCAACGAACAGATCAGGGAAGATCTCTTAAGAAATACAATTGAGGTGAGACGTCATGTGCGAAATAGATTGAAATAGTTCTCACTCACTGCTTTCTTCTCACAATGCTCACTCCACCTCTTAATACTCTCCGCATATCCTGCACTACCCGGTGTCAAAACCTCAGCCTCTGATCCCTTTAACTCGTTCTTCAAAATCGCATAAACATCTGGTGTGTTCCCCATGTTGGATCCCTGACTTCTTTATCTGAGCGTACGGAGGGGTAACCAAGACCAGTGACGAAGCTCGAAGTTGCTGGTTCGAGAGAGGTATCTAGGAGGAAAAGACAATACCTTGACAGCTTGAAGTCTATGGATTAGTGCTTGCCTAAACTGGAGATGTTGTGGCCTGTGGTCTGAAATAGGATAGCTTTAGCGAATGGTGCTCATTCTTTGTCTCTCAGCTCTTGTCCAGACGATGTGTTTTTCGTCCTTTACCATAGAAAACAGGCAAAGTCCCACTTAAATACTTGCAGCCTGTCTCAAAACCCGCAATGGATGTGATCGCTCTAGTCTCAGCTCTTGCTAGTGTTGCGTAAAAGTCGATCGAATCCAGGAAAGTGAGCTATCGAGAATGCAACGCTGAAGCAAATTAAGAGGGAGATGCGAGCCTCAACCGAGGCTAAATAACTAAGGCTGATCAGCTCGCTTAAACCCCTTCCACAGAGGTAAGCTTGATGAGAAATGCAAGACTTATTTTAGGCTTGAGTCTTGTCAAATCTAGCCCGTTAGTGTTTCGCACGTGGACAGATTGACGGAGGTGAATTGTCTCGATTCATCTGTCGTCGAGTTGGGGTATTTTGTCGTGTAGTTATACATATCGGAGGTTGTACCAGATCCCCCAGAAAACACTGCCCAATGCTAGAAAGTTGTTGTACAAGCGTCGCTCAACCTACATGTATTTCGTACATTTCATTCATTCATCCAAAATATCCGAGGGTTTCTGCTTCCTTCCTTTTCTACCTCTACTTCCTCTGATCTTCCTATCTTGGCTATATCGCCCATCGGTCTTAGCCCGCATGCCCGCAAAACCACTATCACCAATGTCAACCTCGATAATTTGCTTATTCGGTACCTTGATCCTCCTCCCCTTCTTATCGATCTGATCTCGAGGCTTGCCTAGCCTGATATTCTTCGGAATCCTGGTCTTCGCGCCCAATGCCCACAAGTCTCCCCAACGAGCCTTTCGAGCGTCGCGGAAAGCTTGCTTGCTAAAGCTGCGAGGCACTGTCCATCGCTCGAGCTTGCCAGCCGGCGTGCAGACGTCTAGAAGTATATGGCCTCTACGCTTTAAAGCGGGGAGTATCATACGAGGGAGGGTAAGAGGATTAACATCGGCAGGAGTTCGGAGCTCGTCTTCTGAGTTCCACTCGTGTCCTCCGAAGGCCTCTTTCGTAACTTCCTCATCCTGGACAACACCCTGGCCAAGAGGGTCGTGAAGCGGATTCCGTTGGTCCCGGCCGCGTTGTACGGCAAGGTAGCTGAACTGGACATCCTCGTGGTTGCGATCTGTTGCATTAAGAATCCTCTGGAGGTAAGGTGGGCGAATATATCGCTGGCTAAAGAAACACAAATCCTTTCTCCCTGTACTAATACCAGGCGTGAGGTACATAGGGCATTTGCTGTGGTTCGTGCAGGGGGCGATGATCATACCCGTGTCCTTTGTGACGAATCTTGTATCATCGCCATTGTCTGTGGTCTGCTTCTCGATGGGAATCTCAACCTCAGTCGAGTCCGGCGATGATATGTGCTTATCTAGGAGATGCTCGCGTGCGGCAGCGATGACTTCGAACCCACGGGGCAACCCCTTCTCAAGAAGTATTAACACTCCCCCTTTTGGATTCAAAAGTGACCAGTATTTGTCGACTTGCTCTTTGCGCAGATATTCCTGCTTTATTGGCCACAGAGTATGAGGCGCGATGATAACATCGTAAAGTTTACGTGGCTGCTGGGGATTCAGTTCCTCTCCAGCTTGAACTAGATCCGGTAGCCGTGGTATGAAGGTGGTGTTTTCTAGAAGTCGGCTGGAACGATGTCGTAGAGCGTCAGACCCGGTTAGAACTGTTGCTTTGCCCAAAGGGACAGAGCCATGGGAAGTCGCACCACTATCCTCGTGCATTCGGTGCCATTCTGCCCTAAGGACCTCATGCCACGCTATAACTCCCGCTCCGCCTGATCCGGCATCAAGTATCATGGGACCTCCTTTCTTTTCTAGTAAACGCTCCATCCATGGCGTACCAAGTCGACGTCGCACCTCCACCAGTGTACTCGTCACAGTGGAATATGTCCCAGCCATTACAGCAGCCATATAAACATCCCCTTCAATATTTCCCCATTCTGCTTGTGAAGGATCAAGGGGAATTGGCTTCTGTTCCTTCCCCAAGTGTGCCGCTGCGGTTGTTGCCGAGTGAGGTAAGCCTTCGCCGCCAAATATCCGACGCGCGGATTCAGCTAAGTGTTTGTGGTTTGTTCGGGTTAAAAGTTCTGTTACAGGATCGACAAAGCATTCTTTGGGCAGGAATACGGTTGAGGGCGACGGGGCGAACCGGCCTGCAATTGTTAAGGGATGAGCCCTCATGAAGTCCTCATCTTCGGCGTCTTCTGCGTCCTCGTAGTCCCTCTCATGCAGAGCACTGCTCCTCTCGTAGACCTCCTGATGATAAATTTCCGCCCTCTCCTCTCGTACTTCTTCCCATTTAGTCTCTGTCATTGTGTCCGCCTCTTTAGGCTCTGCATCTAGGTCTGTTTTCTTTTCAAGCGCTTCTTCTGGCTCTTCGGCCATCTCCACTTCCTCGAGCTCTCCATCTTCACCTTGTCTCAGCAACACGGGCGATCCGTCAGGTAGCTCCGCCTCAAACACCTTCTCTTCTTGAATGCTAAATTCCTCCAAGTCTTCTGCTTTGTCTACAAAAATAGGCGTGCCATACAGCCTCTCATATACAGTATATTCAGTATCATCCAGATACCCTCGAGGTAGCGCATCGCCGAACAATTGCCTTGCCCTTCGAACCGATTCTTCAATGTTTGTAGGCTGGATGGGACGAGTATCGAGGCGTTTCGGGAGCTCTAACGTCTTGGCCGCAGTCTCTCGATTTCCATTGTACCGGTTTCCTGTTGTGGAAAAGGCTCTCCGCTGCGAGAAAGTGCATATACTGCGTGTTAAGGCGCTCGCACAAGTGTTTCTTGAAGGTTGTAGAACATGGGCCCTTGCCGCAGGGTGGACGCTGCGCACTTGAGGGGCTAGCTTAAGTCTGCATGACAAACAGATTGAACAGATTGATGAGAAGCATCTCACCGTGAGCATGATCAGAATGGCCGTGGGGATCTTGAAGTTGGCTTGCAATTATTGAAAGTTCAAGCCGGAAGAAGAAAAGTTGTCTGTCTGGGGATTTGCGCTAAGCCGCTTCCGGGTCGCAACCTTAGCCAATCACAATTTGGCCGGAATCATCAAATGCTGTCTAATATCACACAGGTCCACCGCCTGAGGATCTCGCTCCGTTCCTTGTTCAAAGAGAGTGCAGTGTATGCTTCACTCATGCTTGACAAACCAGAGATTTTGCAAAAGGCCCTTTTTTCTAAGGAAAATCGTGACGTGTAACCCAAAGCAAACTATCTACTACCCCCTTCAACCTAACCATCCCGTGGACCACGAAGGTAGCGTGCTAGATTTTCCCACTTCCCCAGAAGCGGCCCTAGAGCTCCTCCCATTGTGTCAGTACAATTACCTAGCTGCTCGCCATTGTGATCCACCTTCCTCTGCCTACCAAAAGTCACCACCTCACCCCTCCTCCATTCATATTTCAATTTAGTTATGTCCGTCCCCTTAGATGTCTGAAAACCTCCCCAGTCGCTGGTAGACCATGCCATGGAGGGATGAAACGTACGGGGGAGCGGTTCGAGCCAAAAAAAAATGCAGAAAACACAGGGCAGGGGGTGGATTAGTGTGAGTGGAGCGCCGAAAACAAAAGCCAATGATCTTCCCGGGACGGTGTCCAGTAAAACTGTGGTCTGATTCCTAGGGGTTGTGCAGAGTGTCTTAAGTGGTTGACCGTCGCATTATGCAAGCCGTGAAGCTGGTCCGCAATTGAGAGACAGTTAAGGACAAATCCAGACTTGAACCGCAAACTGCTCAACACCCGAGACCGTGGTAAGCGAGGACATCGAATAGTCGTAGCCAGGTCCTATTGAAGGGAATCGACAAGCAAGAGCCCGAGTATTGATCAATGGGGAACCGGCTGCCGTCCAATGGAGTAGCAGGACGGCACTGCCGCGTTTCCCAAGCATTGACTGAGAGAGTGGAGTCGTGTAGTACAGCCCGACGTCCACGAAAAAGAGTTTGGAGATGCCGAATCACGAGCCGCATCAAGAATCAGTAGCCGCCAGTTGCATACTGATCCCCACCGCCACGCTTTGACGAACGAAGCTGCCTGAACATTGAAAATAGAGGTTAGTAAGGTCTGAAGATGGCATCCCCCCGCGCCAAGCGTTATGATCGAACACTAAACGCAGAGGAGAGGAGTCCCTTACAAGGATCAGATGTGTCGAAACTCACATTCCGGTGCCCTCTTGACGTGCATTGACAGGACCACGCTTTGTGGTAGCGGCCGTAGTACCAGCATTGGCAGCGTTGGTGGTGGTGACGTGACGGCCACGACCAGTCTTGTCGTCTTCCTCTCCCGCGCCTTGATTTCCGGCAGCCTGAGCAATGGCCTGGGCGTTCTTTTGGTACTTGTAGACCGTCCAGTCGAAGACGTAGTCATACTGGAAGCCCTCACGAACGAAGAGATCGCGGAAGATCTTGCGGAGGTAAGAATAGTCGGGCTTGTCATCGAAGCGGAGGGAGCGCGTGTAATTAAGGTAGATGGCAAACTCGTTGGGGAAGCCACGACAAAGGACCTCGGTAGGAGTGGTCATCTTCTTCTCCATGATGCGGTCGTACTTTTGCTTCTTCGTCGCAGCCTTGAGGCCTTGCCAGGGGAGGGATCCACGGCAGAAATAGAGCATGACATATCCAAGAGACTCCATATCATCACGGCGAGATTGTTCTAGGGGTGATCAGCATCCAGATAGGGGCTCCTAGAGGAGAATTTGCTTACCAACTCCCAAGTGAGTGTTGATACTAGCATAACGGGCAGTACCAGTCAGGTTCTTGTTCTCACGGTACGGGATGTGGAAGTGAGTCTTCGGGTCTCGGTACTTCTTGGCCAGACCAAAATCAATCACGTTGACCTGGTTTCCACGCTTACCGATGCCCATGAGGAAGTTGTCCGGCTTAATATCACGGTGGATGAAGGACTTGGCATGGATGTACTCAATGCGGGAGATGAGCTGATCAGCAAGGAGGAGCACAGTCTTGAGGGAGAATTTACGGTTGCAGAAGTTGAAGAGATCCTCCAGACTAGGGCCGAGGAGGTCCAAAACCATGGCATTGTAGTCACATTCAGTTCCGAACCAGCGTACGAATGGAATACCGACCCCACCGGCGAGGGACTTGTAGACGCGAGCCTCATACTCAAGCTGCGGGTGCTTGGCCTTGACGCTCTCGAGCTTGATGGCGATCTCCTCACCTGAGATGATGTTGGTGCCTGTGCCAGAGTTAGATGGACGTGACGAGACGGGATTTAACGTGTCCATACCGAGGTAGATATCACCAAAACTACCGCTGCCAATCTTTCGTCCGATGCGGTACTTGTTGCCGACGCGAAGATCCTGTGGAGAGTCAGTCGAGTTCGTGGACGTGGTGGTTTGGGGGTGCTTTCACGGAAGGCGGGGCTGCGCGTACCATTGTCGTCATGCTTGGAATGGGTTCAACCTAAAGGAGGCTGTCCTGTTGTGGAGGTGGGTAGTTGTTGTAAAGGGTTGGTGGGGTGCAGGAATATTGGTGTTGGGATGTTCAGCCTGGTTCGGGAGCTCCGGTCAGTGAGGCTTTGCCAACAAGGCGGTGTGTAAGCAGGAGAGAATCGGCAAGCAGCCGGACAACAAGAGGTGGAGAGAGAGTGGAGAGAGAGGGGGGAGTAATAAGGGGTGCGAGGCAGTGTGGACTGAGGAAATAAATAGACAGCGTTGTGGTGAGGGTGAAAGGCTGGAGGCCGGCAGCTGGGCGTGACTTACAGGGCTTGAAGGGGAAGAGGCCCGACGGGTAACAGCACCGTAGACACTTGGGAGAGGCACAGGCGTGAAAATGTTTGCTGCAAGGGGGCAGGAGGCTCAAAGACAACCGCTGCACGCTACAAAGACTGCAAACGACCCTAGGACTTGTCACTCAGGGTGGAGAGCGTGAAGGCGCTGGAGAGGATGAGGAGAGTGGAAGGTGAGGGTTTCGTATCCCAGGCTAGAGGGGGAGGCTATTTCCGACTGCCAAGGCCGTCTTAATAAGCGAAGAACGAGAGTGAAAGACCGACCCATCAACTACGACTTACCCGTGCCCTGCCTAATTGGTGTTTGGCCGCGAAAGGGACGCTGTTTCGAGCACTGCGGCGTCGTCTGGCAGCCATGTCGCTCTGTCTGCTCGGAGAAATTGCCGCACGGCGTTTCAGACGCGCCGTCAACTTGCCAGACCATGTCGCAGTCCTCCAGCTGAGTCTCCCGTCACCTGCCCAGCGCTGCCCCTTCTGCCCCTTCCGCCCCTTTACTGCGTATGCGAGCCTTTCGCCTCGTTCAACATGTCACGTTGTCCAGCATGCCTCATCTCAGGCACTGGAGCTGCAATCTGCCCGAAACAGGGAAGACTGATCGGTGGACCAGGAATCCTGTGTGCTTTCCAAGGTTGCGTCTTCGCCGACCGCCGTCGACCCATGCGTGCGCGCTTTGGGCTGAGAGGTCTGGAGCCTTGGGTAGGACCATCGCTGGCGCGGCTATTTCAAGCCACAAACATAAGTGTCTGAGGCGATCTTCTGGGCGAGGGGACTCGATTTAAGCTCATCCAAGATCCTTCGGAACCGGCCCAGTCAGCTCCAGAGCTCAAAGCGTACATTCATCTGGGATCGGACAACCGAAACTGCACTGCAGTCTGTAGCAGGAACAACATGAAGCACAGGTCAAAAAAAGCTCCACATGTGCGCACCCAGCTCGGCAGATTTGAAAATCCATCGGATACATAGGTGGCCTGACCAGAAAATAGCTACAAGCAGTGTTGACGAGCTGCCGCCCATGAAAGATCATCGGTGTTCTGCCAGCCTTTAATCTCGCTCGGAAAACCCGAGTGCCATAATCAATTCCATTTACCCCACACATCTCCGAAAGCCTTTGGATTCGAATACATTCCATCACAACGTGAAATTATAAACAACTCGCTGGCCGAGTTTCAGTCTGAGTCTTTGTGTCCTTCCGAAGAGGTGTTTCCGGATTAGGCAAATTAGAGACGCTAGTGATACCTCCATGCCACATATGTTAAACATGAGCACTCAATGTTCCCAGAGTCTTCATATTACGAATCAGACTAAGCATGAGCAGGCATTATTCGCTCATTCTCACCCGAAGCACATGGATTCTGAACGAGCCACAAGTCTACACGTGTCCTGCATCCGAACTCCCGCAACGTCACGAGCAGCTCTCCCCACCCTTCCCAATCACATCTTCAAGGAGCTACCCCACTGGTTAGGCCAAATTTGACATGTGGTCAGCGTGCCAAAATGAATGAAGAAAGTGTTCCAAAAACTTTCGCCTTGCAGGCTCGAGCAGTTCACAGATTCGCGGCCCGTACCGATGTTCTCGCGTCCGGGCGAATCGGTCATTCATGGATAGGGCTGGAAATGGCTTCATCGGGGGACATGGATTGGGCCTGGCTTCGCTCTGCCGAGCCACAGCCTTGTCGTGGGACACATTCTCCGGTCTTGGAATCATATTTGTGTTTACCCAAGTAGAACAAGGCGAAAAGTTGTCCTGCATACACGTACATGGTAGTGAGAGGATGCTCTTGCTTCAGGAGAGGCCGATTAAGTAGACCGCGCCTTTTCTCGTCGTTTTTCCATACTGTGGTCCTAAAATCTGTTATTCAATGCAGTTACAACCCTGAAAGGAACCCCTGAAAAAGCGGAAAACGAATCAGATGAGTAACTCCCGGGTTGTGTCGAACATTTTCATACAGCGTACAGGTTAGTTGCTTTGTTATACTTGTGTATCCGTACGCTATAGGGACGCTCATGAGAGAATATTTGGGATTCAAATGTGTTGCAGATTCCAGGGCAGAGTCCAGATGGCTGAGGTTGTTGAGGTTTGAATCGCATGTTCCACCGGATGGAACTTGTTGGGATTCGAAGGTTCAATTGAATGAACCAAAACAATAGTTAATAGGTTCCTCGGTTGTCGTGAGTCGAGATATGCATCCCGTAACGGGATTCAACAGTGAGGTGCGTGTGCGGAAGATGAATGTGATTTGGTCGGATAGTTCTATACAGCCATCTGAGCGTTTGCAAGTTTGTATGTTCGCCCGTTTGCATCCTAGCCCCAGCCGCCACCCCTACAGCTATTGTACATTGCATCCCACTACGCTCATATCCTCACCCCGCTGACATCCCTGTCAGTCGAAGCGGCATTTAGTGACTGCTGGCGGACTTGTTCTTCAACGCCGGGTTTCGCGGGTCGTTCTTGTATTCATCGCCTAGGGGATAACAATTAGCGTGGTGGCATATCGTGGGGCATTTGTGGGTCGTATTGAGCATTTATGTATGGCGAGCGAGGGGACTAACTGGATGCCAATGCATTCGCGAAGGAGTTGACCCCGTAGAGGATGACAAGGCCTGTAGGGTATGGTTAGCTATCTCCCTCAACCCGAAGCTTCTCTAATTGCATCCTCATCGAGCATCATGCTCATTGTTTATTCAGAGATTAATATTTGAAGTCCGCAACATACCGGAGATATAGAATGGGGCCATTGGCCGAGCTATGATTGACATCCGTTAGCAATCCCGTTCGCTTTGTGTTTCGTCTTCGATCGCCATTTGGGGGCCATTGACGTACCAACCTGCGCTGGGAATTTCTTGCCAAGGAGAGACATGCTGACGAGCGATTGAGTTGAGGTGGCTTGTGTAGTTGCAGCTGTTCAGTGAGGTTGAAGGACGACGAGAGCTTTGCGAAGGTTTCGGTGAAGATTCAAGCCAGCGCCAAGATTAACCGTTGCCGAAGTAGAACCGGCGGCGCGGAGGGATGGAAGGGAGCTTAGAAGGTAAACACTTGGGGGTGACGACGGGACAACCACCCAAATTCCCCCGAGCACCACCAATACTCGCTCATTTGACACTAAAGCGATTGGTACGCCCACAAACATCATGGCATCCTCTTTGGAGGGCTGTGTATCCGCCTTGCGCAATAGCATGCAGCTGCTAGACTCGTCGATTGGAATTCTTGATGACGGCGTCAACGATTTTCCACGCCTGGCCAAGGTGCTACAGACCGCAAGGGTATGTGAATTGTTCCTCCACAGTGTCTGACATGAAGTTTATGCATTGTACAACATATTCAACGCTGCAACTGACCACTCCTAGCACTTCGAACTAATATCTGAGCCCGATCTCCAAGCTGCACAGTCTGCATTGCTCTCCGAAATCCGGCCCGAAGTCGAAAACCTCCTCCAGCGCGTTTCAAACCATCTCGATAAGCTTGAACGGCGTGAGCAATCCCTGGTTGCGAAATGCGATTTGAACGAGGGTCGACTCTCCCGAGACAGTACTGGCGTCTCCGCCTTTCGTCCGAGTAGCAGGTCAAGCCAGACACGGAAAGCTGGAGAAGAGGGAGGGAAAGCTATCAGTGCTTTGCAGGAGTTGAAGTACAAGCAGCTGCGGCAAAAGAAGCAGAGGCTAAGCTATGCAGTGGAAACGCTAGAGTTACAGGCGAAACAGAGGGAGAGGCAGTTACGCATGAGTATGGCCGCACCGCAGCAGTTCTTTGACGATTAAGACGTGGAAACGGTTCAATTACAACTATGGTTCAGAGCCTTGGTTCCTGGAGTTTAGTCTTTGAGATACCCACGGAAATAAATCAATATCACGAGTTCAGTACACACGTTAGCCAGGGCATGCTTATTCGTATATTGAACTGTTCGCAACATGCTTTGAAGGCTCGCAATCTCTCTTCCGGACTGGGCAGGAACCCTGTAGGACGACCATTCAGGGATACAAGGTCGACAACGGGCACTTCGGACGCGATCCTTTGAACTTCAAGCGAGCATATCAATGATGGCGGAAGCCAGGGTTCTTACTTACAATATCGCCGACCTATACAACATGCTGTAGGCTGCGGTCCCGTGTGACAGTCGAATCGCCAACGTCGAGTCAGGGCAACAGTCGACTTTCTTGTTACCAAGGCGCCTAGCATTTTCCGCCCACTAAGGGAAGCCAAACAGCTCCCCACTTATATACAGTATATAGTTATGGTGTTCCTGTTCGAAAAGTACCGCCCATAATGGCTGCCGAAACAATTGTCCAGAGCATTTATGCTCCTGTAGAAATCAGTGATGATATCTCGATACCTCAGTTTATGACAAGATACAATCCAGACAACGTTCGACCGGGCAAGATTGTCCATGTGGATTTGATAAAAGGGAAAGAGCTCACGTATGGCGGGTTAAGAGAAGCTGCTGGAAGAGCATCGTGGGGATTGCAGAAAAATTTGTCTCTCAGACCACAAGATGTAGTGTGCATTTTGGTGCAAAATTCTGTAAGATCACTTGATTCAATCCACTTGAATTAGATACTAATCAGGAACTGCAGTCGGATTTTGTTGTCTTGGCTCAATCAATTTGGTGGACGGGGTCTGTTGTCTCGTAAGTTGTGAAACATGAAGACAAAGGTTCGTGACTGATTCCATGATTGCAATGTAGCCCTATCAACCCACTACTCACTGCTAAAGACATTCTGCATTGTATAAATCTTGTCCAACCGACGCACATTGCGGTCTCAGCGGCCTACTACGACAAGGTTCAAGAAGTACTCAGCTGGTATGATGGTGGCATTCGCCCGCAAGTGTTTAGTGTAATTGATCGAATAGAAGGAGTCAAGAAGGTACGCGGTTCCGTATTGCCCCAATGAAGTCTCTGGCCGTGGTGTCCTAATTTTTCACAGTTCCCCGAAGATGTTGAAGGAAAATCTCCTCAAGAATCCGTCCCTCCATATGACCTCGAAGGCGAGAGCTCCAAGGATGTCATTGCCTCAATAATATATTCATCGGGTACTACCGGGCCGATGAAAGGTGTGAAGATCTCTCACTATAATCACATCATCAATATCCTCCAAGGTCGTAACTCGCTTCCCCTAAGACAAAATTCCGAACAGCGAGTTATCTTTTTTGCGCCATGTAAGTCTCTTCTTTTTACTGTAGGGGGCGAGGGAGCGCTGCTAACACAGCCTAGACTGTCATATCTACGGGTTAGGTTGTGTTGTGCTCAACGGCATGTGGCTGGGAAATTTCACATGTGCTCTTCCTACATTTGACCTTGAGACGTACTGCCAGCTGTTCGGGAAATACAGGGCCACTTTGGCATACCTTGTACCACCAATTGTCCTACAACTTGTTACTTCGGACATCCCACGAAAACATGACTTTTCCGCTCTGGAATGTATGGTAGTCGCAGCTGCTCCACTGAAGGTGAGGAACCAGGCGGAAGCGAGAAGAGAGATCGTAGAGTCTAATGGGCAGTTTAGAAACCGCTGCAGGAAAGGATCAAGGCTGTGTTCCCGCAGACGAAGATAATCCAAGGTATGATCCCCGCTCGTCTTCGTACAAGAACTTTCTTAATAATACCTAGGATACGGGCTTTCTGAGTGTTCTCCATCAGTCCTAATGCAGCATGAGACCGAGGAGGAGTATGTAGGGACTTGTGGAAGGCTTCTATCTACTACGTATGTGCATTAGACTGTCTAGTTCTCAATTCATGAACTAATGCTTATAGTGAGGCGCGATTAGTAGATCCAACGACTGGTAAAGATATTAGAGTAGGGCAGGAAGGCGAGTTATGGGTAAGAGGCCCGCAGATCATGATGTAAGGCTCTGGTACTTTCACCTCCCGGCACTATACTAACTTTTCAAGGGGCTATGTTGGGGATGAAGTGGCTACACGAAACACCTTCGTCGGAGAGTGGCTGCGGACAGGTGACATCATGATGCGAGATCAAAACGAAAACTTTTGGGTTACAGATCGTCTGAAGGAAATGATTAAGTACAAGGGGTACGGTTCTCTTCCTTCGCGATGTCCCTCTTGGTCCTAACCTCTCTTTTCTAGACTTCAGATCGCGCCCTCAGAGCTTGAGGACATTCTCCTTCAACACCCGCACGTAATTGACGCTGCAGTCTGCGCTATCTACGACAACGACCAAGCGAGTGAGGTCCCATTAGCCTACGTCTCACTTGCAGATCCTCACCACCTCCTTCCAGACAAGATGAAAGAGTCAATCCTTACAGATATTAGGAACTTCACGGATGGTCAGGTAGCGGGGTATAAGAGACTCAGGGGTGGCGTCTTTCATTTGCAGCAGCTTCCGAAGAATGCGAGTGGGAAGATTATAAGGAGGGAGTTACCGGCTAAGCTAAAGGAAGGGAGAATCGGGGTGCTGTGAGAGCGACTTTTCCTCACCCCAGATATCCAGATAGCCATTACTAGGAGATGAGAGTTCTTATTCAACAAATATTAGTTTTCTGCCCAAGCGTGCTCGAACATGATAATTGATATCAAACAATAGGGCTCGGTGCAGAAATCTGGCCTGGGTTGACTTATCCGAGCTAAGATTCATAACCTCGCAATTCGAGTTTCAGTCACATCGCTTTTCGGCCGACACCCACATGCAATCTCTGGAGAGCGAGGTACACGCATGCATGCACGCCTGAACAGCCCTTAGCCACAATGTTCTAACAGGGACTCGCAATGCTACCCCACATCGGACCCGGTACTCAAACGCTCACCAACACCGGCACTCGAGTCAGCGAGCCTGAGCTCCAGCTTGCAACCACGGTCAAAACTTGTGCTTGCTATTATGCCTGGCTAGAGTAATATGCAATCATGATTTCCACCTGACTGAAATTCCCTCCCCTCTTCCGTTTCTTTTTGTCTCTTTAATCTCGAGATTGCTTCCATTTCGCTTGACAGTTCTTAATCGCGAGCGACAGGAAGGGCTTGCGACAAGTATCTATAAGATCAAGAAAGTCTGGCCAAATTCTTGAAGAGCTTGCTCTTACCTTTCTCTTCACTCCCCCAACTCAATCCCAGCCTCCAACTTTATAACAGCACATATTTACAGCTCTTTACAAGGTGTCGCAAACCTATAGTCCCCACCAAAGGCCACATCTCAGACTTTGCCGTAACTCATTAACTCAAACATGGCTACGGCACCACTCTCGACCCCCCTGACGTCTCTTCTTGGGGTCAAGCACCCCGTAATGCTCGCTGGCATGGACCAAGTCGCCGGACCCGAACTCGCCGCTGCTGTTTGCAATGCCGGGGGATTTGGGACATTGGGCGGGGCACGATATACGCCCAGGATGCTCAGAGAGATGATAGCGGAGCTGAAGGAGAATCTGATGGATAAGAATGCGCCGTTTGGAGTAGATTTACTTATTCCACAGGTGGGGGGAAGTGCGAGGAAGACAAATGTCAGTTACGACCGGAAAATTCTCCAAGGTTGGAGGATGGAGGAGCTTGCTGACAAGAATCCCAGTATGACTATACGAAGGGCAATTTGGGAGAGCTACTGGATATTGTCATTGAGAGTGGTGCGAAGCTCTTTGTTTCGGCCGTGGGAGTGCCTCCAAAGTGGGCGATTGAGAAACTTCACAAGGCTGGCGTATTATAGTAAGGCCCCGTTGCTTTCCTGCTTTTCCGATATCCGCTGACAGGATTGTGTAGTATGAACATGATTGGTCATCCGAAGGTACCAAAACCAACAGAGAGTAGATCAGTCACCTTCTCTAACTCCTTATCAGCATGTTCACAAGGCCTGCCAAGCTGGTGCGGATCTGATATGTGCACAAGGAGGAGAAGCTGGAGGACACACAGGTGACATTCCTACTAGGTATAGGCGCAAACGAATACAATTAGTGCAAGCTTTCTAATGCATAACGCTACAGTGTTCTCATTCCCGCTTGCGCGGATATCTGCAAACAATATCAGTCTCCATTGACGAAACAGCCAGTCACTCTGGTTGCGGCTGGCGGCATCAATGATGGTCGAAGTGTCGCAGCAGCTCTCATGCTTGGTGCGAGTGGCGTCTGGGTTGGTACGAGATTCATTACGTCCGTGGAATCAAAAGCGCCAGCAACAATGAAGAAAGAGTAATGACCCCCCCAGGAATCTAGAAGGCGACTAACACGACGAAGGGTCATTGAAGCTGGGTATGATTCATGGGTGAAGTCGATCGTCTGGTCAGGGCGGCCCTTACGTGCGCTACGAAATCCATACATCGATGACTGGGAGAACAATCGACAAGCGGAGATCAAAGACTTAGCTTCTCGAGGGATCGTACCATTGGAGTACGAGTTAGACAGATTGCATAAAGAAGGAAAGCTGACAGATGAGATTGAAGAAGCTGCAGCTTTGAGGTGACCAAAGCTGATACAATTTTCGGAATATTACTGACTGTTACAGACCTATTGGAATCGTTGCGGGGTCAGTCAACAAAGCTGGACAAACAGCGGCAGAAATTGTTAAGGAAATGGTAGACGAGACCGTTGTGGCACTCAACCAAGCCGGTAACTTCGTAAATACATCTGCGAAACTATAGAAATCAACTATGGTAAACGTATCTACTAGGGCCCCTAAAGTCCTGATCCTAGATACGTTTCACAGTGTCCAGTTCAAAGCGATAAACTAATTTAATTGACTTCAACCTCTGAGAACCGCCGCCGATCTCCCTCAATGTCACTCATCATTTCCGGACACAGTTCGTAGAATTTGTCAGTTACTGTCCAATACTTTAGATCGCGATGATATCTTTCGAATAGCGGCGATGGGTAGTACGCTTGGACCATTTCGTCAAAGAAAAATGCGTCTTCGAAAGTAAAAGGCCAATCGAAGCGAAGGTAGTGTGAGTAGCATCGTGAAAGTTCCTGCGTTTGGAAAATCTCCGTATGCTTCTGGACCAGGCGGTCTCGGAGAGTTGGCCAGGCAAAGAAATCAAGTGCAATTGGGTGCTTGGTGCGAGCTTGAGAAGGGCTGGATGGAGCAGTTAGTTGGGCACCGAGAAAAGCGTCTGCGCATGTACCTGGGTCGGAGCCATTCAGGAACTTTTTCGAGTTCTTCTTTGGTGGCATTAAGGTAATACTGCGTATACTTTCAGCGCCCAGTCAGTATACATCAGCCACTAACTTACCTTCAACAGTTTGAAGCTCTTGTAAGCTACCGCGAGCCTCTCCATTCTTGGTAGATTGCAAAATAGAAACTCATCGACTTCCTTCAGGATTTTCAATGCCGGACTCTGCATCCACTCGTTAAATGAGGCCCACCCTTGTTTGATACCGAGATAGAGCAGACCAGCTTCGATGTGGTCTGCGTTGAGGGTGGCCGTACCAGGTCGATAATTGAACACCTTTCCAAACAACTCATTGCTCTTCTTCCAAATCGGGCATAAGGCATTTTGGGTTGAGGGTGTGGCGGGTCGGGCTGGGTTTCCGATGTGGAGGATTACGGGGCTAGGACACCGCCACGAGGGACCGAATATTTCGGACATGAAGGGCGCAAAGGCGGCCGTTGTGGGTGAATCGGGGACATCTAAAATATTTCCCTCTTCGGAGATCTCTTGCACAGGATCGAGGTCGAGGTGAAGACCGAGATTAGAATGTTCAGATGCCAAGTCGGTCATGACTGTCATTCCGTCCAAATCCAACCTCCCCCTAGTCGTTGGCGCATCGCCGAAATTGATGGACTCAAACTGATTGTGCATGGGGTCTGGCATCAGTGGTTCAAGCGGATGTAGCTGAGGCTTTCTGTCGCCCTGGGTTTCCGTATTCGATGTGGAATTCGGTTTTGGTTTAGGAGATTGATGACCTACCTCCGTAAGCCGAATCTCAGAGATAAGTCTCAACGTTTGGAAGCACGCATACCGACACCAGTGGCACCTGGCGAAGCATCTGGAACTGCAGATGCAGGATTCTGCCCTCCCCTTGGGAATATTTCACCCCCAACCACGCTCTTCACACTATCAATTACATCTCGAAGCCTCTCGTTCTCTGCTCTCAGCCCGTCGATTTCGGACAAAAGACTTGCCGTCGCTCCATTTCGATCCTGATCCCGCAAGATCTGAATAGTGCGTTCCAATTCGGCAATGTGGGTTTTTGTCTTTTCTCGCAGAGATCTTTGTGCTTCTCGATCAATAGCTCTTTTCCGTTCCCGGCGTTCCTGCTCCCCAAGGCACGACGCCCGCCGCTTTCTCTTCACAACAGGCACGATAGGTGTGGAAGGAGGGTCTGCATCACTAGCTCGGCGATTCACCATCTTATCAAAACAAAATCGAATCGTAGTATAACAGTCAATGGATAAGGAAAAGGGTTCGATTCGAGCAGTCGAGTAATTAACAACGGATACTTAGAAAGGGGGGGGCCAACGCGTCACTGTTATCTGCGCTGCAGTAAGCCGACCGAGGAACATTCCCCGTCGAGTTTCCGGGATTCGAAAATGCGGGGGAAAAAGTGGGGTTTGGGGAAGATCGGCATGGAGTGTCGTGCGCCTAACGTCTCTTTGGAAAGGTACCGAGGGCCCCTCCTGGTTTGGGGGTTGTTGGGGTGCGGTAACTTGAACTGTGGCTTAATAATTGACTCAGACGACGGTCGTGCTGATGCTAGAGATATTGGTGGTGAGACGAGCGGAACGATTATTCCTGGGGCATGGCTTGGTGACGGCTTCACGGCGGCGGTTTCCGCTATTTCTCGGGAATTCGCAAATGATGGGTTTGGGATGGAAAGCCTTGGAGAATGCTTTGTGACCATTGTGGACATTTTCAATTTTGCGATATTCTACAGTTTAGATGGCTTCCAATTCGGTTTCCTTTTTCCTGCAAACGCCATTAATCCCTCCATTGCATTCTCCCCAGAGTTCAGTGCTTCATTGTACCGCTCTAACGTGAGCTGTGTAGCTCGTTCAACGCTACCAGTTTCCCATGCCTCCTTCAAGCCAGCTCTAGTTACGATCGCTGAATCTGGTGAAATGTTGGCGATGGCGTTCGCCAACTTAAGAGCCTCATCTACGACTGTCTCCTGAGAAGGAGATATCCGGTTTACAAGGTTGAGTTCTTTGGCCCGTTGTGCACTAATAGGTTGCCCTGTCAATGCCATTTCACTGGCAATGGGGATACCGACGTTGCGAACCAGTCGCGCTGGTCCACCTGCTCCCGCATAGATGCCGCGTAAAGCTTCTGGGAGACCAAAAGTTGCAGTTGGGGAGGCTACGACCATGTCACTAGGCTTATTAGCAATCTTGCCCAGCTACAGCTTTAAGAAATTGCACACATACCATCCAAGCACAATCTCAAATCCTCCACCAAGCGCAAAACCATTGACAGCCGCAATGATTGGCTTCTTGCCCGCCCTCCTGCTGATTCCAGCAAAGCCACTCAATGGATGCTTCATTAATGCCGGATTTGGCTTTTCCTTTGCTGTCCGTAATTTGCCAAGCTCAATTAGATCTTGACCCGCACAGAACGCCTTCTTGCCCGCGCCAGTGATGATAGCAACACGGAGGTTGGGCTCCCGGTCAAACCAGTCAAACACCTCGCCCATTTCCCAGTGTCCTGCGAACGGAATGCTGTTCATGGCTTTCTCACGGTTGATGGTGACGAGGAGGACATAGGGGGCGGGATAACTGAGGATCACGTGGGAGGTGGGTGGCGGCGTGGTCTGCGGTTTGAGGGACATCCTGGTAGCAAGTTACGATTTGCAATTATTGGAATAGGGAAATAATGGGAACGGAGCTTTCAAATTGACACTGAGAAGGAGATGGTTAGATTTCCTTTGAGGGCTTACTCTTGGTGGGATAAGTAAACGCGACACTCCGCGTGTCCTTGGGCCGAGGTTGATGAAGCTTCCCAGCCTATTTGGGTTAGTCGGTAATCCATAATGCTTCCACCATGATCCCATGTTCCTAGCCACGCGAATTGTCATCTCGATTTCGATGCACTTCAACCTCAAGGGCCGACTTGTTAAAGTTCGACTCTATGCTGTGAAGGTGGATGTCCTCCAACAGATGTACCATAGATACACTCTTCTCCAAGGTTAGATTTAAACCATGCCGGTCTTCAGTTCACTGCCACAACAATGCTAAAATACTGCCTCCTATGTCAGCTCTGCTTTCCGGACAGCATTCGATCTTCCATGGCGAGAATTGACACGTCTATATCTAATTACAAGGTTGGGGATACTTTCTCTCTTGCAACTACGGCTTGCTTTGTGTCGAATTTGTCTACCTTGTTTCTTGCTATATCTCAATATCATGAACCTTGGTAATTTTGGGCCTTTTGGATATTATAAAAGGAGCATTCTTGATTCATAAGAGCTAATCGCGTAGCTCAATAGAATGTCTCTAGAATATTAGTTCGCAGGCTGTTCCACACATCGCCATCAACTATTCCTCAACTCGCATTTCGCATTCGGCAGAGCACCTAACTTCCATCCCTGCCAAGCACGATCCTGCAGCGTCTTCTACATCTGCTTTCTAGAGAAGATATTAAGCAGAATAACGCTTAACAGCATAAGCAGATACAGTTGTTAGGTAGCTCTATAACCTATGAGGAACCTCAGCTCAACACTAACATCATCTATCCATCACACCTGCCGCTAAGTATCAATAATTCATTTCTAGGATCCACCTAGTAGAGTCGCTTCTTCGTAAAGTATCGCAATTACCATTGTACTGCATTGCTCGTCGCGCGAGGTTTATGCTCTGTTGTAGATCAGACCTTGAACAGGGCTTTTAAACCCGCTTGTATTATTTTCACCATCCTCATTTGCCGGCTGTACTGTTACTTTTTCTCCACAATGCACGGCCGTAGTGTCGTACGGCTGAACAGGCTTTGTGAACTCAGAGTAATCGTAAGCAAACCTGTTGGAAAACACACGCCAAGGCACGACTCATACTAGTTCTCTTTGCCTGTTATTAAGTTGAGGCTACGGTTCTTTGTAGGGCTAGCTTCTCTACAAACTTGCATTCCGAAATTATATACAGATATGTCAAGACAGAGCTAAGCAAGCGGCTGTACCACTTTAAAGGAAGCTCCGGACAGCGCTCTGACAGGTCCACCCCTACGCTATCTTGGAGCAAATCTTAGAGATGAAAACTTACACGCAGGGCCATCATTCATTCACACAGCAGCTTCTATAGTCTGTTAACTTGGGAGACAGGGTAGCAGGCGGAGTAACGTACTGTGGACATAATAAAATGTAAACTTGCGAATGATACTAGCTATTACTACGTAGTGTGTTTAAGATCTCCCGAACATCTTGACATCATTTACTTGAATACCTGAAAGCAGCTTCTACACCAGCGAGTGCACGTGAATACAATACTTCGGCTTCCCTTATCCTACCTGTTTCTATAATTAAGCCAGCTCGATTCTCCATTACATCGAGCGCCGGTACGTATATCTTCATTGCCTCTAGGCCGAATGCCTTCTCGTAACCTTGCAATGCCCGCTGGTACAGCAATGTTAAGACAAGAGATATACTTATGCAACTCAGCAATCTTCTGCAGCAAACTGCATTTTTTCTTTCTCTAATCCTTGCTTTTAGTACCATCTTCTCAAGATTAAATTATAGTTTGCGTTCTAGTTTTGCAGTTTGTGGTTCGTCCTTTTTACCTGTGCGCGTGCCAAGGGCTTGGCAGTGTACTGGTAAGGTATGCGCAGAACTTCCAGCTATTAGTTGAAATTCTGACTGTAACTAGCTTTTTGAAAGGCACAATACCCAACCTGACCTCGCGCTCTTGTGCATACGGACCTATGCCTTTCGCCTTGTCCACGCCTGCCATTATTCAGCCGATGATGTGCCGCATACAAGAGGACGATGTAATCGCAAATGCACTCGCAGAATTCGTTACTTATGCGAAGATTGAAACAGATGCTGCTCTACTTGACCAAAGCGAAGTTCCCCGGTCGACTCAATACTATTGCACGAAGGGCAGACCTCGAATTTTTAATCCCCTCGACCCCGAACGCATCCGGACCCTTGGGGAAAACTGGCCGTAAGGCTTCTACAACCGTCGCCCGGAAATCAATGTGAGAACAGTGAAGGCATTGCACTGGAATCAGTATGATAAGCATTTCTATGACAAATTGACAGATTAGTTTACAGTAGTTGGAGGCAACCAGAAGACCTAGCTGTACTGCCAGAGAACGTGTATCACATGGATGAGACGGGCGTGCTTCTAAGCCTCTTAGGTTCCCTGAAGGTCCTAGTAGGTAAGGACGACTTGCAGAACTAGAACTATAAGGGCACCAGCATCAAGCGGACTTTTGTGACAGCAGTAGAACATATTCCGCGGATATAGGCCTCTTTTCCCTCTCGTAATTTGGTCTGCTGCAACACGTCAGAGTACGTGACAAAATTATCACCGCAGCCAGTGATAATTCAGGCCAGTGAAAATGATACAAGCTGGTTTAAAACTTCCTCAGACAGGTCTGATCAACGGCTTAGCAAATACTTGCGTAACTTATAGCTTATAGTAACTTGCATGCTGAGCGACGCTATCTAATGCCGCTTGCGATACTTTGCGGAGAAGTGACTACTGAAAAGCCAAGCCTAGTTACGTGGTTTTTACATCGATTGCGAGCATTCAAGGCAATTGGCAGACAATTTAGGAATTAATTTCACGTTCGGCGCTCGCGGAAATCAGGTATTAGAATCACTCAGTAACCGTAACGGTAACTAAATTAACGGACATAGATTCTGCTTACCCTGCGGAGCATTACTGTGCCTATCGTCTTCCCTCGAAAGCAGTTGCAGAAGACGCTGCATTCAAATTATTTTGAGGGATGTCCAGAATGGTCGCTCTTAGCAAGGATGGACCGTAGGCTCCATCGGCCCTGAGCGAACATGACTTGAACCGCTGTACGCCGAGCGCCCCACGGAAAAGTTACTTCTATGTGTGCCAAGTTATGCTGCATATCTGTGGTTCTCGCGATTGGCCTTGCGAACGAAATTCGCTCGAGTTTTACAGACCGGCCACCTCCGATGACATCGGAGCCGGGGATATCCTCCATCAAACGAACTCAGAATACCATATATAAATTCCAATACTCAACAGTGACACTCATATTTTAACTGGGAGGCCCTAGTTTCACAAAACCACGGATATTCCTAACAATTTCAAATTGCTACAATGCCCCACTCCACCAACAGCCATATTACGATACATAAGATCCAGCCGCCGGAAGGGTCTGCGATTAATTTCGGGGCTGAGCTTCGAGGTGCTGATATTGAAAATGTATCTGGTACGTCCAAGTTTCATCAAAGATGCAAGTGACGAAGGTACTAAGCAAATACAGAAAGCGACTTTGAGGTGATTAAGAAGGCCCTCTATGAGAATAATGTCATCCTCTTCAAGAATCAACAATCGCTATCCCCGCGCGCTCAATACGAACTCGCTAGGCTCTTTGACCCATCAGCAACTGGCTACGGCCATGGCACAACTCTCGATGCAAAGCGTTCAATCCTGCACCCAGATCTGAAGACCATCCCGCATCAACCCCAGGTCCAAGCTATCGGAAATGGCCCCGTTGCCTCATTTGAAGGCCTCGAAAACATTACACTCAAGCATCCGCACCACAAGACGTTCCATAAGCATGCAATTAGCGCCGAAGATGACCGCGATAACACTCGCTTCTACAGATGGCACATCGACGCTGCTCTCTACGACCTGGAGCCACCACGGGTCACTTCCCTTATGGCTGTCAAGGTTCCAAAGACCGAGATGCAGAACCTCCGCTACGATGATGGAACTGGCGATCAACTTAAAGTCTCGCGAGGAAGCACGGCATTTGTAAGCTCCTACAAGATGTACGATTTGCTCTCGGAAGAAGACAAGGAGTTCGCTCGTACAACCAAAGTCCAATATGCCCCTCACCCATACATCTGGATGTCTCCTGCCCGATCCCGTTCCGATGGACTAGGAATGGAGAGCGACGGCCTTGAACTTGACTCCTCCTCCCTCCCATCCATCGACGAATCTAAAATCAAGATCCTCCCTATGTGCTGGAAGAACCCAGTGACAGGACAATTAGCTCTCCAAGCCCATCCCAGTGCTGTGCAGAAACTGATTCGCGCTGATGGAACCGTCATCGATGAACTTAAGGAAGTTCGCGAAATCGTGCACAGGATGCAGCGACCGGGCATTGCTCCAGAGCTGGTGTATGGAATTGATTGGGAGGAAGGCGATTTGGCCATCTTCAACAACCATGGTGTTTTGCATACTGTCACTGGAAGCTTTTTGCCAGAAGAGGTTCGCATTTTCAGGCAATGCAATATGGCTGCGAGTGAGCCACCACTAGGTCCGGATGCATGATTACTGGTTAAACAAGGGTCTGGGATGTAAATAGAGAGGATAATGGGGTTTGGGTTTAATTGTTGTTATATATAGCGTAGAAGCACAATGGGATGATAGCGAACACAAAATTATTTTTCTTTCAATCAAGAACCCCCTCTCCTGCGCTTTAAGGTTGATGAAATTACTACCTAGACTTTTGGGTTGTCCTTATCCAAGCTTAATATTAATACTAGAACGTAAGCAAATATTCAAGCCTTTTAGAAACACCAAACATATTAAGCCATTACTCATCATCCTCTCCCTGACCTCCTTGAATACCTCCAAGCACGCCTCCAAGGAGACCGCCAACCCCTTTCTGAACACCGCCCAACGTACTTCCAAGGCCTCCAACGACATCACCTCGTCCCAGCTTCCCAACGCCTTCTCCTAGACCACTCGTTATACCTCCCACAGCGGCCCCGGCCCCCTTGCCAACTCCACCTACAACATCACCTAGCGGGCCGCCAACAGTACTTCCGACGCCACCGACCGCATCGCCGACGGTGTTTCCGACACCCTATCACCAAGTTAGCTATAATCTAGTCCACTACGGGGTTTGAAGCACTCGCCTTTCCTACACCACCAACCGTATTTCCTACCCCGCTTGACAATCCCCCAACTGTTCCCTTGACATCTCCCCTTCCTATCGCTCCCGTCGTCTTACTGACGGTCCCCTGCAAGCCCTTCGTCGCAGCGCCAGTCGTATAATACAAGTTATCCGTCACTCCTGTTGCTGTCTTGCCAACTCCATCCGTAACATGCTTCACCGGCTTGCCCACACCTGCAGGCAACTTCTCCAGTCCCTTCCCTGCGATACCGGTGATGCCATTGACTCCAGCATTAACACCCGTGGTCGCAGAATCTGTAACAGTGTTCAACGTACCGGTTGTAAGTCCCACAGTTTTATTTGTAGCACCGGTAACAGCATTTGCGCCTTGTCCGATGACGCCCGGTTTTTTGGTAGCTGGAGCGGCAGGGACTGTCTTTTGGGCTTGGGTAGGCGTGGGTTTAGTGCCGTCGGGATTTACTTGCTTGATCGGTGTCTTCTTCAAAGGTGTAGCCTTAACACTTGATTCTACTCCGGCGGATGTTTTGACCGGCGATGTATTGCTAACGGCACTTGTTTCAGCTTTTGAGGCTGGAATGGGCTTTTTAGTTCCTATCAGTGTGCGTGTAGTAGTCTTGGAGGCTGCGCTGGTGGGAGTCTTGTTTGCTGATACTGGAGTTTTCTTCGCTGGAGTTATGGCCGAATAGGTGGGTGTTGAAGGCGCCGTCTTTCTCGATGCAGGTGGTAGTGGCTTCTTCGTTCCCAACGGAGTCCGCACCGGGTTTGCCTTCGGTGGTGCTGCGGTCTTCGAAGCGGTTGTGTTAGGTGGCATCGAGGTGCTCGGCAGTTTCGTTGGGCTCTTCTTCACAAGATTTGGTCCTGTCTTCGTGGCAGAAGTTGCTGTGGAGGTAGTTGCAGCTTTCTTGACAGGACTAGCCTTCGGAGCAGTGGTTGGATTGGCAGGAGTGGTAGTAGGTTTCTTTGTCGCCTGCTGCGCTCCTTGTGCCACTCTGGAAACGTTTGCTACGCTTGCTAGTCTAGAATATGTTAGCGAGTTATATCAACGGTTTCGAGGTTTGAATTAGGACAAATATGCAGTCCTATTCAAGCGCAGGGAATGATAATGATGGGCTGTTACTAACATTGAAGCGCAGCATTCTGTTTCCTAAGGTCTTCAACGGCGGACATTTTTCTATTCAGTTGAAGGCTCGTAGGAGGAAGAAGATTTCTACTCTATAAAGTATCGATCGTAAAGACCCTGAGTCGAATATTGAATATTCAATAAGCGGTAGATCATTAACATGGAGTCGATGATTTTATGTTGCTCGATGATCTTCGCATACGTCATTTCGCATGTGGCGCAACCAAGTTACAGGCCTGGAAACATGGCAACTTTGACAGCGAAAGGTTTGTTGGTATTTTGGCTTTAGCACATCTAGCCTGAGGGGTCAGATCTCCTAGAGATATATAGGAAGGCATAGGTGTGGCCATGGCTGAGTATAAAGTGGGGAAGTAACGTGTAACACAGTTCACTTTCAGGACATCGTGAGCGTCCAGTCTCCGAAATGAGCTTTCGATTGACATGTAAATGAAGCTACACTAGTCTACAGGAGAAATATTTTCTCTCGCCCTCCTACACAAGCCTCCAATCACCATTTCCGCTGGCTCCTTTGCGACTCTAACCTATTTACAAGGCCTTGCCCCTGGCGCCGAGCATGAAGATCATACCCTCTGGCGTAGTAGGAATGCTGAGGATTCCACCGTCGACAGTAGTGTTTGTCTTGATGTCGTTTGTGCTAAACTGGTAAGAGCCTATCTGCATGTTAGCCTTGCAAGACCACCTTCGGATTATACCCTACGGTTAAGCTTACCTCCTCCCCCAGCGCCGAAGCTGAACCCGAAGATATGAATCCCTCCACCGACATTCTTCTTCCCCTTCTCGATAAACTCGGTAACGTTCCTCCAGGTCTCGGTATTCTTAAACGTAATTGACAAGCTAAGTTGGTATCCAACCAAAGCATGTGTTAGGCGGACGCGGCCGGCAAGGCCGTCAACCTCTCCAGGTCGGAGCTTAGGATAAGTTTTACGAACGTTTCCAACATCCCAGAATCCGGTGTTAATAGGTACAAGCTGAGGAGCGCCTTTCATCGTCATCGTGAGACTGACTTCTTGTGTGAACGTACTGCTCCACGAGTTGAAGTGGGTGACCTCAGAGGTTGCAGAGGCTTTGATCCCTAGAATTCCAAAGAAACCAGCTCCGCCACTCTTGACGGTTTGCGAGTAGCCGAGGGTGCTCCAATCGTGGCCATCAACGTTCTTATAATTGTATTGTAGAACGGTGTTTCCCGTGCTCGAGGTGTAGAAGGCATCACAAACGTTCTCGTAGGAGCCGAGTGTGTAGGCAGGCCTATATGCAACGAAGTCCGTGATTTCTTGCTTGACAAATGGCTTAAGATTGACAAGATAATTAGGTGCGGATGGATAAACCATCATGTTGTAGCTGTCCGTACAATTAGTCAAGTTCCCCGAGGGATAATGATGATGAGAGAAAGCCGTTGTGTTGGTTGTATTTGGGCAAGCACTTTATTGAGAAATATGTGAGTGGACATTCGTCGCATTCGCAGGAACAACATTCGAATGGACTCCTAAGAGGAATAAATACGTACCCTGGCATTGATGCTTGATCAAACTGGGCCTTGTCGTTGATGTTCTTGCGCTGTTCTTGGATAAGGTTGTACTGCGATCCATATACACTCAACATGAAGTTGTTGTATGTGGCATCGGCATTGACCATTTGTTGCTGGAAGTTAGAGTATTGTGGATCGTTTTCTGCAATCCAGCTCTGGAAAGACTGGTTGTAGTACTTCGCAATTTCGTCTGTTTTCCAGGCAAGGAAAGCCGCGCTCTTTTCCTTCTGAAACTTCGCCTTCGCAGTATTAACAGCTGCCTCATATGCATCCAATTTCGCCTGTTGTTCTGGAGTCAACACCTTGTCCGTGATGTTGACGGATTGCAAATATCTAGTCTCGTTAGATTTCTGAAGTGGAGAGGGGGAAGCTCGAAAAAGAGGAATTGTCAATCATGTCAATGACAACGATCTGAAGCACTTACGTCTCAAGCGTTTGGACATAGCCTGGGCCATCATTCCCAAGCAGGGGACTGGAGGAATTCTGAAGCGGATCGACGAGATTGTCTATGTTCATCAGCCAAGCGAAAATAGACACACTGCCAACTTACACAACTCCATATTAGTGACCGATTCAGGGCATGGGGTGCCACCACGAACAAAGTTGCTCGTAGGAGGAGTGACGTAGATAAAGTCCGTTCCTTTCGTGAGTGGTGCGTTCGCAGTAATGAACTGACTCATGATTTGGCCATATGCCTTCCAAGCAATGAGACTGGCCTCTTCACTTGTAATCGCTAACGCCGAAGCCGAAAACGAAAGAAGGTGGATGAGATAGCGTGAGGGAGCCATGTTAATCGAATTGCCAGGCAGATGCTTGGTGGTGCCTCAATTGCGGGAAACTGTCCTCTTTTATATCCTGATCGTTTGACCGCTTAGGGGCAACTCTATCGAGACAAATTACACCAGTTCGTGATTGTGGGACCATCGTCCCGTCCCCGAGTAAGCCTCCATTCCATTTCCACTGACTTCTTCATACACCAGACCTCAGCTGGACCCACGAGACTGTCAACTCGAGCTTCGTCAACAGCATCGTACGACATGGGTTGTGCGAGGATAAGTGCTAAGACAAAAGTCATTTAGAGGACGGAGTGGGGAACTGCTAATCTAGCGCAAAAGAAATGACCCCGAGTGAAAAGAGGTTACAAAAACCTCGAAGAGGAAGTAGTGTATGCAGAGAGAGCAGAAACATCACCAATACTGCTACCGCAATAGATTGCGCGCAGCCCGTATTACTGCCAGTACAACGTGGGCAAATACTGAAGCCAGGTTCGGTGCTACCAAAGCGGTGGAGAAGAGAGCTTGTCTACAAAGCTCCAAGTTTGGGAAGATCGTGTTAGCAATATAAAGAGGTGAGGTGAGCTTGGCACCAGTGTAGCGACGGGAAATAAATGCCTGCGTTTGGCAGTCGAATGTTCAGCCTTGGACTTAATATGTCTTCCAATCAAACAATCAAAAGATTGATAGTGATTAGAATGAAGGCGAAAGGGATACAGAATATAGGAAATTCTTGAGTGAAGAAAGAGGTGGTAGTGATAGATACAAGAACCTGGGCCAACCAAAGATTTCTCTTAGAAAGGCATCTGGAACGTAAGACGCCTCTGCCGTCGGCCGAAACCCGAACACGATAGGGTGGGGAATACCATGCAGCCACTTGAGATACCCGATTTGAACGGTTATGCAGAGCAACTTGGCTATTGTGAGTTCGCGATGCATGAGGCCATAGCTTTAGCATGGCAGAGCGAATCGAACAACGAATGAATTGACACCTCAAAGCATGCTCTCAAGGTCCGTTCGTGTATGCGGCGTTCTCAAGCGCTCCGATCCCAAGACACGTGCAAGGCCATGCGCCAGGTGAGGAGGTTTAGGCAGGTTGCATCTAAATCCTCGTTCTGGGCCATCAGTATCCGGAAAATTTAGGTCATCGACACATCCTAACTTGGCCCTGGTGTCGAAGGTGCTTTTGAATTATCAGATTTTTCTCGTATTTGAGCGCATATTTTCGAACGTTGTGGGCAGAGCCAAGTATCGGCCTTCGCTTCCCTTGAATCTGGGGTTGGAGGAAGAGCAAGGGGAGAACGCACGGAATTAGGAGCTGAACACCCGCCGAGGGCGATGAGGTCGTGATGTCAATAAGTAGATATTATGGGCCAACATGCAGCAACGGAATAACGCCCGGCGGCTCAAGCGGGCGTGAACCGGGGTAGGCGAATTAGTAAACGGGTCCGACGGTTGGAGAAGCTCTGAAAGATCTGTTGAACGAAGGGTGGTGGAGGACTTCCTGGTCAAATAGGTGTTGAGAGGGCTTGGTGCGAGGAAAGGCGGAGTTCAGGAAGGATGAATTAGTTAGAATCCATTCTACACTAAGCTCAATCTGGGGTTGAGATCCAAGTGAACAATTTTGGCTGTTGCAACTCGTATGCACTCATACGAGACCGAGGGCGTCACGAACGAGCTGTTGTCAGGCTGCATGGTGAACGGAGAGGTGATGGCTCAGGTTACATTTGAGACACTCTTCTCGCCGAAATCTACCGTTGGTAAAGTCCGGCATCGCTCTCCATATACACTCTGAGACCATCTGCAGCTGGCAACCTCCCCCTCTTCGACATAGTTCATTCGCGATTCCTCTAAGAGCTATGATTTTAAGTTACACCTCACGTCCCCCGACACCTTGTACGTAGACGCTCTTGAGAACATGACTTAGTCACCTCAAGGTCAAGTCGTGGTTCACAATGCCTATTACAGAGACTCTAGTTCATTTGCTTCTGGAGGAGGTCAACACAGAGGAGAAGATATTTACCCCTATGGTTCGCTTTGACGAGACGATGGTTAACAGAAGTGCCTGGTACACTCTTCTGATGGTGAGCTTACACTCGCTAACTAAGAACTTCTCCAAGGACGACTGTTCAGGTTCATCTGAAACTTGGAAGACATCTACAGACTAACTTTCACAAGCCCAGAAAGCTGCACAATTCTAACGGTTTCAAATGTGCCGCTCGTTTGTGTCTCTCAAAGCCAGCCAGTGGAAGGGAGCTGAGCACACTTTAAGATTTAGCTCGTGTTCCTCAGCCCATTCGTGCCTCAGACCTGCATTCAGACAAATCAAATCTTCGTTTTTCAGCCACAAATACGTACAGCCTTCAAATCCGAGACGAGCAAGCACTTTCACGGAAAGGTCCAGATACCAAGCAAAGCACTTTTCGCCAAGACGTACGTTGATTGGTTTCATCGTTCTCCATGACAAAGCTCTCGCTTTCCCACGTCGCTTCCCAGACGCCGGCCGGAGGATCAGTGGAGCTTGCAGGACCACTACGGCTAGAATTAGTAACAAGAGCAGATGCACGCCTATCAGATTGGATGGTGGGTGCCCTGAAAGGCGAGAACATTGCGCCTCAGTTGTGGCACCCATCGCATTTCGACTGGTTTGATAAATGCTTATTTGCTTAAGAGGAGGGATCCGGTGAAGGAGCTGAAACCTCTCCGTGTCAAGTACCTCAAGAGCAGAGGGCTCCCTCTGATTTTCTAAACCCATCAAATTTAATCTAAGAACATCACAGATCTGCGCGTTTTCTTCTTTCCCTTTGTACGCTCACAGACCAAGCTCATCATGGCGGATGAACTCCCTCCCCACGTCCTTCCTGTTCCTCGCTTTACTCTAGCGATCCATGCCGTCCAAATCCTTTTGGCCATTATCATCTTGGGGTTGGATGCCTATGGTATTCGCTGGATCCAGTACAATGCTCTCATCTACTCGCTCGTTTGTGTGAGTACTCTGTTCCGTTTCCGCAAGGCTATGCCAGGAAGTTGGCTGACTGTACTAGACGTTGTGTACTATCATAGTAGCTATCTACATGATCGCGTCTCAAGTCTTTGTCCACCAGGCCTACAACAAATGGGCATTCTTGGCTCTTAACATCTGGATGGTCATCTTCTGGATTGTCGACCTTGGTGTCGTCGCCAACCTTGCAGCACTCTGGTCAAGCCCTTCGTGCGGATATAGCTACTACACAGACACATACTACTGCACATATGGAAAGCGCGACCTCAGCTTATTAGAGAAGAGGGATACTACTACCTACACTGCATATCGCGGCGCGCTGGTTGCTGGAGCGCTTTTCGGGGCGGTCCAATTGTACGATTCCAACATATCTTCAGAATCATATTTGCAAGCTAACACAGCCAGTGTACTTTGGGTTGCCTCTTTGATAATCCTCGTTGTTTACATGAATCGCCACCGTGCTGACGCAAGCGCCCCAGCGCCACCCCCAACCTACGTTGCGCCCACCAACGGTCAAGGGGTACCGATGGAGAAATATGGTGCCACAGTTCAGCCAGGACACCCGCAACAACCTGGTCAGCCTCAATATGTCCCGCAGCCTCAAACGTACGTGCAACAGCCTGCTCAGCCCATGTATCCTCAGGGAACCGGTCCCCAATATACCGCACCATATCCCCAGCAACAAGAGCCCATCAACCGTACGGCTACTGTAAGCCCGGTTACAACAGCTGGGTATAACTCCCCAGCGCTACATACCGCTGAGCTGGCAACTCCACAGCCAGCCGGAGCCTACCACAACCCCAATGTTTCTGAATTGATGGCACAGAAATGATCTCAATGAAGAACTGCCTACTGATCTCATCTAATGAGGAGAACATGCGGCAAATTTAAAGTACATGGTGTGGGATGTGGTTGTTGAAGTCCCCCAAGATACCCTAATACCAATTATTCTAACTCGCACATGCTATGTCTTTTGTGATTCTACCCGCGCTGTGCATGTCTTATCCTCTGAGTGTTAACTCCGTCATCCTAATTCCTCCAAGATGGATCTGCCTCTGCTAATAGTTCAGTCTTCTACACAACCGTTGCTCTTTCTCTTTCCAACCTCTTGGAAGCCTCGTTACATTTCTCTAACATTCTCAACCCAACAATGCGCTGCAAATGTCCACGTTGGGAAGAGCTGCATAACCCATGCGCCAGCCATCAAGCCTTGAAAACGCGGCCCATATTTAGCTGTCCTGTGATAGTTTGTGACGTAATCGCAGTTTCCTACAGGCTAGGCCACAACTTTCGATACCATAGAGTTGATATAAGAAGCGGCGGCTAGGTAAACGCGCAAATGGGGATCTTAGGATAAAAACATCCACCTCTCTTGCAATATCTTGAGTCGCTTTTGTGAAGACGAAGCACAGCCCTCCAAGGCCCAAAAGAAAAATAGTAGCCCCATGAGCACCACTCCCACAATGATGAGAATGAAAGGGTTCCCAGTCTGAACAGGAGCCATCTTCCTCGCACGTAGAGTTGGCTCCATAGGAATGGTGTACAGATTACTTGAAAGTTGTCCTTCGGTACGCAGTAGTGAATTGTCCATCTTTGTCAAGGCGGTGGTAAGGTTAAAAGTCCTGCCAACACCTTTCCAGAGAAGAAACGCAGGTTCGTAGTCGTCTAGTTCATTTATATGCGCTCATACCCCATTCATATAAATCTTTACTGTCTATCGTGATCCGTATGTAAGATTAAAAGAATCGCCATTGTAAAGAAATGGGTATTTAATGGGGATATTGAGGATGTTGTACTGTTGTGGTAGAATAGTGTCGCGCAATGCCTTTGAGTACGAACTCGGTGCAATAGCCGTCCCAGAGATGAGAATAAAAAAATTGAGGACAATTGCAACAATGACGCATAGGAAAGTGATCCAGAGAGTCACTTGTAGGGTGTTAGTTTGCGCTCTTAGTGGCTTCGGATTTGGTGCTTGCGCTGGGGTGCGTGAATGGGATCCAAGTGGGGGTTGTGAGCCTTCGAGGGATTGGACGGAAGCATGTATTGATTGAGGAGCAATTGTAGGTGTGATATAAACGTCACTGAGGGTGGGGTAGATGATATAAAAATGAGAATAGGGTTGTGGTCGTGTCCTGTTCTTGAATGGCTGTCAACTCTCGTCACCAAAATGGTGAACCATTTTTGGTTGCTAAATGTTGAGCAATGCCGGTGACAAGAGACCAACGAGGCTCAGATCGAGACTGATATATCGAAAATGGTCCTTCTCTTTGGCTAGAGTCCTCTATATATGTCGAGAAGGGATGCAGGATGGAGAGCGGGATTTGGCAGATTGCTGACATCCTGGTGAAAATCATAGGGAACGCGCCATCCCTCATCGTATATTGATGGAGTGGGGTTGAGCAACTGCGTTGTTGGCCTGATGAAGCTGTACGTACCGTCTAATTGATTGCTATTGATAAAATAGACCGACGTTCAAGTGTTGGACGAGGGTGAGGAGAAAAGTCGTGATCAGCTTGCGACAGATGGCATGCGTTGGTGGTGGGGCAAAGGCTACTTCGGTCGAGTTCCTTCTCGTTCTCTCATCCCTCTCCAAAGAACCCCAACTCTCAAGTCGTGATTGAACTTTAACAATTCTCTTTCCTGAGACGAGGCAGCCTTCTCAGCTCACTGTGGTAGGCCGATGTAGCCAGCCTTGAGAAGTGGCTCTGGAGACTTTGGATGATCTGCACCGGACACTCTGGATCTCCACACTTCCTTTCCCCACCAGAGCTAAACTTGGGACCCTATTCAGCCGTAACCAGAGCCGGACCGCGCCCGTTAAAGTTTCTACCTCAGCTCTCGCAAGTGGCGTGGGGAACAACCAAAATGGCCCCCGAAGTTCCTGTTGCTTGCCGATCACGTGCCACCCTCATGCTTCCAAACCCTCCTCGAGGTTTCTGTTAGAAATACAGCCGTGGGCTCGGCATTAATTTCCAATTTCTCCTCTTTTTCTCCCTAGCCTTGTTTGAAATACTATCAGGTCGGCGATTCATTGTCTTGCCTTTCAACGTGTCTCTCCATATCATTTAACTGGAAGCTTATTTTCCACATCTTATTTCCCTCATTCGCTTCCTCCTATTGATAATGTGGCTGAGAGTACAGGTGACCCCCAAGTGCACTCTTTGCCAACATTGGGCAATCAAGTATCCATTATTGAAGTCACCTCATCCATTCCTCGTATGTTCTAAGGGTGGTGGCAAGGAAAGAACCCAAGCCTCAGCCTGCCAAGACGCTTCAACGAATGGTTTTCCGTCTGTGGTTTGACGCATACGAAAGTAAAGCATATTTGCCAGTCATAGCAAGCACCGACTGACCGGGCTTGCAGAATTAGAGAAAGCTGGAGGTTGGTCATGTTACGACCCTCGGAGTCGAGAGAGAGAAACATTACTGTTGTCAGGTGCATGGGGTAGAGCTGGGATGGACTGACATTGAACCCGAGAACAACTATTTGCATATCTACCCGGCATCTTTCTCTACTCTTGCGACTTAGAAGCTGCTCTCAAACTCTTTTCTAATACTTCTGAAGCACAATACTCTAATTCGCGACATGGCTGACGGACAGAACCGGGATCATATCGTCAAGGTCCCGGACTTTTACAGATTCCTCATCATCGCCCAGATCTTCATCGCAGTCGCCGTCCTCGGCCTCGCTGCTTATGGCGCAACTTTCAATGACTGGTTTGGAGGAAATGGTTACGCTATTTTCTGCGCATGTATTCCTTACCCGACTACCTCCAACTACTAACATGTTCTAGGCAATCGCCATCTTCTTAACCCATGGCTACTATTTGGTGTCAACTTCCTTCTTCCCCATTGTTTACAACTGCTGGGTCTTCCTCATCCTTTCTATCTTCCAAGTCATCTGGTGGCTATCTTGCTGGGCCGATCTTGCCGCCTGGGCTGCAGCATATGATGTCAGCTTCTATGGAGTAGCCCTTTGCGACGATTACAGCATCAATAGTGAAGGTGATATTGTGTGCTTAGGAGATCGCAAGAAGCACAGAAACGTCATTGCGGCGGCTGCGGGGATTGGCGCTCTGGAATGGTATGCCTTTTGATAATATAAACACTGACTGTGGGATTGACACACATTTAGGATCCTTGTCATTGTTTCTCTAGTAGTCTTTGCCATCGCACTCCACCGTCATCGCATCTCGGGCGCCCCTTTCACTATGAATGGAATGTGGCACACCACGCCTGAGAACCCACGTGGTACTCCCAACGCCGTCGAGTCCGGGATGCAGAATGGAGCGCAGAGTGGTAAGGCGCCAATGCAGCAAAGCCCACAGCCACAGAGCTTCCAGATGTATCCGCAAGCAGGAGCGCAGCAACAGGTGGGCCAGCAACAGGCTTTCCAGCAGCCTGTTTACCAGCAACTGTAACAGACGTATTAGGCTTGTTGGATAAGGCGAGAAGGGTGGAAAGATTAGAGAAGGAAGTTTGGTTCAGATGGGTTACCAGGTAATACGCTTATGTTTCGTGGGTAGGAGAGGGATGGAGTCAGGGTTACGTTTGGAATGATATGATAGGGAGATACCAATTGTGTCAGCGTTTCTCAAACTGCAACCAAGTAATGTTATCTTTCGAGCGCGTTTCAAAATCCAATAGTCTCATCTTTCATTACACAGATATACCTACTCCTCACCATCAAAGCGAGGGAAAGGAGAAGATACCGTCCGCACTTCTTGCACGTCGCAAATATCTGGCCGAACCATTCGGCTCTGCGTGTCTGGTCTGCCACACCCAGATGTTGATGCCTGGTGTTCTGCCGCTACGTTGAGAGCTCCTACGTATTATCCTGTAATGAATGAGCATGGCAGATAGCATTATGCTCTTTGACATACCAGCTATTCATCGATATCAGTCTGTCTAGGCTAATGAGGTCTTCTTACAGTAACTGCACCACACTTTGAAAGGACGGTGCAGTAAGTATATCAAAATATTAACCGTACCACTCATCCTGAGATAGCCTGCTACGGTTCCGGGAATTATGTCTGATAGCTCGCTCTCTTCTAAAAGACGTGTGAGCTTGGCATTGGTTTCATCAATATTCGAAATAGGAACGTACATAGGCCTCCTCCGCTGCGTGCACCCGTCAATACAACAGATGATGATAATAACGACATGCAGGCCCCTGATTCGTTTGAGCAGCTTGCCCAATCCTCATAGCTTCAGACTTACATAACAGAAAACACCAGCAACTCTTGTGCTAGCTTATACTCATCCCCAGGTCGCTGTTCACCCTTATTCCACCCACTCCCTTCCCTCCTCGGATGCCACTCCGCAATAAAAGTAACGAAGAAGCTAATAAGGAAGAAAAACAGGCCAAGCACTTCGAGGGTGATAAGAGGACACAGGTGTATTCGCTTGATCATATCTCCAGGATTACTGCATAGAGCCAGAATTTCGAGATTGTCGAGGAGAATGGCCCAGAGCAGGGCTACGTAGGTCATTGGGTTGGTTTTGTGGAAATTGAGTGATATGTAGATGGTTGTGATGAGACAGCCTATAGAAGTGAGGAGGGCGAGAACCCGGACGGTGAGCTGTAGCCATGCCAGGGCCGAAGGGAGCCTGGGCCGTGACATTGGTGTGGGGGAGATCGACCTGGCCTGAGGCTTCTGGGTTGGATGACCGGCGAAAGGATGCCCGACTGTTTCTTCGCGGGGTGTCCAAGGGTTTAAGGGTTCATGAGTTCATGGAGGTAGAATTATAGAATGCCCACGTGGTGGGAGGCTGAGATTGGGCTGCGTCTGCCAAATTGCTGTATATTGCATTTAGGCTGGAAGGGAAAGACCGCCCCCGTGACTTCCTTGGCCTCGAGTAGTTGGCGGTAGGTGTTTTCTAATCAGTTTCTCAAACTTCAAAATACACTCGCTGCAAAGGCAACCGAGCATTTGCGTTGTACTGTTGTGGTTATTCCTCTAGAGAAGAGATATACTTCAGGGTCTATTCGTAACGCCGGTACCAATGCCGGAGATCTATTGGGTATCAAACATTATCAATCCATATCTTCCAAGCTGCCTCCAGCGATGGATTGTGCTTGTTCCTCGCTAACCATGACTCCTACTACGCATTCGCCTAGCATGTTCTCCCAATTCACCCAAGGATGTACTTCCATGAATAGCTTTGTACCGTCCTTTCCTGCCGCCCTCCTCAACTCGCCTTCACCTCCGGGATGGAAGGGTAGGTAGGGTGTGATGTTGTACACCTTACCCTGATAACTCGACCATGCAGGCTTCTCTTTCCTCCCGTTGTTGTACTTCAGCTGCGAGGGCGTGACGCGGATAAGAGAAGGAACACCCGACAGATTCTTCCCCGAACGCTGCAGACTCGCCCAGTCGAGTGGAGAGTGACCAGGAGAAAGAAGCACTTTGCCTCTTGCGTTTGTAGTCTTCACTGAGGGGGTGAGGCCACCATTCGAAACTGATGGGGCCCGGTTTGGAGCTGGACCGCGGTTCGGGAGAGGCCCAGTGGTCGGCATACGCAAGGGTTCAGAGAATGTGGGAAGGGCGCGTAGATTTGAGGGCACGATTCGTGGAGGAGGTGCCATGAGCGAGGAGGCCGCGGGACTTGGGGGTGGGGCCATGGACGCGGGTGTCGGAGGGGATGGCATGAGGGAGGATTGGACAGAAGTTCGCTGCGCAGAGTTGGCCGCTGGAAAGGAGGGGGGAGGCAGATCTCCTTCATCTTCATCGGAGCTTTCATTTGCTACGAGTGCGAAGGTGGGAATGGCGACGCTGTCCAGAGGGGCGCTCGGAACTGCCTTTGGCGTTGTCTGCGGCGACGATGAAGATGTTGACGTCTCTTCTGTTTCGCGATCTGTGTAAGCTTGAGGCTCGGTTCTTTCCTGTCTAGCTGAGACCGATTGAACTGGGCCGCCATTCTGCGACATCTGCTCGGCCTCTATGACGCGCGCGGGCCCTTCTGCTGGGGATAGCAAGGCCCGCCATGTCGACGGCGGATGGTGGTATATGAGAATAGACAGCGAGATGGCGAGGAGCGAGACAGCCACAAGCATGTCTTGGAGAGAAGCCTGAAACGGGTGCGAGTGGACTGAGGGCCTGTGGGACGCAATTCAGATTCACAACCTTTTGGAGGCTCGGTGATTCACGGGTCCGATGATCTGATTAGATGACACACCATCCGATCTGGCATCTGCACAAACGCACGTTTACCCTTCCTTCGGTGATGAGGCTGAAATCCAACTCTGACAACTGGAATGATGCGGCCACGGCCGCGGAATCTTCCATGGCATCATGGGTTTCAATGGCACATGGCGTTGCGGGCGCCTACTTATCCGGTCACGAGAACAAGCAACAATAGGATGGGGTGCAGGGTGCAGGTGATTATCGCAGCCTTTCGTCAATAGCTCCCCTTGCATAACACGCTCCAAATTCCAGGCTTCCACAGCTTAAGCTTCCCCCGGACTAACGTGTCGTGGGTGGGACGAAAGTACAAAGCTTGAGCTCCCCCACCAGCACTCCCTTCCCCCGGGGCACCTTCATGGTTGACGCGAATTAAGCTCAGTATGGCTGCCAGTAGTTCCACGTTGCCTGAGGGCATCTTCTCACTTCTAGATACGCAAGTGGTTCTTCTAATTCATTTCTGGTTCCTCGCTAACTGCGCTCCAGCGATCTCTACAAGTTGACTATGCAATGTTGTGTTCTGAAATTCTTCCCAGATGTCTTGGTCACATATAGCTTCACCAATCGAACACCAGACAAGAAACTCAGCCGTGCGGCCTTCAAGTGGCTTCAGGCTCAGGTAGACAGTTCGTGCCCGCGCCTTCTCTCCTGCACCTTTTCTCCCGTGCCCTGCTGATGTAGTTTTCAGAGCTTGAAAACATCTCCCTCTCTGCCGATGAGCTCCAATTCCTTCAGACGACTTGCACCTACCTGAACGACTCATACCTGCGATTTCTCTCCGCCTTCCGCTTTCAGCCCTCGAAGCAGTTGAAACTGGTCTTCAATCCGATAGAAAATTCTGGCCAAGACAGTGACCGCGGCGACTTCGCAATACACACCGAGGGCTTGTGGGTGGACACCATTCTGTACGAGATACCGCTGCTTGCCCTGGTCAGCGAGGCCTACTTCAAGTTCTGCGACACTGATTGGAGCCATGCGGGACAGTTGGACAAGGCGTACCAGAAGGGCTTAAAGCTGCTCGAGGAAGGCTGCATTTTCTCTGAATTTGGCACTAGGAGACGCCGTGACTACCATACCCAAGACCTCGTGCTCCAAGGCCTGCGTCGGGCACAGGACGAGGCAGCCAGGAATGGATGGATGGGCCAGCTCACAGGTACAAGCAATGTTCACTTCGCTATGAATCATGGTATTCTGCCAATAGGCACAGTGGCGCATGAGTGGTTCATGGGGGTTGCTGCTATCACAGACAACTACGAAAACTCGAGTGAGGTTGCATTGCAGTATTGGACAACAACGTTTGGAGAGGGTGTACTCGGGATCGCTCTTACGGATACGTTTGGAACACCAGCATTTCTCCAGGCTTTCAAGAAACCGATCTCTGCACTGGCAACCGCAGTCCCTAGTCCCATGGCCACTCTGCCGTCAACGGACGGCACAACACTTCCCGACGTACATTCAGTAGCGTCAACAAAGCCGCTGACGCAGGCCCCCGTTGATGGACAGTCTCCCGCACAAACACCACGGAAAACGTACGCCCAGGTCTTTACAGGCGTGCGCCAAGATTCCGGGGACCCTCTAGACTTTGTCAAGATGATGCGCGAGTTCTACGATCAAGAGGGCATCAAGGAGAAGAAGACAATCGTGTTCTCAGATTCTCTGAATATCGAACTATGTTTGAAGTACAAGGCTGCGGCTGAGGCCCAAGGCTTCCAGCCCAGCTTTGGTGTGGGAACGTTCTTGACGAGTGAGTATTCACGGGGGGGGGGGGCAACGTGGGCTGACCTTTGTAGACGATTTTGACCAAGAATCGACTGGGAAAAAGTCGATTCCACTCAATATAGTGATTAAGATCGCTTCCGCCTCAGGCCGTCACGCCGTCAAGATCAGCGACAACATCGGCAAGAACACGGGCGACAAGGCGACGGTGGAGGAGGTCAAGCACCGATTGGGCTACACGGAAAAATCGTGGGCTGGAGGCGACGAGAGCACTCGGTGGGGTAGCACAAATCAGCCAGCCGCATCTTCGGCAGCTGTGAAGTCATGAAAGGGTGCTGTGAGTGCATCTCGAATTCTGGAATCAGGATGGACTTGCTGGACCGGTGTGGTGGGCAGTCACGGGAGATGCAGGAGAGGCGTTCACGAGCTGAGATGGATGGGCTGAGCTTACTGGGGGACATGTGTAGAATATTGACGCCCCGCTGCGGCGGTGCATTAATGGCCGTTCTATCGAATGCGAATTATATGTGGCGCAGTTTCGCCGCAATGCATCCGCCGAGGCATAATGATGGATAATGATAATGATGGGTAAAGTAGCGAAGGCGACGCGAATGTAATTGTTCAGGCTTGGCCGCGAGCTTACACACTCGATGCAGCAGCAGCCGTGCCTGGTTCAAAAATAGGCAAATGCGTGAGCCGCTGAAGTGAGCGATGCCAAAGCCGACGCGCTAAACTGTGCGCTAGCCTCGTCGGACAAGCTTGGGGCCCTTTCTTCACCTTCAGCTCAGCCCCCAGGGAAACACATATTCACCCTCCACTGCACACTTTTTGTCGCTGCATTGGATTGCCTGCGCTCCTGCCCTGCTCGCATCAATTCTTGAGCATTTCTCCCGCGAACCCCTCCTCATCTCTCGCGATAATCAGCGCTGTAGCTAGGCGTCCGCTGTCTCAGGAGTGTCCATAAACCACACGCCACACGAGTTCCGTTTCAGCATGAGTGTAAGCGGCTCTCTTTGTCACTGACCTTTGAGATTCAACCTCTCGACCTCTCTTCCATCATTATTCCTCCCACTGACCTTGCTGACGCACTGCCATGGCTCAACAGTACGGCGGCTACAACCAGGTGGGCTACGGCTCTAATCCCTACGACCAGCGCGACGAGGCCCCAGCGGCTAGTGGCCGATACAACAACTACAGTCAGGGCAGATATGATGATCGTAGGTACCTGGCTGATGGATCTCTTTGCAGTCGTCTGACTGGAAGCAGCGAGTGCGGTCGAGATGCAGCCATACGGCGGTCAGCAAGCCGGTGCAGACCCCAATGCCATCCTCAACGAATGCCGAGAAGTCGACCGCGCGCTCGACCAGATCAACGGGCAGCTCGACAACCTAGAGCGCATCTTCAAGCAGGTCCTGGCCCGTCCAGACATGCCCTCCGGCGAAATCTCCAACCTTAGCTCCCAGATCATGACGGCCTACCGCGCGCTCGTCGCACGCGTCAAAAACATCAAGTCAAAGCCCGAGTCTGGAAACCCGCGAAACGCACCCCAAGTTGGAAAGGTGGACCGCAGGCTCAAGCAGACCATCAACCGATACCAGACCCTCGAGGCTGAGTTCCGACGAGACTCTCAAGCTGCCGCTGAGCGCCAATACCGCATTGTGAGGCCAGATGCCACAGACGACGAGGTCCGACAGGCGGTCGAGGACCCCGATGCGCCAATTTTCCAGCAAGCTGTAAGAATTCACCTACCATCACCATCTACCTGGTAATTCACTGACACTGCTCCTAGCTCCTCAGCTCCGACCGCCGCGGTCAGGCACAATCCAGCCTCCGAAACGTCCAGGAGCGACATGAAGCTATCCAGAAAATTGAGCGACAGATGGTGGAATTGGCACAGCTGTTCCAGGACCTTGACCAAATTGTTATGCAACAGGAGCCGCTCGTCACGAACATTGAGGCAAAGGGAGAGGAAGTACATGACAACGTCGTCAAGGCGAATACCGAAATTGGTGGCGCCATTGAAAAAGCAAGGAGCCGTAACCGCAAGAAGTGGTGGTGCCTCCTCATTGTCGGTGAGTTTGCCAAAATGCAGTTTTTTTGGTTGTCCTAGCAATAGGCTCCTAACTTTCGCCAGTGCTCATCATTATTGTCATCGCCGTCGTGGTTGCGGTGGTTGTCACTATCAACAAAAATAAGTAGATCTGAAGTTGTATTGCCCTGGATCTGAGATTATTTCATCAACGGCAAGGCTACTACGTCAGCCATGAAAATCAGCCCGTCTTGTTTCCCCGCACATCTCTCCCACTTAGTCTCGAATCCGTATCCACCATTGAATTCGTATGATTTTAGTATTATCAAGGCCGGTCCGGTACGTTGTATAATAACTCCGGTGGATATGTACTCTATCATCTCATTTTTCATCTGTCTCCTCGTCTGGCTGGGCGAGATCCGCTGCTCTAGCTTTCCTAGCGTTCCTCTTCTTCTGATTTCACTAGGCGTCCTCGGACAGCCGCGGCAATGTTGCATCCTGTACTGTCCACGGGGTCCAGTCAGGGTAAATCTAATCAGTCTTGTGCGATGCTGTGGAATGCCGTCACTGGCTGAATGCATTTCTTTTTTGGGGGGGATTGGGAAAGGGGCTTCTAGATGCAATATGTAGGTATTGTCAATCACGAAGACCCCATGTTGTTTTTCCGGCCCTTGTGCTTTGTGCGGCAGACATGGCCTGCAGAATCAAGCTCTCAGTCACTGGTAGGGCGTCCTAGGTCTGTGGCTAGTACGCTTGAGTGCAATCGGCCTTTGGGTTGACGATTCCGAGGCCTTTGATGATTGGTCGAATTCCGCAGACTATTTACACCAAGAAGCTTCCCCCAGTAGAGCCAGCATGATCCGAAGCACCCGTAACTCTTGTCAGGTTGCTACTGGTCGAGAGATGCAAGAATGGCGGGCGAGCTTGGAATTCGACTGCCTTCTACATACCTTGGCGCCCAAAGTTTATCTCATGGATCTTACAGGGCTCCGTGATTCAAGCCTTCTTCATGTAGTTCGAGAGCTCCTCACTGCATTCAGCCTGTTGTCTTCCAAGCTCTTGCGTGACGCTCTGGTGCCATCCATGGACCTTTCCGTATCCATTGACTGCTCGGGTATTCGAACTATACACAATGTACCCTGTGCCTACCACGCTCGGCCAGGCAGAGCGCGAATCAAGGCCTGTGAAAGACCTTTATCTCAACCTGTGCAACCTCTCCACCCCTCCCCCGTGTATCGTTCGCTCGAAGAAGTAGTCCGCATGGTACTGCTGTTAAACCTACCTTTTTGTCAGATATTTTGTCCCGTATGGAGCGGGTATTTCCTATCCGGTGTACCATCATCGATGACAGTCCTCATCTCTTGGGTGATCATCAACAACAAGGTGCGTACCTTTGCGAGCCTCCGCCCGCCCTGCACACCTTTTGGTGCCGAGATTCTCTCGCTTATATCATGTCTCGCATGTAGAGGTCCACGAGCAACGGGTCATACTTGAATCTCCACGATCTGAGAGGTCGGAGCCACCTATCCCGAAAGCTCCTATATCACCGACCGCCGAATTCTCCAGCATCGAGAGTGAAGAGATTCTCCAGAATCCGCCGCAAGAAAGCTCACAGCTTGTGCATACAGAGCATTGCGAGCATGCCTTCATCAATGAGGACGGCTATGGTTTTATTACCGGGAAGCGTGACACGTTTACGCGCTGCGAAGATGAGCGTATCCGCACTCCGGGAGCCGTTCAGTCCCACGGAATGCTCATCGGCCTCGAAGTCTTCGAAGGAGCCGCTATTACCCGATGCCTTTGTCGCGTGGTGAGCGAGAACTCGGAGGCTATTTGCAAGTACACCCCTGGTGAAATATTTGGCTTGGACAATTTCCTCTTCGTTTTTCCGGCCCACCAGCGTTTGATCTTCCAAAGCTATGCACGGTCTGTCATTAATTCATTCAAGAATACGTCTCAGTCTGCCGAACCTAAGGTCTTCTCCATTAGCTTCATGGATCCTGGTGGATACATTGTCCCCGCCTGGTGTGCAATGCACTTTGTTGGAGGGCAACACAACCTTCTGATCTGCGAATTCGAGCTGGAGGAGAGCTGTTGTATTAACCAGACCTTGGAGGACGATCTCCCTTCGACACCGTATAACACTCTCGGTTCTGATCCAGGGGAAGCCACCTCAAGCTTCCTGAAGAAAAGTGAGCCCCTGAATATCACTGTCCATACAATCGACATGTTTCAAGGAGAGGGAAGGACTATGGAGGTTGTCAGCGTCATGTCCCATATCCAGCAACAATTGTCTTCCAAGAATGACATTCAAGACCTACTAGACACTATTGTCGGCCTGATCCAGGAACTGACAGGCTATCACCGATGTATGGTATATCGCTTTGACGAGAATTACAACGGCAGAGTGGTCTCAGAGCTTCTCAACCCCCAAGCTAGCTTAGACATCTACAAAGGTCTCCACTTCCCTGCAAGTGACATCCCAAAGCAAGCCCGGGATCTGTACAAGATCAACAAAGTGCGAGTTCTCTTCAACAGGGATACCTTCCCGAGCAGATTAGTATACAGAAACCTTGAAGATCTTGACTCCCCATTGGACCTCACTCATTCATACCTCCGGGCAATGTCTCCAGTCCATCTCAAATATTTGGCCAACATGGGGGTCAGGTCAACGATGAGCGTCTCGTTAGACTACAGAAATGAGCTATGGGGACTCATCTGCTGTCACTCATATGGCCCAAATGGAGTTCGAGTCCCTTTTCCTGTTCGCGAGCTCTGTTACTGGGTAAATTTATTCTAAATTTATATTCTTAGACTTAGAATTGCTTTTTGCTAATTGTTATAGGTCGGCCTATGCGCATCGAATTGTCTCGATAAGGTATTGAACGCCGAAAAGATCAAAGCCCGAAACATCTTGACTACAATGCAGATTGATATTACCCCTCGGGGATGCATATCTGCGTCGTCTGAGGATCTTTTGCACATGTTCGGGGCCGATTTTGGTTTCCTGGTCGTTCAGGGTGAGGCGCGTACAATCGGCAAGCTATCATCCTACCTTGAAGCAGTGACACTGCTGAGATACGTGTACTTCCGGAAATTTGACAACACCTTTGCTACAAAGAATATTACCCGAGATTTCTCAGATCTCGTTTACGAGCCGGGCTTCGACCACATCGCCGGACTCCTATTCATTCCGCTGTCCCAGGAAGCAGGCGACTTTGTCATCTTCTTTAGAAAGAATCAGACTAAAGTATTTCATTGGGCGGGGAATCCGAACATGTCAAAAACGGGGTCGCTGGAGCCAAGGAACAGCTTCAACAAGTGGACCGAGACGGTTCGGGGAACCTGTTCCCCCTGGACAGAAGAGCAATGTATGCCTCACTGAATTCAACTTTCCTCACATGACGACTAATTTATGGGTATAGTTGAAGCTGCAGTAATTACAAGACTCGTATATGGCAACTTTATTCGAGTCTGGAGGGAAAAGGAGGCAGCATTGCAGGAAACTCGAATGAAGCGCTTACTCCTACTAAATCTCTCCCATGAAGGTGGAGTAGTTGCCATGCTGCTAGATGTACCATGGTTAACATGAACTTAGTGCGAACTCCACTGAATGCCGTCGTGAATTACCTAGAAATGGCGCTCGAGAAACCGCTAAACAAGGCCACCAAGGATATTCTCACACAATCTTATTCCGCTTCCAGATCCCTCATATATGTCATCGATGACCTACTACATCTTACCGGTGGCGGAAAGCAACCATCCCCGCCTCTGGTTCATGTGGCATTCGATCTAGCACAAGGCATTCAGCTTACGTTAGACCAGTTTGAGCAGCATGCCATTCAGAAAGGATTGACTTTTGATATCATCAAAGACCTCAATTTTCCTCATTACGTCTATGGCGACCTCCAAAGACTCCAACAAGCGGTGGCGAGCCTTGTCACCAACGCAGTAAAGAACACTAACAAGGGGGGCATCGTCATCCATCTTGGCTTGCCCTCAGCGACAGAAGAAAGTTGTGTCATTCAAATCGCCGTCCAGGATACTGGAAAGGGCATCTCTGAGCGCGAATTGGACGATCTTTTCCAGGAATTTGAGCAAGTACCCGACGAAGAGCCTGATTCAGATCAGAGCCCGGTAGAAGAAAAAAAAGAAGAACCAAAGAAGCCAATCAAAGAGGCTCGACTAGGACTAGGTCTCGCCTTGTTAGCTAGGTACATAAAGCATTGTGGTGGCCAGATTCGCGGTAAATCGAAAGTTGGGAAAGGGTCGATATTCTCACTCGATGTGCCCATGCAACTTGCGAACGAAACCTCGATCAAATCAGCATCTCGCTCATCCGCATCAACTACTCCATCTGATGATAGACCGGAACAGAATCGCATTACTCCTCAGCGCCCGACCCTAACCTCAATGACATTCACGAGCTCTCCTGCAAACTTCCATCTGCATCTTGATAGGAGTAGTCGTCAAAGCGAGAGATCGCCCGTAAATTCCATTCATTTCCATCACCAACTGCCTGCTAAGGAGACGAAACCGCTAGATATCATGGCCTCACAAGAGCAAGCAACTCCACTCAAAGAGAATTTCATGATCTTAGTTGCAGACGATAATCCGGTCAATATCTCTCTTCTCCAACGTAGGTTAAAAAGGATGGGGCATGAAGTCAAAATAGGCCGTGATGGGCAGCAGTGCTTCAGGGAGTTTCAGAGATATCGTGGTGAGGTGGATTTTGTCTTAATGGACTTGAATGTATGTTTGTTCTCCTGATTGCTGACTTGTACTAATTTATGAGTTTAGATGCCTCTCGTTGATGGCATAAAATCAACAATGATGATTCGTGAAATCGAGCGGACTGAGCCCGTTACTTTCTTCGCTCCTGGGCATACCGATACGACTGATCCTTCAATCCCACCTCAAATTTGCTCAGATTATCTTGCACCAGAACGAACGGACTTCGCTTCAGAACCCATGTCACTAAGATCAACAGAACCACCACTACCATTGACATCGTTTTCTCCTCCAGGCCGAGATCAATTTGCAATTTTTGAATCTTGGTCGGCTTCTACTCTCCCTTCTATCATATTAGCTCCTCTAACAATCTCTAACCCCACGAAGGCAGTTGAGCCATGCTCGGAAACATCCTACTTCCCTACCTACTCGCAAATAGAGCAGATGAAACAGACAAAGCGCTCTTCCGATCCAGAGTCGGAGTCGAGAGATCTCACCCCGCTTCCTACTTCTCATCAACAACAGTCGCCCATCTCTGCTCTTCGGCGGCCTGTCACATCCGAGGTCAACTGCCAAATATTGACCGTACCTCCTACCTCAAAACGCACACCCATTTTTGCGGTGTCAGCTAGCTTGAATCTGCATTCTCAACATTCACTAGAAGCTGCAGGATTTGATGGATGGTTATCCAAGCCAATCGACTTCGAGCGGCTGACTGTCATACTGAAGGGGACAATGAGTACCGATTTGAGGATGCAGACTAAGTGTGAACCCGGTGACTTCAAGGCTGGAGGCTGGTTCGGATGAAGATGGGAGATTGTTGATGCTGAGGCTGTTCCTGGGAGAGAAAAAAGCATAAGGTGAGGTGGAGTTCTTGGGCCCCTATGTTTTCGATTATCCTCACTTCCACACTATTCTATGGCATTGGTATAGAGGAGCTTGCGGTCTCCTATCAATCATGTAACTTTTGGCGGGTATTGAGGAAAGGCCTTCTATTTTTCCGTACCTACGTATATTGTGTTTCACTTCAAGAAACCGAACTCTTCTAATTCCCCCCCTCTCCAGTTTTACCAGCCTTCTTAATTTGTGACTCAGAGAAACGTGTGGAAATTGGGTTTGGGGTTGTGGTGTAGAGAAAAGGCAGTTAGCTCCATGTTCGGTTTCTACGTGAGTTTGAATTATCCAGGATTGATGAGGGATCGATCACAAACACGCAGAGAAGGTACTCGTATGGTTTAGAAATGAGTGGGCAACTAGACTAGACCTAATTCCGTCAAAAAGAAATGCGACATGGGTCTGAGGATATGCCCAAGGCAAGAGACTAATACTAGGGAGTTTTTCTATAGAAGTGAAGAGCGTGATGGTAAGGCGCATAGGTGCCTACCTCTCTTTCCACTTCAAATCGATATGGGTTTCCCACGCCCGTGCCACTCGCTCCCTCCCTCCCTAACAGGGTAAAGTATGGGAGATCTGAGTCTATATTTCTACTTCCCAACCAGCTTCTCCACCTCCTCTGTAATATCCACAAACGGAAACTGTGTCCTGGTTCCTGGCTGCGCATCCCCAAAAAACTCTTCCACCATGAAAATACTATTTCCAATCTGCACGGGCGCTGTCACGAACCCGCCATTCGCGGCGCTAACTTTGTTACTCACTTGCCCTAGACTCTCGGCTGTGGTCCAGGAAGCGTCTTTTGAACGCAGGACTTCGATCCCCGATGCATCCACCGCAGCGAGCAGGATTGTCCCGGCGTATTTTGGGGGGAGATAGATGGCGTCGGAACCGGAGATGTTTTTCGGGGGAGAGACCGGGATAGGGATGGGGATACCTTTCGGGAGGCTCATGTCGAAGCGGACGAGCTGTTTGTTTGCGTTGTCGTTGGCAATAAGCACGTCTCGTGAGCCTACGGCTGCCAGGCCGGAGTATCCGGTTATCGTGTGGCTGAGTGGGGATATGTACCATTCATTAACAACAGATCCATTGCCTTCCACGCGTAGGATTGACGATGGGAAGGTCCCGACGACGTATACGTTTCCCCGGGAATCGAACTCCACGTCTTGGAAGCCGCCATAGGTTCCGTGTGTTGTAGTGGTGAGGTTTAGTCGGTACACCTCGGTTTTGGTGGCTGGGTCCCAGAGGATCAGGAGGTTGGTGCCCGAGATGTCGGATCCGCCGGTGTTGAAAGCGGCGCCGGCGTCCACGACGATAGATATTAGGTTTGTGTCTGAGGAGGGGGCGTTAGTTTTGTGGGTGGGGGGATGTATTGGGGATGTGTGAATTCTTAAGATGTGGGAGGGGTATACATACATGGATTCGCAGCGACGCCTCCGAGATGGTATGCTTGGTTGTGGGTTACATCTGGGACTTCGATGATCGAGGTAGTTTTCGCGTAGGGGTCGTATACCGCGACGGAAGCGTTAAACAGGGAACTAGTCCACAACTAAGCCTCGAGGCATTCATATTTCGTACGGTGTAGAGAAGAGAAGAAGTTGAGGAGCTTTAATGTGGATGGAGTGAGATTGGAAGCAAAGAAATAAACCGCATACCCGATATACAAAAGGCAGGAATGGAAATCAAAGTCCGCATTCTCTGGATACAATTGCAATTGATTGATCGAAAATGTGCCTTTTACATCTGCACAGGGAGCTCGTGGGGCGAGTTGTGGTTTCGGGGAGGAAGGCAAAGAATTGACGAATGTCACTGAAGCCAGCAGCGCAATTGCTCCAATGGCCGTCCTCTTCGATCGTAACATCTTGCCAGTCAATTGAGCGTATTTATCGTAGTCAAGAGATTGAAACAAAGTTGAATTCCACCACGCAGACAGACACAGCGGGGCGCGATCTACTTGAAGTAATGACTGGATGAAGTGATGACATAGCGATGTTTCTACTCTACCGGAATTAATTGACCCCCAGGGATTATAATTACTGGAAAGGAGGTAAGGAACGGAAGATCTGCTTGAAAGCGCGATGGTCCCTGAAACGTGGGGCCGTAGGTAGATTAGTTTGACAGGGATGCCATCTGGGCGAACTTTGGGAGACACCGAGATTCCAAATATTATAGCAATGGAATTGAGGCAAGAATTAATCTATGTAGGGGCATAGAGAATGCGGAAAAAGATAGTGGGCTTGCCCGACTGACTGAAATGGGTGCTTTCTATAACCTGGGAAGCTGCGGTGGTGGTGCGAAGCCGAGCCATGAAGATGTACTTGATTTCTGCTGCTAGGGAAGCATACCTAAACCTGTATGTTATGTCAGGAATGCCACTTTTTTCCCTTGAAATCTAAAATCTGAAATGGTGAAACCGACCCTAGGCCCCGTCACAAACATGACCTTCGGCGTAGCCCCTTCAAAAATACAATGTATTCGAGCAAGAAAGCCGCAACTAGGACCTACGTATGTACAGCACACCAGGCATTTCGAATCTTCCCAGCCAACTACATTCCATTACACGTCTGAAAGCGAGAACCTGACTGAAAGCGAAGTACAAACATCCCACTCCATAATAAAAAAAATGACAATCTGGATACCTCCGCCATAACCTAACATAAACCATGAGCTGGCTGCAACCAAATGCCGCCAAAAGTACCTTTAATGAGAGTGGGCCAATTGCTAGACCTCCGAAACGTGAGTTAGAGTGTTCGAGTGCCGAAGTTTCCAGTTGCACTGACAGTTGTGGCCACATCCGAGTGGCAATCAATTGATGGAAATGCACGACGGCTGGGAGCAAGTTGAAGGAATGTGTGTGCATCATTGGAAACCCTCAGAGTTGTTGTAAGAAGGAAATCCAATGGACGCTATCCAGACGTTAGAGGACGAAGAACCGCCGGCGCCATATATCATCGTCGTTTCAGTACGGGCGTCAAGCCTCGAATGAATCGATACCGGTCGCCGTTATTGTGCAGCTCGGACCTCTGGATACGCAAGGTACACTAGTCGAAAAAGGGCTGGTAGTACATCCTGATGGATGCTTCACCTTTTGACTAATTAGGTTCCCACAGCTTACGTCTCGTCCCACGCACGTTGCTCGCACGGAGTGTTGGACGAGAGAATGAATCGGGGTCGATCGGTTGATTTGGGTCGACGATGCGAGGAGCGGGTGGCGCACGGAATGTTGGGCCTGGCGGAACGTAAGCCCCACGAGGCGCGAATCCTCCTCGGCCTCCTCGAGGTCCTCCACGACCACGAGGCCCGCCTTGTCCTCCGCGGCCTCCACGCCCTCCTGCATGTTGGTTTACTCTTCCAAACTCATTAGGGTCGAAGACTCGCTGGCCGTTGATATTTTGTGCTTGCGGCCCGCGGGGAGCACGTTTGAAGAGCACGACGTCTTCATCGTCTGAATTCGGGTCTGCCACCCTGCTATGGCTGGACTTGGGTCGCTCGGCAATTGTGTTGTGTTCAGTTGTGGTCTCCTCAATTGGGGCTTGTGGTTTAGCAGCCTCACTCTCAATCTTGTATAGGGTGAGACGGTTCTTGTACTCTCGATCCTCACGGCCGACAGCATCGCGGAGCTGCTCTAGCCGCTTGGCTCGGATGCCGAAACGCTGAGCGATCATTTGCTTAGTCGGGTCGTTTGTAAGTAGGATGAAGGACTCGAGGGCTGCATTGGGATTCTTCTCGTTGTGGATCCTCCAGAGAATGTGGTTGAAGAGGGGTTGAAGATAGGCTGGCACGGTGCTCTTGGGTGACTTCTGCGACCGGGCCAGCTCGGTGCTGTTGCGAGCAGTTCGGTCTGGAGACTCCAAGACCAGCGCCGAGGCCTTTGGATTGTAGGGGCTGCGATTCTCGAGCTTGGAGTCGCCTGTGGCGAAAGATTCTGGGGACTGCGGTGTCTTGGGGCGGTCGTCGAGGCTGTGGGTGGAGCTCATGGACGTTTCGTCGGATGCATCGAGCGGGTTGAAGGAGCTCTCCAGGTCTTCTGGGTAGTCATCCTCGTCTGACTCGGTGTCCTCCATGGAGAGGAGCGTCTCGGGTAGCAGAAAGCTCTCGACCTCGTCCCACGTAGGGAAGATTTCTTCGGCGCCTTCGAGCTGGACATGGCCGGCGGGCATCGAGGTGATGTCGTCAAGCCACTTGATGGCATCGCGGGCGTCGGCATTGATTCGTTCGCTGCCCTTCTTGAGGCGGTCGAGCTGGGCGAGGGCTACACGTGCGATTAGAGTGCTGTGATTGCTGATGCAGCCAGAGCAGCGCAGGGAAGGGGGGGGCGGGTGCGAGCTGCGTACTGTGAAGCGGGACATAGAGGCGGATGGCATCGTGCGACACCCACTTGCGGATGCCGTCGCGGGTGCTCTTCTTGACGCCGGCTATCAAAGCCGTGTCGTCGACAATGCAGCTGAAGACCTTGCGCGAAGGCAGCTCGGGAGCGCGCAGGTGGTCCTCGGCCTTGGGCCGGAGGGGGTACGTGTTGCGGCGCATTGTCTTGGGCGGTGCTATGGGTGGTAGGAATGTGGGCGAGGTCGCAGGTGGTGTGTGGAAATGGTGGTAGATGGTGCTATCAATGGCTACACGGCTTGGGCTCAATGGTGACTACTTTGTTCGGCGTCAGAACAATCCATCCGTGTGGCCGGGCTTTAAGGTGCGAACATGGCGAGAGACTGGGTCTGTCGCAGAGTGTGTGTGAGCGAGAGTATCGAGGTTTCTGCACAGAACACCATGGTTGGTGGGCTTGTTGGGCTGGGTGAAATGTCTGCTATGGGTGGTGAAGGTCAAGACACTGCGGCTCGTCATCTCCGTCGCAGCAGCAAGTGCTCGGGCCATGTGCAGGTGGGATGTTACAGCCACATGTGGCGCAGTCATCCTCCATGCCATCCTCCACAGCTCATGTTTATTGCCAGCTAGGCATTCGGCTATCTGAAGACATCCCTCTCTCTGGGACTTTTACTTTTACTCTGTGCGTCAAGGTCTTAGTAGCTCTCCACCTCCGGCCTTCTCTCTTCCCTCACCCCCGGCACCCAGCCCTTCGGCCGCTCGCTCCCTCGTACGGTAAGATTGTACAGTGCCTTCTCCACCTTCTCGACACTTTCGCGCATGACAGTTGCCTTCTTCTCTGCTTCATTTCTAAATTTCGACGTCCGTGGCGGCTCAAGCATCTCCAGCCGGAGTCGGAGTTCCCTCAGGTCTGAAAGAACATTTCTCGGCTGCTGCTCCTCACTCTGTGCAGTCACTCCCCTGTCGATATCCATCTTGTCTGCTGGCTGATCACTGGGTGGCTCCTGGCTTGGTTGGGGACCCTTCTTTGGCTTTCCTGCTGGAAGTTTGCCGTTGGTGGCCATGGAGGTGATGGAGAACTTCATCACCTCGCCGGTCATGTCGTAGATTCCAAGGATATAGTCCTCTACGGTAAGCTGAACTACACCTGCCTCCCCACTCATAGCTGCAACCCGCATTTTGGCTTCGTTGTATGATATCAGTGTTTGCGTTTCAATATAGTGCTGGAAGCAAATCGCCTCCATGAACTCCTGGTTCCCATGGGTGATCTGCATATTGTAGCGATATGCATTTAGCCCCTGCAGATCAGCAGAGATAGCCTTGTATCGTTCTGCGATAGTACCCCAATACTGAGCATTGCCTTTCACAGTAAATGGGGGCAGTGGTTGGCCGATGTTCCGGAGCCTGCACCGTCATTAGAGAGCCTCGAGAAATCGACATGAAAGTTCACACCTCTGTAAAGTGAAGATACTGGTATCAACGTTAGAACACTATCAATTCTCACGCAAAAAGAGTACGCACATCTTCTTACTGGCTGCAGTAATGTCTCGAGATGCTTTGACGACCCGCTCTCGCCGATCGTAATGTTCATCTAAATCCTTGCGAAACCCCTCGAACATGGCCGCGTAGGGCGTCGACGGCTGCTCATGCTTTGCGTCCCCCATAGCTTCGTCATGCGTACGTTTCTGTCCCATATAGTAGTACAATCGAGGGTCTCTGAAGGTCGAGGTCAAGCAAACGACCGAGATTGGCTAATGAAGGTCAGCACGTGTGCGCTTGACCAACCTAGCTCTAGCGTACGTCGGCTGGGACATCTTCACACGACGCTCGAACCCTGGATCGCTCACGGACAAAAACGCCACCTCTCGCAGTCTGCATCACTCGTCTTTTCATCTTGACTACCTATTCAACTTTGTGCTTTCAATTACCATTTCACTGGTTCTTTGCAATATTATTTCCTTCTTGGCACGTCATTTCTCCGACCTCCACGACCTTGACGCGCTCCCTCATGCATCTATCATCTTTCTTTCGCAGCTCTGCTGCAGTTTTTTCCACTTCTGTGCTCTTGCGGGTAGTGTTCCTGCTATATGGGTTATTTCAAGATGCCTACTCCCCCATGAAATATACAGATATTGACTACTTCGTCTTCACGGATGCTGCTCGCTTCATTTCCCAAGGCCGATCACCATACACTAGAGATACCTACAGATACACGCCCCTTTTAGCTTGGCTCATTTATCCAACGACATGGCCTGGTTTTTGGTTTTCGTTTGGCAAGGTCCTCTTTGCCATTGGAGATATTGTTGCTGGCTGGATGATGTTCCATATCCTCCGCTCGCACCAGAACATGCCCCTGGATAGAGCCCTCAAATTCGCTAGTATCTGGCTTTTGAATCCCATGGTGGCCACAATCAGCACACGAGGAAGTTCTGAAGGCCTTTTGGGGGTCATTGTCATCGCTTTGCTTTGGGCTGTCCTTGCAAAACGAGTTCGATTGGCTGGATTGCTCCTTGGGCTTGCCGTTCATTTCAAGATATACCCGTTTATTTATGCTGCATCTATCATCTGGTGGCTTGATGAGGATCGCATCGACCAAGCCAAGGAAAGGAAATCAAAACCAAAAAGCTCACTTCTCTCTCGCATCATTAGCTTCGTCAATAGCGAGCGACTTACCTTGACCATTTTCAGTCTTTTTACTTTCATGGGCTTGAATATAGTCATGTATCTTGCGTCAGTTTCCCTCCGGCGAACTGGTTTTTATGATGCTGATTTCATCTAGCTACGGATATCCTTTTCTTGAGCACAGCTACTTCTATCACCTCATCCGTATCGATCACCGTCACAACTTCTCGCCCTACAACACCTTACTTTATCTGAATTCGGCCCCGCAGGGGCAATCTCATCCTTCATTCGAATTGGAACGTCTAGCATTTCTTCCTCAACTTCTTCTCAGCGCTCTCATGATACCATTGGCCCTAGCAAAGAAAGATCTGCCATCTACCATGCTTGCCCAAACATTTGCATTTGTAACCTTCAACAAAGTGTGCACAAGCCAGGTAAGTTTGTTCTTCACGCTCTGTTGAAGCAGATAATGTAACCAATCCTAGTACTTCTTATGGTACATGATGTTCCTCCCATTTTATCTCCCCGTCTCCACCCTACTCAGCTCTCGCAAAACGGGTATCGTGGCATTAGTTTTATGGGTACTCGGTCAAGTAAGTCCCATTTAACCCTTTGCCAATGCTCTTGACTTATACTACAATGTAGGCTCTGTGGCTTCAACAAGGGTATCAGTTGGAATTTCTTGGCAACTCGACGTTTGTTCCTGGATTATGGACTGCAGGCATCTTGTTCTTCGTCGTGAATGTCGGCATCCTCGGTCTCATTATTCGCGACGTCAGGGCTAAGGAAACCGATCCACTAAGATTGAAAGCAGCAAAGAAAACGTCATGATTATACCTGCCATACTTATCTCTTGTCCGGGATTGGCGATTGACATCTCTGCAGGCACTTAGTAGACATTTCCTAGCCAAGATAATTTCGAGGTTCTTTCGGAGTCTTTCGCGGGATTTCCTTTCGCGCACGCCCTATGCATGAGGTCGACAAACTTGAGGTAGCAAACTAAGAATCTGGGTATAACAACTGCGCCTTATCTAGCCGAGGACCGCTCTACCATTTACTTTCTTGCTCCTTGCTCTTGGATACCGCTGAAGGACTATTCAGATCAATCGATGGGAAGGGCAATCAACACACATAGACTTGTAAACGAACATGCATGTCTCCACGCACTCGACCTAGCGTTCAGAGGCGACGATTGTCTCTCCCTCTAATCCTACTTCGAGCAACCCACAATGAAAATACAAGTAGAACAATCTAACCAACGACAAAGCCCGATATGAAGGGATATATGAGTCCCTGGAACGACGGACCCTCTTTGAATCCTTCGGTTAAACACCATCTCGGTCCGGGAAATCGAGAGACCAGTCCATTCTTATCTGTCTTGACGTTGGAACCCCTTATTGGAATCGTTGAAGAATGGATAAAGAAGGGAGTTCGTAACATATACCTTCAATTCCCGAAAATTCTCTCTCCAGACAAAATAGAGGTCTACCGCACGACCGCCATGGCAATCAATCTTGATTCACATCAGAGGAGTATCTCGTTCGTGACCGTACACCACCGCCTGCTTTCCTAGTTTCCCTCCCAACCGGTGGGACCGAAGTATTCAGAGTCCTTCCTTACACTGCCCCGCAGGAGGTTCCATGACTGTGAGTTAGCCAGCGAGCATATTTCAGACGGACGAAACAGGCCATATAGATCGTAATGCAGATCGCAACGTCGACTATTTATTCCATTTAATCAAGAAGAGGCATAGTGTAGGTAGTATGTTCGCTTTGATTTGAGAATTCTTGTGGACTGTTTGACTATGTTGTTCGTGGTGAAAGACTTGGTCGCCTTGACAAACGAGGAGTATGAGAGAGTCTTCAAAAGAAGGTGAAGCCACATCTTGATTGATAAACGTAATTCAGCGATATGGTGTAGCTTAGGTGTGGCGGATATAATAATCTGAGATTCGTCGTGGCGATAAATACTGACTATGCCATTGGGGCAGTTTCGCTTAGGTTTCACACCGAGTCGTTCAAGGACTCCCACACCCGGACAACACGTTGGCGCTCTTTGCAGGGGATTGGAAGGCTGAGTAAGTACTTCCTACCTGTTGCTATAAGTTCCCTAAATGGCAAAGGGGTAACAGCAAGGGTTTCTCTAGGTCGATTCCACCAATTCTTTACACCCACTTTACCATATCACATCACTAACCATAAACCGCTCACCTTTTAAGCTCAAAACCCCTGGACCTTAAGATTACTGCACGACATGTGACATGTCGCTCCTTCCCACATGACGCAGGTACACCCGCAACTGCATCTCTGACAGGATCGTGGCTTCTCCCCAGCAAGCCGGTAGCGCTCGCAAAGTTTATGACTTGCATGAGAAAACGCCCTATGCAAGATATATATCCCGGGTAAAGAGTAGGACGGGGGTGAAACCAAGTTTTTCTTGCATGCGATCGGGATCGGTGTTGGAAAGTTGGAAAGATGGGAGGGGTCAGGTCCGGGGTCGGGTTGGGGGTTAGGAAACCGTGACTGCATAGGATTGGACTGGAGCTGTTGGTGGAGGGTGGCCCGAATAGTACGGGGACCTTGAAGGGTTGGGGTGGCATGGGGAGGCCATTGTATTTGTGATTATCCCAGCTTCATAGATGTAGTCGGAGCAAAATTGAGAACTGGTTTACTTATTCATCCCCCCTTTTTTTCTTCTCCAGAATCATTCTTCAAGGCTGAGGTAAATAGTTAGAGGCCGGGGATACAAAGCTTGAAATGAAAGAGCCCTTGAGGGCTCCGCTTTCGGCACAAGCCCCGATGCTTCCCGGGTTCCTCAATATGCACGACGGCCCCCCGCCACCCATGCGGTCCTACACCCTTCCTTCCTTCATGTGGCTAAAATTGGTTGCCCTAAATTTCCTCCAGGGTACTCCAATCGCATAGTCAACTAAGCATGTTCTTGATGTCATGCTTCTCTTAGAGAATGGCACTGAGGAAGTAACGCTGATCAAGCAGAATGAACATCCAGAATTCATTTATCAACAAGGTATTTGAGTAAAGGGCCGGGATCAAACAAATATCAATTTTGCGCACGATATCAGAGACTATTACGTTCCTCCATTTTCAGACTCTCCTCCATTCTCATTCCCGTCCAATCCAAATCAACCCATAAATCACCAATCCCACGAATATGTTACGGTAAGAAAGGCCATATAATCTAAATGCAAATTATCCCGCATAGGCCCAAATTTTCCAACTCCAGCGCTTTCCAACCAAATCATACAAAAAACCCGATGTATATCAATACTCATGATCAGAATAAGCCCAAATATGTCGCTGTCTAAATGCATTATGAAGGAGTGGCAGGAATAATAGAAGGAGTTAATCGAATTCAAGGCGCGATATTAATGCTATGTAAGGAGCGTTGAGCATCGGGAGGGGGGGTAGGGGGGGGTGAAGATGCTGATAATAGTGCGGCGTGATACAGATATATGTTCAAGGGTGCAGGATACGGTTAGAAGAGGCCGAGGGCAAACTATATGCAAGTCAGCATGTTTTTCATTGAGGGGTAAACTGAGAGAACATACTGGAAGTAGCGCGTGACACCCAACCTGATTCGATAACGGCACAATAGCAGCAAAGTCGCTGATGAGCCAACCTCGCGGCGCAAACAGAGCTAGGTAAATCATTCCCCCCATGACTGGGAATAAGAACAAGTACATGTACTTAAAATCCCTGACGATCCTGTCAAGACCCACCCGGAACCCAGATTCCGAGAGTTCTTTCGCCGTGGTTGTCCACTGGATGTCTACGCTGAAGAAGTGGCAGAAGATGGCTTTGAGGAGATGGAAGGATATGCCACCAAAGAAAAGGAGGAAGAATCTAGAGTCTTTAGTCTGAATGGGGGAACAGATGAGGGATGAGGCTTACGGCATCCACTTGCATGTCTCCACAAGGGACCAGAAGAATGTCTTTTGTCCTAGCCGGTGCCTCAACATGGCATACGCAAGCGGTGACAGAACGTTGAACACGACAGCCATTCCGACGAAGATCTTCCAGCTGGTAATATAGAATTGATCGACCTCCTCGTTGAACCATCCAACAATGAGATAGTTGGCTAGCGTAAGGGGAATTGCAGAGGCGATAGCATAATATGTGCCGATGTATGCGAGAATGGTCATCTTACTTGTGACCTTGATCGGGCTGAGGATGAATTTCCGGAAGAGTGGGGTGATAGGTCCTTTGGTCGGCCACTTGATTAGAGGGTGGAATACTAGTTCGTTACACCCGTAGGCGTACTTCTCCCAACGCGCTAGCTCATCGTAAACCGTCAATGATACACCCTCTTTAAAGCCTCCGTTGTGGTATGTAGCGAGCCGGACGACGAAGTTGTTGATTTGAAGCCTCAGGCTGACATCGAAGTCCTCGGAGACGTGATCTTCGGACCAGAACTTGGTCTGGCCATCTTGTTGGAAGCTTATTGACTGAATTGCTTTCCATCTGATGAAGGTGTTGTGGCCTACGAAAGGTGCACAGTCCCCATTGCCAACAGCGTATTGGATCGAGGTGTAGACCAGGTCGGTGAAATATGTAATCCCATTTTCGAAGGCATTGTGCACAACTTGCATAATGCCAGAGGCATGTTGCAGTAACGCGACTTCTGGACTTTCGTACATTTCGAGGGCGCCGTAGAGGAGACAATCTTCGGGGACACGAGTATCGGAGTCTACGATTAGGATAATTTCACCCAATCTGATATTCCCAGCTGCCCAAGTGCGACCTTCGTCATTTTCAAGGATGGTATTGCGGGCTTGTTCGTAGAGCTCGGCTTCGTCTTCCAGAGTCAGGTCATCCTGGGTGCAGCCACGCTGTTCGCAACTCTCCAGAATGAGACGCAAGAGCTCGTCTTCGACACGAAGAGAAAAGTCAAGGCAATAGTTCATGTTCGATGCCTTCTTAAAATGGCCTGCTCGGATGAAGACTGGCGCATTATCCTCCTCTTCCGCGTCGGCATCGTCGGTCTTCTTCCTTGAGAATAAGCCTCCACTCTTCTTACTTTTCTTACTTTTCGGCGGGTTGTGCTTTGGGCGAGCTACCCATCCAATGTTATTTAGCTCGTAGAAGGCTTTACGGGCTTCTTGCATCTCCGAAGAGACCGTCTGCATGCCATCTTCATTGACGAAGATGGATGCTGTGCCTCCCTGTTCTTCATAATGTCTGACGGCTGCAAGTAGCGATGTCACAGTGGGAATGATGACTCCCTTGAGACCCTCCTTGTAGACGGGCATCTGAATCGTCACATGTGGGAGTTCATAATCGCGATGTCGGCCTAGTTTTGGAGCCTTTCCTGTTTCCAAATAAGCAAGTGATCCAAAAAGATTGGAAAGAGGGGATATTCTTTTACCTGAATAGTAAATGCTATTTCCTTGAAGCGCGGAAAGAGGGCCAAATAATTGTCCCAAAGAACCCCCTATGGCGTAGATTAGTTATGTGATCTTTCGAACTTGGTATCCTAACGCGCATACCTATCACGATGAAGTAGAACTGCGCAACAAGTCAGCGATTTGTGCAAGCATCGATGTCATTAGGAGGGGAGAGTGGATGTCCGAAGATTTGCCAGAGGTCAGCCAACCACAACAATTCATTTGCGCCAAGGATAAAAACTGAGCACGATTGGTGAACACTTACGAGAGAGAATGATGCAAAGAGAGGGACAGTTGCAACCTTGATTCAACATCAGCGCCCCATTCGTCATCTCGGTCTCGTGTTGGGGACCTAACTCACCAAGGCAAACCGTATCATTTTGCCATCGAGACGATATTCAGTAATTAGCTACAACAGAATTCAGCCTCGGATATTCACACTCTTCCATCTGGAAAATATACCTTAGCAAGACAGGCCATCTCAACGACAATGACGAGAATCTATGCAAGTCAGTTGGTTGCGATCTGAGACCACCAAAGGGAGTATACCATGGCAATTCCAATTGTGACGGCATGAACAAGGAGAAACTTCCTCTCTGGTAGCTCGGCTTCTTTCTCTGGATCGTAGGCCTTGTCCCCCATTTCTTCCACCTCAATTGCGCGATCAATTGCGCCAATCTTTTCACTCATTTCTGACGGAAGAGGGCCGGTCATAGGGGCAGAGATTGGAAAACCAGAAGATCTCGTGCGACCATGGGAGCTTGGCTGATGGGATTGGATTGGAGGCGCTTGCTGATATGGAGACACAGTATTGTGTGACGGGATATGGGAACCCCATACAAGTCCAAGAAGTCTAGTCTCGACATCGGTTCCATGGGCTAAGATTCCAGGGACAGTGTCTCCCCAGACAAGAACCATTCGCTCTTGTCGGCAGAGGCAGATGTAAGAGTCTCGCGCCACCGAAGACTTTCTTGAAGCAATTTCCTGTACTGAGTTGACCACAGGAAGAACGAAGCCCCGAGTATTTAGTGATAATTCCGTCTGGAAAGGAGTGACTTGCTGAAGAAGCGCGTGCGTGATTTCGGAAGACATTGTAAAGGCTACGGCTACACCGAGCTTCTCCACTGCTCTTACAAGATCTTGATTTAGGAAGAGAGGCTCTGCCGTATAGATGCCATCATTCCGCCGCAGGAGTACACCGAGGTTTGCCGCACCCCCATCAATAACGCCGTACTCGTCTTCTGGAGGCTCTAGCCATTTGGCCTGAGAACACCTTCGGTGGAGAAATTTGACCATCTACATTGCTGTCAGCAAATTGAAGATGAAGGCCATCAGATGCTTGAATCACATGTCAAGGATACTCACAACATCATGGCGGTCACCGCCATTGGTACGGTTCGATACGATACTTGAGCCGGCGCTATCTCGCAATGCTGGACCTGGACGGGAAGCCTTTATCCCTTGGCCATATATTTCTTTAGAAGACCCTTGAGAGTCGCGGTCACCACTTGATGCCATTGTTGACGAAAGATTGGTGAAGGACGTGAATGAGAGTGTGTGCTCTGCAACTCTGAAAAAAAGTTGACAGACGCGGCCAGGAAATCTATCCACTCGTGTTGGGAGAGCAAAGATTCGCGGACAATCACATCCCGGATATACGACCCTCGCCCTACAGATAACTCCATCAAGTCACTTGTCTTCTCGCCCATGGCTTCTTTGGCTGGGCTGAACTGCAATGCGCCTTGAAACGACAGGGGAATTGATACATTGGGAGGGGAAGTTTAATCCCAGCGGTTCCACTGAATTGGGAAGCACGATCTGGCAGGGTTCAGCGAATATTGCTACGGCTGACAGATGTCGAATAACCTAAGACAACCAGCAGCCTGGAAGCGATTCTCTCCGACTCCTATCAACTGCCACGTTGACGTCTGGAGCGACCTATCTCGTCCGCTAGCTGGGCGTGCGTGTATTAGACTGCATTGATGAATCGGGGTGGCACGGAAGGCTGCTGAAGGGGTGTCGGAGAGGATTCCAATTGCTACCTATCGTCCACGCAGCGCAGCCGAAACAACATGGCTTGGCCAAGCCCCCCCCTGCTGCACAAGTACCACAAACCTTGAAAACCACCAAAGTCCAGGGTGAGCAGAATCTTGCTCAGACGCCACAGAGCTACCAAGCATGCCGGCTGACATTTTTAGAAGTGCGGACGTAGCAGCAATCTATGCCATACCCAAGTAGCTTAATGTCAGTCCGGCCGGCGGGCCTCAATCTTCGCTCTTGCCGAGTCTTGAATGGGTTGATACGCACCAGCAAGCAGTCCAGGGTTCTTGAACAACTTCATTCTACCAGTATGTAGTTTGATCGGCATCAGAAATGCGATCCAGAATCAGGCCTTCACACAGGACCGACTCTAGAGCGCCTGCAAGTCAGGATCCTAGTCCGTGGCAATTGAACTTGGAGAAAATCCTCCCTCGTCCCTCGAGGTACAGGCTGGGCACTGTCGTACAAATACGGTGCTAATGAGCCCAGTGATAGGTGATTCCATGGCGCTGAGAGGGCGGCAACGTGGGGTCAAGCACCCACGCGAAGACGCCATCAATTACCACGGGGTTTTGTCTGCCATAGTCGGCGATACAGCTTAATAGCTCGGTGCGTTTGTTATGGTGACAGAGGTGTGCAGGTCGGCGGCCCAGCAAGAAGAATCAATATTGGCGGCTGCATGGTCGAGGAGACAGAACCCAGGCGGTTGGTGATAACGTCGGATTTCGATACTCGTCTGCATGTGCAAATTCGAAACGAACATGGGCAATTTAATTCCCTGTCCATGTCGGAGACGGAGCGAACAATGAAGTGGCTGGTGCGTGGCGCTGGAGTTTTTCCGAGCGTCCGCTGCTCTAAACAAAGTCTTATCGGGCTTTAAGTTCAATAAGAATCTCCCTGGAATGGCCCGGACGCTAGTTAGAATCCTTCGTAAGAAAGGAAGTGTCTAACAGATAACAGATGTAACGGCGGGACTGTCGTGCCTTGTGACTTTCTTTAGACTGCATGAGTACAATGCCAACAAGTTAAATCTAATGAAGCCATAGTTCAGAATCCAGACATTAATTACTAGCTTATTAAGAGATATCGGAGGTGTTCACTACCGCATGGAAAGATAGACATGGGTGATGGAGAATGGTGGGACGTCAAGGATGGGCTTGACGGCTTGGCCTGAGCGCGGCCACCAACCCCAAGACGGCGCCACTTCTTAGAAGCGAATGGCTGTTGCTGGGGTTTGAGATGCTGCGATATCAGGCACCGGGATGAGCCCTTCCCAACCCCTGTATCAGCCGCGAGCACGGTTTGGTCGGCTTTCCGTTTTCAACGTGCATGCAGCTATCAGCCACTTTCTGCTGTCAAGCTCATGCTCCGTGCGCTCTGCTTTTCTACCTGCCCCTAGCTATCACTCTCTCAGTTTGCGCAGGATGCCACTAACGCACCGACACGCTAGATGTCTCTCCTGGAAAAGCCACCTGCAGATGTCCTCTATCCCGAGGTATCGCTGAAGCCGACATTCTCGTGGCCGCTAACCTGGTTCTTATGTTGCTCAAGACGCCAGCCATAAACCCGAGGGCTGAAGCCGAATTCTAAATCAATTGACAGCACCTCGCTTGCAGCACTCTAGCGGCAATATACCATGCAGCTTCTCTCCGGGCGCGAAACATCCACAGTCCGATTTTGGAGCTCAGATTGTCGATCAGTAGACGTGCAGACCCGCAAGTATAGTATTTCGAGGCGATCCGCTTGTCTGTTTGAAGGTATTTTGGAACGCTGTCATTTCTTCAAAGTAGATAATCGAGGAAGCTTTTTTGGTTGTCATGTCGAGCTCCAACTCAATCCACACACCGCCTGTCCACTCAAACCTAGGCACGAACCCATTCTCAACACCAATCCGCCTCAGTCGCGCCCCGACTGAAGATGAACGCAGTGGCAGTGGCCGACCGTTCTCATATTTTCCTACCCCTGCCGCCAATGGTGAGTCTACTCTGAACCTAGGATATTATTTACTGTGCCTTCATGTAATGCCTCATAGGAGCACATCAACCACGACGGAGGAAATTTAAGAGTGCTCGGCTGGTGGATGGAGAGTAAGTCGTCCACAACAATCACTGAAACGTAGCTAATACATGCAAAGATACGACGAGAAGCCGTGGGCTGCAACAAAGCATCCGAAAATAAAATGGGAGAGGGGAATATTCTATGGATCAATTGGAATAGGTGTCGTAATTGGAGCGATTATCTGTTACATGGCTTATGCCAGTGTAACAAATCATACAGTACTAGCAAATCCATGCCCTCGAAGACCTAGCTAACAAAACGACAGTACTGTCTGATCCTGGACGATGAGTTCAAATCAATCGATAAAAACATCTGGAATTTCGAGATTCAGAGAGGTGGCTTCGGGAGCGGGACTTTTGAGTGCGGCCAAACATGCGGCCTTCGTAACCCAAGCACTAACGACTAGCAGATGGACTACCGACGACCCAAAAAATGCTTACACCGATGCTGAAGGGTTAGTATCTCCTTGAACTCTCTCATGCTTTATTATTGCTGACAACTTGTGCAGCTTGCACATTGTTCCAACTTTGACCACGGAGACCACAAAGATTACCAAGGATCAATTAATCGATAACTTCGTTCTCAACTTAACTACCGATGGAACCTGTACTACACAAGGCATCGAAGAGTGCTCGATCCGAAGCAATAAGACTGCGGGGACCATCATCAACCCCATTCGTAGTGCTCGCCTGTCCACCAAGGGGAAACGATCGATTACATATGGGAAGGTCGAGGTTGTTGCAAAGATGCCACAAGGTAATTGGTTGTGGCCTGCTATCTGGATGATGCCGGAGAAAGACACATATGGCAAATGGCCAGCCTCGGGTGAGATTGATATTGCGGAGAGCAGAGGCAACTTTGGGGATGATTATCCCAGCGGGGGAAGGGATGCTCTCATTGGTGCCCTTCATTGGGGACCCGTGCCGGAAGCGGATGCCTTCTACAAGACCTCCGGGTTACATCGTGTTCGCCGAACGGATTATTCGAAGTCGTTTCATACCTTTGGCGTTGAGGTAAGTCGTGACGTATGCGTATAATGACTTTAGCTGATCCTGTCTAGTGGAGTGAAGACTATCTCTTCACATATATTGATTCGAGGCTTTTGGTACGTATCATGTGCTCGAAGTACCCAAATTCGCATGCCTCAGACATGTGGAAGCGGGAGATTACGCCATGCTGATTGCATACAGCAAGTCTTTTTCATCAAGTTCAACAAGTACAAAAGCATGTGGGATCGTGGCGGTTTCGGAGAAACCATAGGTGAGTCGTGTCCAGCCCTCAAATTTCCTCCCTGATTTCTCCAAGTAAACCATTCTGCGCTTTTCGACCCGTGGTCTCAGACAAACCGGGCCAGCACCCCCTTTGACCACCCTTTCTACTTAATCCTCAACGTTGCGGTCGGTGGTACAAATGGATTCTTTCCAGACGGCGTTGGGAATAAGCCGTGGGGAGACAAGAGCCCCACGGCCCCAAAGGAGTTTTGGGATGGTCAATCCTCGTGGTACTCGACGTGGGGCGAAGGCGAAAAGCGAGGTCTCACGGTGAAGAGTGTGAAGATGTGGAAGCAGGGAGGGTGCTAGACAGGGTGGGTCGAGATTCAATCGTCGATCTACTAATGCCTTAACATGGCCCGTAGCCTGCAGCTCTTAGCAGGTTGTGAGCAACAGGGCTTTGCCAGAGCCAGTTCCGCGACGTCTCCCCAAAGTTAACATTTTGTTTAGTACATTTAGGTTTGAATCGGTGTATAACAGTCTTATTTTCCTACCTTTCTGTGTACATCTTGTTCTCATGGCTTGGGGTGAGGTTCAACATGACGCTCCTCAACAAGACCATGAAGCGAGATGGCGCCCGTTAACCCGTCGCTCGATGGCAGGGCACCCAGGGTTGTGGAGCGGGCAATGTGGCGGCCCGTGCAATGCTTGACTGCGGGTGGTTAGCGCAGACGCACAGACAGTAGCTAATATGGACGAGCCGCGGGCGCTATCCTCAACCCATCACTATCCATATCGCATGCAGCGTGCCGCCCAGCCACTTGAAGGCACCCTCGCCGCCGCCAAATCCTTCTCGCTGTCTATCACCGCCATGTGGCCCATATTTTCATGACCCTTGCCGACCAAGTAATGTCGGTCTCGTGTCCACAGCCAGAGCCCCCGGGCAATGTCCGATATGGCCCCCCCAGCCAGCATTGCCAGGTGTAGCCGATCGCTGTCATTGAATCATCTTTTCCACAGTTATGAGTGCTTTTTGCCCGTTCCATCGCGTCAAGGGTCAGTCTTAGCATCAGATGTACCCACAATGGTCATGAAGTCAACGAGTGGCTTCTCAGCTGGACCTCTGAAAGTGATTAGGTCAAGCCCACGCAATATTTCTCCTTCAATTAAGCGGGAGGTGTGTCTTATATCGAATGATCATGTTTTAGGGGAAGGGGACTCTGTCCCATTGCTGCTCAGTCTTCGCTTCTCTCGCTTACCTCAAAGGACATTGAAGATCATTTTAATCCCCGGCCTGCTACCCTCGTTGAAATCAATACCGGGCCATTTCTTTCAATCATTTTTCGTGATCTGATCCCAACATCATGGGTCCTACGTTCTTTCGGTCAGGGCTAACATCTCTGCTTTCTATATCTTCTGTACGACATGCTTAATTCTCCGCAGCCAACGCACCAATGATCGCTGACTCAATTGGACGCAGGTATGCCTATCTTATGCCGCTGATGTTCAGAAGCGGGATTTAGTAGCCCCAGCCTCACCGGTGGCCAACTGGACGTTTACAGGATGCTACACGTTTGGATTCCCGAAATTCCAATGATTGCTACAGGCACTAATTCTTAGTGGATAGCGACCAAGTTGGGCAGCGCACATTGACTGGAGGTGCTGAGGCTACCAACGCGATGACAAACACTCAATGTATTCAGTTCTGTGCTGCCAAGGGATTCTACTATGCAGGGACGGAGTACTCTGCCGAATGCTGTAAGTATCTATGTGCGCCCCGAAGATAGTTCCAGCGCTTCTCGGAATTTAGTCGGAATGAGAGCTGACTTTGGTGCTCCACGGCAGACTGCGGGAACTCATTTATGAATGGAGGCACAATCGCAAACGTGGACGATTGCAACATGGCATGCAACGGTATGCATTTTCCTTGCCTCCTCACTCCAGAATCTCATCTGACTTTGGAAAGGCAATGCAAATGAGCCCTGCGGTGGCCCTAACAGGCGTAAGAGGCACCTTTCAACTGATAGCGCAAAAAATAACGCTTATTGAACAGTGACCGTATACAACACCACCATACCTCCTGGGCCTGTTGGGCCTTTTATCAATCCGGGGGTCAATGGTTTCCGAACCCTTGGGTGCTATAGGTATGTGGTCATTATCAGCCTTATCCTCAATCTATCTCCAGCGTTCTCCCTGGCGCACGAGAGTCTCACGTTATGCTCTCACCGCCATGCCTCTGAATTTCACATCCCGAAGATCTGGATGTGGAAGGAAGATATTTACGAGATTGTATCCGCGGGTGAGAATTCAATAAACAACGCGACAGGAAATCCTCCAATCATAAGCACCAGCAGCCGCAGCAAATCCTTCTTCTTCTAGACTCGCCTACTCACAGTTACTCTCAGCTGACAATCAGTCTAGCGACTCGGTTCAAGCTCGTACTCTTCCCATTGGCGTGCAAACCGCTGGTGGTCCGGGATCGATGACCGTTGCACTCTGCATTTCAGCCTGCGCTGCCGGAAACTACTTGTATGCCGGCTTGGAATACGCACAAGAGTGCTGTGAGCTGCCCCTCCTTTCGTTTAGATCTTTGCGCTGCATTGTTCTCTTCGAGTATGTTATCACCCACGGTCATTTTCTCACTATTTCTTCTAGATTGCAGCAATGCTATTTCTAATGATGGTGCTCCAGCGCCTATTGGTGACTGCGACATGGTATGAAACTTCCTCCCCTACGGTTGACTTATTTATCTCCTGAGTGTTAATATTTTCAGGTCTGTAATGGTAATTCCTCGGAATTTTGCGGTGCAGGCAATAGGTAAATTTTTCCGTGCTCCACTCTAGGGAATCTCAGCTCCTTACTTTAGGAATAGGTTAAACGTGTACACGACCCGACAGGCACCAGATGGGTGGTCTTCGCTCGGCTGCTACACTGATGGTGTTAATGGGCGAACTCTGACTACGCGAGAATTCCCTTCCGGAGGTTTGACTACTGAATCCTGCCTTGCGGCTTGCAAGACTGCAGGTTTTGCTTATGCTGGCACCGAGTATGCCGGAGAGTGCTACTGCGGAAACTCATTCGCTAATGGCGGCGGTCCTGCCCCTGATGGCAATGCAGGATGCAATATGGCTTGTAACGGCAATGCGCAGGTAGGCCTTTCCATCTTTTTCAAAGATTCTCTTCTGACTGTGTTAGGAAACGTGCGGTGGACCCAATAGGTAGATCACTTGTTTGCTTTTACCTAGCAATTTCTGACTGTGATAGACTGAATGTATACCAGTACGGAGATGGACCAGTATCCAGCAGCAGTGCTTCAGCTGCCGTTTCTACCACTGCAACGTCCAGCAGCGTCCCCTCGCCTACCTCACTTCCTCCTGGGTGGTCTTATCAAGGATGCTGGATCGATAATGCTAATGGACGTGTCATGAACAACGGACAAGCCGACAACAACAAAATGACTGTGGAGTCTTGTATTGCGACCTGTAGCAGTCTTGGTTATTCTGTGGCTGGCATGGAATACAGCGTGCAATGCTTCTGCGACAACTTCCTGCGAAACGCTGCCACCAACACATCGGATTCGGACTGTAGTATGACCTGCGGTGGAAATTCTGCCGAGAAGTGTGGTGCGGGAAACAGGCTGAGGCGCGTAGCAAATGTAACACTTTTGAAGCTATTCTAACTCATATTTTTAGCGTTTATTCAAATTCCAGCTTAGCGGTCCTTCCAGTACCTTCCGTCCAGAAAACCAACCTGACCGGGAGTTGGACATACGCTGGCTGCCTTACCGACGACGCGCAAACCAGAGCCCTCCCGTATCAGATCATCCTAAATAACAATAACACAGCAAATAACTGCATTTCACAATGTTCTGCATTTGGGTATAATGCCGGCGGTATGGAATACGGAAACGAGTGTTGTAAGTGGCGCTAAACATTTTCTCTGCATACACGCCTCTTACTTTCTTCAGACTGTGGTGATGTTGCTGATACTCAAGCCGTTGGCGCAACTTATGTATCGGAATCGCAATGCCAGTTCGCCTGCAGTGGAAATGCCACGACCATTTGTGGAGGAGCCCGCCGCCTTTCCTTCTACACCTGGAACGGCACAGCCTTAACTACATGGAACTATGCCTCAGGAAACGCCGCGGGAGCCTACCAATTCCTCATTGGAGGCGTGATTGTTCCATTGGTAACTCAGGCGGCTCGAAATGGCAAGGTGACCTTCATGGAGAAGTGGGGCACTGGCCCACCCAACACAACGGGGGCCTATGAACTTGACATTGCACAGCTAGATAACTTTACTGCTGCTTGGAGGCCAATGCACGTCAAGACGGATATCTTCTGTTCCAGTTCCTTGACACTTCCTGATAAGGCTGGTCGGCAAATTAATATCGGCGGATGGGCTCTGGATTCAACATTTGGCATTCGACTGTATTGGCCCGATGGTTCTCCTGGCGTCTGGGGTACGAATGACTGGCATGAGAACGTGCAGCAAGTGTCACTTCAAGCTGGTCGGTGGTATCCAACCGCTATGATTATGCCGAACGGCTCCATTCTCGTTGTTGGCGGCGAGCAAGGTTCTAACGGTGCTCCTACTCCTTCCCTTGAAATTCTTCCAACCGTCGGGCCTGTGTTGTTCTGCGACTGGCTGAATCGAACTGATCCAAACAACTTGTACCCATACCTCGCCGTCCTTCCCACTGGTGGAGTTTTCGTGGCGTATTACAATGAGGCTCGGATTCTGGACGAAGGAACATTGCAGACTACCAAGGTGCTCCCTAATATGCCGGGCGCTGTTAATAATTTTCTTGCTGGACGTACTTACCCTATGGAAGGCACTGCTGTTCTCCTTCCTCAGTCGGCGCCCTACACTGATCCACTGAAGATCATGATTTGCGGTGGCTCCACTCCATACCAGGGTTTTGCGCTTGACAACTGTGTTACCATTGCACCTGAAGTTGAAAATGCGACTTGGACACTTGAGCGAATGGTAAAGTTTTCATCGTGCAAGATTGAAACTTCCAAGGGCTAACAATACTTCAGCCATCAAAACGAGTGCTCACGTGCATGACTGCCCTTGCAGATGGGACCTATATCATTATAAACGGGGGTCATCAAGGTTTTGGTGGTTTCGGCCTTTGCACTGATCCCAATCTCAACGCAGTCTTGTATGATCCCAGTAGGCCTCTCAACAACCGCTTCACTGTCATGGCCAATACTACCGTCGCTCGGCTCTATCACTCTGAGGCTATCCTAATGGATGACGGACGTGTTCTTGTGTCAGGCTCAGATCCCGAAGACGATCGATACCCTCAGGAGTATCGTGTCGAGGTCTTTGTCCCTCCATACTTAATGGGCAATCCAACCCGTCCAACTATAAATATGTCCAATTCGCAAAAGGACTGGGCCTATGGCCAAGGGTACACGTTTACTTCGTCACAAACCATCTCCAAGGTTACCCTTCTTGGTGCAGGATCGTCAACACATGGTAACTCCATCGGGCAGAGGACTATTATCCCGGCCTTTTCCTGTACTGGCGGATCATGCACGGTTACGGCACCTCCAAACGCACACGTCTGCCCGCCAGGTTGGTTCCAGATGTTTGCTCTAAATTCAAACGGTACGCCTGGCATGGCTCAATGGGTTAGGATTGGCGGCGACCCTGCTAAGCTTGGCAACTGGCCACCCGGTGGGGGCTTTCAGTTACCTGGCATTTAGTCGTTATCACTTGTTCATACAACTTTCTTTTGTTCATAGTTCTAATATTTTGTTTCTAATGCGTATATTGAGATAGCTTTCTTCCTGGTATCAGACTTTATAGCATTTTTAAGCGATCTAATTGGCAGTTGTGGAGGAGACAAGTGTTTGTGTATGTCATTCTTACTCGCCTGTAAGGTTCTTTGTATTTACAATCTGAGCTTGAAATCGTTGTATCATTGTCAACTTGGTCATATGCGCCTTCCAGTCCCATTCGTAAGCCTTGCGGACTCTGGTGCTCTTCTGTGTAACTGATTCTCCTCTCCGTGCTTGGCACTTCATGTCTTGAAATCTCACACTATGGCGTGAGATCGCCAAATCTAATATCTCTCACGAGAACGACGCAGGGAAAAGGGGTGTTGGCGGGGAATATGCAGTGGCTCTCATGACATGAGGGTAGATCCGATACACAATTTCCTGACCGACCTCCAAAGAGAGCTGTAAGCCACATGACTACGCTGCATGTGCATATGTGTGTTTCAATCTCTTCGTTCACGGTGGAGATTGATTGCTTCTGTATTGAAACCTGCAGGCCGTCTTCACGGGGGCAGACATGCAACAAGGGACAAGACAGGGTTGTGCATCGGACCGGCGACACCGCAGCGTCAAGGACCCGAAACCCGGCATCTGGTTGTAAGGGTGGATGCTATATGATGGATTACATCAATCAATACTTTTGTGGGGTCAAGGTCTGTCGTGTGTGACCTAAACCAGTGAATGATGGATGTCAGACCGCAATTGCCTGTAGACGCGTATGCTCAACTTCTTGTGAAGAATGGGAAGTTGAGGCTAGCTGAACTCTAATGCAAGGCGAGAAATGTGACAGATAGCATGTCAGGGCGCCGAAAAAAAAAGCCGAGAGGGGTGAAGCCAGAATGTGGCGTGCTTCCGAGTGGCTTTTCTGGCTTGTTTAGCGCCCGCTGCCCTTCATGATGTGCTGTTCATCCGCCCCTTTTCGAAATCCATCCACGCGAGTCATCGTTAATAATACTCATCGTCTGAGTGGCAAAGACTGTGCTTGCGCCGTTCCCGGAGCGAACGTTTGCGTGGGAGAAATTTTAGTGTGGGAGTCGGAACGAGTTGTGGAGGGGCTAGTAAGCTTGTGTTGACCTCGTCCACGAGGTTATTCTAACCTCATTATTGGTATAATATTCTTAGATGTAGTGGTGTTTCACTGCAGACTTCTTGTGTGTGTGGAGATTGAGAGTTGGTGATGTGTTGATGCGGTGCGAAGGTGTTGCTGCTGTTGTGCTTAGACCCTTGCTGTGGGTCGTTGTGCACAACTTTTTCATAGCCGAATTATGCAACTCCTCTTTCGCCTTCCCCAGCCCCAACTCTATTCATCCTCTATCTTGTAACCAACACGTTGGTGTGTCATCAAAGGGCCCAGCAATACTTCGCTCTTACTCTGTGGCCCAAATATCCACGTGTGACTTAACCATGCACTCTTTATCGAAAGCATTCTCCATAGGGCTACACGGCTTGTCCGAGACTCTCATCACGAACCCCGACCATTTGAACTCCGCCCTCAATAGCAACCTATACCCAGAGCCTGGACTAAAGCCGTCCGAATACTTCATCCCAAGGTACGGGGGACTTATTCCCAACCCCCACACGAGGGACATGGTTTGGCGACTGCTATCATCGTCAGTGCGCTGCATCTGCAGGTCTTAGGAATCCTCGGCATCGAATGATGCCGAAAATCTAGACGCAACCCGGTTCTTTGGATCTCATCTACTTGTGGAGCGGAGTACAGTGTGCGCGAGGCTTGATACGAGGGAGCTGAAGACGGCGATGAGGTCTGTGTGACGGTGTATGCGGTGCCGCATGTGGAAAACGGTTGCATGCGGGTTTTTGTTTTGAGAGAGTACTGATTCAAGAATGGAAACGGACTTGAGGTGTGCGCTAGCTTGTGATGCCGAAGAGGGAGTGATACGAGATGGAGCATGAAGGAGTTAGCCGATCTGATACGATAACAGGACCACATGGATCCAAGTTGAATTCTTCTGCATGAGGTTGAGACATTTGCTACCTACACTCGAGCTACAATTCCTTCCCGAACAGGAGCCTCTACTAGCATGCCAAATTGAGACGAATTGTACTTGTTGAAATGGATTTCGATCCAGATTTGTAGGCGACATAAGCATTAAGTCATCCGATGGTCTGGCATCTCGAAATGGACGGAATCGGGAGTAACACTCAAGTGCATGCCTGATCGGTGTCTTCTTCGAAGGCAAGCACAACAAAGTCGAAGACAATCTCAGAATGTTCAGGTGTACGAACTTTTCTCCTTAACATCGCATCTACATTGGCGACTGTGATTATATCGTGCAAGATCTCCTCCTGTCTAGAGGAGTGACGGGCTCAATTATTATCCTCGAGTCACCATTTACGATAGGTCAGTGATTCAATATTGAATTACTCTGAGCAGTTAGTCCTAACTATCCAATATTAGGTGTTATCTGATATGCTACTCCCAAGGTGGGTTGAGTGAGACTGGAAGTAGAGTCTACAATTCACAACATCTAACATAGTCTTAAGGCGAGACCTGGCAGTCTTGAGGGTTCGGGGAGTATCAACGAAGCTGAAAGATATGGCGACCTTCTCCGTGAAAGTGCTCATGTTCTCTCACTTCAACCCCGACCGCAAATTCCTGTTGTTATTCGACATGGGGCGAAGCAGTGAATAGGAACAAGCCTTGCGTGGTCACAGACGCTCTCTACATTCTCAAGGTTTCGGAATGACCTCAATGCCGACCAAAAATCTGCCTTTAACTCCCCAATACAAGGCTGCGAAACCTGCTTGTTATTTTGGCTTGGATCCTTTGGATCTAGAAAGTCCAGGACGTTCAATGCTCTCCTGTTTGCAGTAGTCGCGCATGCCTCACACGATAGTCACATGTTGCCAAGACTTACCCCTTTCTTGCCTATATAGACCACTAGGTACAATACTCTAGCAATCAATCCAGTTCCTCATATATCGGGTGCTCCCAATAGCTTCACACATTCTCATCGCATTCACGCTCTTAGATCTTCCGATCCTTTTGCTTGCTTTCAACAACGAAACTATCAACATCCTACCCAAGCGCATCCCGGTTCTGTAATAAGACTTGGACGACCAGATTTTCACGATTGAATAACACGGCTCTACTCCAACGCGACCGAGAAAGTACTGTCCAGGGCTGTCGAAGCTGCGGTACGCCCTAACATCATGACCGAGTCCGAGGGTCAACCCAACGAGGCCTCGGACATGCTCAATCTTGCGACGATGCCCCACAATATCGATGAATACTGTGGAGCATTTCCGCATGGTCCATCCGTAGGCGAATATCTACAAGAACGACAAGAACGCACGCTATATTTGTACACAAACCGCGCGTATCGTCCGTCATGGTTAGGACTACACCTCAGTATGGAGAGGAAAGTGACATCCGGAGCTTTGATACCAGCTAAGACAGTGCACAAATAATACAACCTCATAGGGCATGAATCTTACGCAATCGGGGTTACCTTCAACGAGACCAGCAACATCGGAGAGCATACCACCGTTGTACCACTTGCCGACCAACGCCCTAAGGGTGGGCATGGGGAAGGGTTGATCTAGCTCACCCCAACTACCTTCTCTGCTCCGGGTGCTAAACTTTTGTCAAATGTCTTCGAGTGCGCCGTCATGGAACGGTGGTTGGGTGCTGCAGCTTCACTGCTCCGGGGTCAACACTTTCAAGTTGGTGCAGAATTACCGACAGACTCAATTATTCCGCCTGAAAAACACAGTCTTCTATTAAGGGAGCATGCAGCTCGCTCTAGAATATCCAAATCACCAAATGTGCGTCATCTACGATGTCCTCACCCGAGGCTTCTCGAACCTAGGCTTCTGTTGCGGCATATTCAGTAATCACCTTAAGCACCGCATATCCTTTACTGATATAGTCTCGGAGGGCTTCAAAGACACCACATACAGTTTCCTCCCTAACCCGTGAGCAGTTAAGGTCATATGTGAAGCTAAGAGGAGCACCAGAGGCATGAGGAACTGGATTCAATTGCTAAAGGAGGGCAACTACGGGTTTATATAGTACTAGATGAACCCATCATGTGACTTAAGGCCACCAATAGCTCTAGGCTGCAGCAGGTGGCGTGGCTAGGCAGCAGTAGGCCAAAGGAGTGTAGGTGGCTAGAGCATGGAGAGCTCCGTAACTGCAAACATCATACCTAAGTTGACGAAAGTCTTCCGCAAGTTACCCTTCCCCACGAACGAGGAGATACACATCATCTCATTCTATGCTCACGATACGGACATGATCCTGATCCGTATTAACGCAAAAGGCATTCACGATAGTCTCAAGGTCGATACCATAGTCTCGGACCAAGACAGTGAGGCGAGTCGATGCTCATCAAAGTACTTGGAGGAGCACGATATATACCATAAATTGACTAGTTCATGATCAAGCTTTGCACGTGATAGGAATTATTCTATTTTCTCCCCCTAGAGTTGTAATTTGGGCCCTGTAATTGTTCTCACTTTGATAATGTTGCACTTGGACATGTCAGAGAATAGAAATATAACAGATCTAATTTGACAAACTGCTTACCAGTAGCTGAAAGAGCGCTACAAGCTTGCTAGTTTCTGTCCTTTATCAGATTTCAGAAACTGGAGATGGGTGCAGAGGATAATTCCGGTGGATCTGATTGATCCGGACAAATGAAGGGGGTTTGGTCAGTTGGGAGAGTGACCCTTGAGTCGAGTGGGAAATTTCAAGGAAGATTTGAGTGAATAGCTATGAGATAGCGAGTGATTGTATTGTTATCAATTGGTGACTGAGGAATGCCTCTGCGTAGTACTCTGGGGACAAAGAAAATAGCTGTGACTTCGAGCAGTTATGGAAACTGAATGAGCGTTCAAGAGAGTCACGTTTCTTCTGTTCCTCCCAACAAAAGCCAAACAATGAGCGAAATTCTTAAGCACCTCCAACCAGGATGCTGGCCTCCTTCCACACCTTCTCGAGAGCATCCTCCGGTATCTGATCAATCAGCCATCCTCGCGCTTTTTCGACAATCAGCTCCCATGTGTCCTCTTCACTAGCCATCTTCTTCTCGAGGAACAACACAACAATGGCTGTAGCTAAGATGATCACAATAGACTCCTCACCTAAGCCGGTATTCGCCGACATTAACTTAGGAACAGCGGCTCGAGCTGCATCGCGATCAATCCCCATAGTATCGCACGGCAGCTGCTCCCTAGACCATGATCCTTCAAAAGACTGCCTGCTGATTAGACGTAAGAGTAGCTCCTCTTTACTCAAAGCTTTCTCTTCCTTACCCCTGCCAGACGCCTGCCGTTTGATAATGGCAGGAGCAGTTGCAGAGCTAATTGTGGGACCATCATCGAAGAGACCAAAACCCATATCCTCATCACTTTCATCACACTCTTCCTCGACTTTAGCTTCTCTATCTAAAAATCTATTAGCACCAATCTTTCTTCGCTTCTTGCTTGAGGCGGTATGGAGGACTGAAGGCGTAGCAGAACTAAACCTTGGGGTCGCTTTACCCCTCTGTCGTTGGGACATTACAGGAGCTGAAGGAGCTGACTTGCGGGCTGCTTTGCTGGCAAGCTGCATACGGGGAGCCTTTCCACCAGTTGACTTACGGGCAGTCTGCCTAGTGCGAGCTCCTGAGCGAGTACTTGTACCTGCACATTTTATAAGCAATTGTCTTGTCCTGTCTGGTGTGCGTCTTTGAGAGCGAGGAATGGAAATTTTAAGACGTCTTTTCCCCAATACCTGCCGAGACATACCTACGCCGCTCCTAGTTTCCGCCATGTCTCCGCTCGGGAAGCCCGTGAATGCACTTACAGACAAAGGAGAAACAGACCCTCGACCGCCCCGCCAGCCCCCGCCAGTCCAGCCACTTCGAGTACTTCCGCTACCTCTACCACCAGTTTGGTTCCGTAAAGCAGAGGCAACTTTGAGACTGCCTGAACCAACAGGTGACGCATATAACGGGAGATCGTACTTACTAGCAGACTTGACCTCGGGATACAAGTCATCCTGGTCAATCATCTCAAAGTCCTCAGTTTCGTCATTGTCATCGCCAGGCAGAGTTCGGTCGACTGTCTTTGCTAAGGCATTCTTTCGCTTCTCAGCGATTTCAGCGTCGTCGGCTTCGATAGCAACGAAGGAGCAGTACTTCCCACCAACTTGGAATTCAACACCCAGTCGAACAGCCTCTCGTTTCTGGAGCAGCGCAAATTGTGCTGGATACTTGTCTTTAATAAATGCGCCCGCATCCGTCTTCAATTCACAAACCCAACCACGGCCTTCTTCAAGCTCTTGAGTGGCTTTTCGAGCAGCCAACTGATGTATCATTTCTCCAGGCTCTTTGCGTATTTCAACTTGGATTTCGAGTTCGAGAGGCCCCTCGGGTGACGTGCCCTTGAGAATAACGCTCTTCGGTACTTGTCTAGAAGCCTCCGGAGACAGGAGCAGGTAGACGCAGGTTCGGTTGAACGGGTAAAGCGGCGGAATTTTATGCGGAGTTTGAAGAATCTTTGGTCGGCCAAATTTAGGGAGGCCAGCAAAGATGTCCTGGGGCTCGTTTTCTTTGGGATGTTCTTCCTTGGAGTCGGGATCATAGAGTGATATGGGCTTGTTGCGGAGCGGGTACCGACCTTCCACTTGACTCTCCTTCCCCTTGGCCATACTAATACCACGTTCGCGGTCTACTTCAAAATTAAGCTTCAGGCGAAGAGAGTCCACAACTGAATCCACAGTATCATCCTCATACTTGACCTCTAAATGGTAATCACTGATGTGAGGTGTCAGTGCTCCCTTTAGCATGCGGACGATCTTGCCATCCAGTTTCTCCTTGTTGCCAACCATCTGAGCGAATCCCCTGCCGGCTCTGGCAATACCCTCGATGAGCGAACTTGACACACCACCTCCGATACCGATTGGAAATACCCGGACCTTGCCGTCTTTGGTCTCATTTTCGATATATTGGAACATTTGATCTTGTGACCAGATATCTCCATCAGTCAAGAGCATGAGCTCTGTGGTAATCCCCTTGAGGCGACCCTCAACAGCAGCTTTCACGGCCTGGAAAGTTTCGGTCCCGCCAAAGTTCGCGTCGAATTTGCTAACGTACTTCATGGCGCGATTAAGGGTATCTTTCCCATACAGCTGACTCTTTGGCCACAGAAATTCGTAGCTTGAACCAAAAGAGCAGATATTGAACATGACACCAATAGGTAGTGACTTCAAAAAGACCTGGAGAGCAGATATAAGGGTTGCTACATTCCCTGACATCGATCCTGACCGATCCGCAATGAAGATAATCTCCGGCTTGTGGGGTTTGAGCGAAAACTTGGGAACTAGGGTCGCCATGAGTGCGCTCTGGTTAGGCAAGGTCGGGTGCACTTCAAGAATTGCTTGAGGTATGCCAACATCCTTCGCAACAATCTGGAGGACGAAGTCCTTTTCAAGTTCGGCAGTGCCAAGTGCGAGCGTGGCAGAGGCTTGGGATGTGGACGGCTCCTCATCGACAGTGTTAGTCGACAGTGAACCGAGTGACACCTCAATAGGGTGAGACGGTGATATAACTTTCTTGATTGGAACACCTTCGGCCATGCAGATATCGACCGTAATTGAGATACCTCTAGAATGATAGGCGGAAAATGATTCCATTAGCTGGCTCGGGTACGATCCATACCGAGGGGCGATAGACGTCGGCATGTTCAGACGGATGCCATCGACTTCGGCATCGTGCTTCAGCTCCTGAATGTATCTGATGGTGATGAGAACCTCGCTACCCTCTGGGATGTTGCTGACTGAAGTTGTGAAGACGTCCGCGGCATCAGGGAGTTGTTCCAAGAGCGCGGCATTTCCGCCTCGCTCTTTGGTTTTTTCATATTGTTTTCGTGCCTCACCCTTCTCTTTTACGAGACCGAAGATGCTACGTTCGCCAATCTGGCACTTGAATTCGACTACACTGACGCCGTCAAAGAGTGGAAAAGTGTACCTGGAAACGTTAGCAGAGGAAACCAGCTAGCCATGATAGACCTTTGCCCAGTCTCATATTATCCTACATAGCATGCAAAATGAGAAGCGCAGCGGCTTGGTGATAAATAAAAGAGTTAGTAGGATACTCACCGCACTTCGCCGAGAGGCTTGTCCTTGGATGGATTGAAGAATGTCTGCCTGAGAACTGTGCTCGAGGCGGTAGAGAGAATGGTAGTGTGAACGTCAAGCTTCACCTGAGGCAGGTACGTACGGCGTAAGACATCTTCGACTGTATCGATATAATAACATCCACAGATGTGGGGAGAGGACTGATAGGCCATTGGATGTATAGAATTGGTGGTGCAATTCCTTGAAGAATGTTTAATGATATGAAAGATGAAAGAAGTTTGAACGCAGAAGGGTGGAAGGCAGTCCTTTTATATTGCAGGGGGATTGTTGCCTGCGGGGTTAAGGTCAATCTTCCCCTATGCCAAGGAATATTCTTGGTGGGTGGGTGGGAAGACGTACGGCGTAGGTGAGTCACAAACCCAAATGGCGTAAATACAGAAACACCAATCCCGTTAATAAGATAAAATAACGTGTTAAGATAAAGAAATGGATCCTTCACGTGATTTGATTTACCCCCACTTGTGCATCCATTTCCGCTGGAAAGCAAATATTCCCATCTCCTCACCAGGCCTGTTAGCTATTGCACAATTTTCCAGTCCTTGTCTAAGTCGGTCACGAAACCTCAGATACACACCCCTGCGGTCTGTGGGCACCCCAGGTAGTCCCACACGGCAAGGATGTGAGGCTTCACTAACGGCTAGAAAATATTTGATAGAAACAGCTTCTCCTTGAGCACCCATTCCGCCTGGGGGAAGGCCCGAACACGAATGCATGAACCCTCTCATATCTCCAGAACTTGCGTCCATGCTTCCAACACAGGGAAGTTGAACGGATCTTGCCCTGGAGACCTCTTCCGCACAGTCGGCGATGTGATTCGCAAATGGTGGTCGGTCTAGCATAATTCGCTAGATTGCTGGCAGCTTCTTGGATTTGATACCCTACTTCAGGGACATCGTTGAGGATCTGGTCGGTACGATGAAGTACTGAACATCTGTCCATACAAACTGGAAGTCCAATATCTGCCTCAAAAACGCACTTTTCTGGTATTATGTTGACTTCGACGTCCCCCTGAATCTTTCCAATATCCATCGCGGGCCTTAGCAAGATATTACCTGCACCCGAACCCATAATCTCATCGGCAACTCTGAGAACTGCAGGGGAGTCGACGTGTTTCCGTGCTTGTCTGGTAGATCCGGTGTCATATTCTCGATATCCAGGAGTTTCGTAATAAGCTGTGACGCGATGATGCTGGAAACACGACTCATGGGTTTGTATGCGCTACTAGCCCTAGGAACTTGCACTGTATATGTTATTCGGAGAGTTCCTTTTTCACCAAGCGAATCGACTGAAGTCCGCCAGGTTCTCCATTGATAACACAGTCACCTTTCTAGGGAGATAGGCCACCCCTATTTTCTAAGAGATATAGAGTACCCCTCTTTCCACCGGCCTCTTCATCGGAGACTGCTGTCGAGGCCACACTTCTTTGGATTACTGTAGATCATTTCTGCAGTAGCGTAAATGCGATGACCGAGGCAGCCATTCCGGCCTTTATATCAACCGTAAGTGGTTTTACCGTCATTAAATCTAGAATAGGGACCTCTCCACCATTCATCTGGGCTCTCAGGGCCTTGCTTACAGTAACTTAGAGGGATGTAGGGAGTGTCTCATAGAGGTAAGCGCTGAGGCATATAGCATGCTAGCGGATTGCAGTCGGCTATGTTGCCTCCTAAGGCTACGGTGTCGCCATAACGCCTCAGACGCACTTGACAACGCGCCTGGGTACTAGCAAGTTGATTAGCGTCTAAAGCAAACGTTTGCGTACGATATATTGTGTTGATTCCAAAAATTTGGGTTCTCGTTGTCTTGTTTTTGATCTGATCGCCAGTAAATAAGGTTGTGCTTAACATTGGTTTTTGCAAAGCTCGAACCAATCAAGCGCATCGTCAAGCGCTAGCAGGGACCCCTGCAGCCACCCCCCAATCACACAACGCATCCAGAGTCTGATTTTAGTCCCTTTCCAATTTAAGATTCAAGCTATGAATAACCCCTACCAGGCCAAAACCGATCCCCACTGACGTCAGATCGTTCCTACATAAGGTGAACGAAGCGATCGAGCGCTTCACATCATTTCTTGCCAAGCATCCCGGAACTCTGCATCATCGCCATCTTTGCAGTGCTTATAGGCTATGCAGCTTTACTACCCCCTCAACATCGCTATTGCGAGCCAAGCGTAACTTGTGCATTAGAGCTCTAATAGGCTCGATAATTCCGCGCTTGGTGCTACCAAAGCAAACGATAAAAGGGCTCAGCAATTGTATAAATATACAAGCCAGCAGGTATTTTAGATTATGCAGCATAAGAAGTTGAAGACGTACAAGAAATATGCCCTGGCGGAGGTCGATGCTGATTTCTTATCCGCAAGTAAGACTGCAAAGGTCGATCGCTCCGCACATCTGGTACAACGCTGCTATCGCGTTTGTAACTATCAACGTTAGTCCAGTTCCTAGGATGCTGTTCTTAGGACCCGTTGTCCCCAGTCACGCGACCACATAACGCGGAACCGTGATCCCGGGGCCCAAAACGAAACTGTGCCCCGGAACTATCCTAGGATAGTAGAAGCCCTAGGAGGACTATCCTAGAACAGTAGGAATGCTAGGAGAACTATTGTAGGACAGCAGAAGTCCTGGGAAAACTATCCTAGGACACCATAGACCTTAGGATGAACCGTGCACTAGAACTCTGTTCCTGGGAGTGAACCAGCCTGAGGATTGGGCCGGAATTTTCGAGTGGTTTATATTCTAGCTTATCTGAATCTGAATCACGATCTACAGCTGGCCTCAATCATCTAAAGAAGGAAGCATGCATGATGCTTCAGGGCATATGGGATAGTAATTATAAGTAGCTAAGCTATTCATGTCTGAAAGATACCTAACGGTCCTAGTGTGCCTTGAATTTCTTCACTTTTGCTTGGGCTCCATGCTAACCTGAGCGGTTTCCCCTTTACAATATTTTCGTTCCTGGCCAATGCCTGCAAAATCATTTTTTGCGTTTCTAAGGTCCCTTCGATCTCATGGAGAGTTGGCTTCGAAGGCGCGCTCGGATGGGTTGTCGAAAGGGTCAAATTACCCTTAACATTGATTACTTTGTCTCTGTGCTTTTTCTGACGATGTCTGGAGCAATTTATTGGTTGACTTTTATTATGTCCAATAGATGCGTTCGGTGTCATGGTCGGCTCGAGTCTTCAGTCGGTTCTGGTTGGAGAAGTCGGTGGAAAGACTGGCTGTTTAAGTACATCACAATACATCGAGGCAGCAATATAACGACTGGCTTATCTAAAAGCGAAAATCGACCCCGTTTTGGTCTTCATATGAGGAAGCGCGAATGTGCTTGAAATAACGGCATACCTATATATATATATCAAGGATTACGTCCTCCGCGCTACGGAAACAAAGTACATTCTGCTAGACCAAACGGGGCTCTCTAGAAACTCCAGGTCCCGGATGGTCTCTTGACTGGTTTCGGAACCCAGTCACCGTGAACCATGGGTGCAATATAGTCACCTCAATCCACGTCAGTCGCTATGTCCATCTGATCGTGCCCAGGGACCCACGCCAGTTTCCGGGGAAATTATGCTCGGAAACCTGCAGGGATTGGTTCTGTCCTCCACAACTTTTCTCTGGAGCGTGGTTTGACACTGCCAAGCCCCCTACATCGAGATGAGCCGCACAAAGCTTTTTGGAGGGGTGACAGGCCGCCATTCATCCTTTTCGTTAAAGCATTCTTTCTCCTTTTGTTGTTTATATCGGCCAAGAGCAGCCAATGTCTCCGCTGCTGGCCAAGTGGTTGGTGAGTCTCCCTCCATCATGCGCTAAACGAAAGGTTCTGCCATTCGGTTGGCTCGGACGCCTTGGGATATACGTTTAGTATGTATGTCAATAGAGCCATTATCATTCTCTCGGTGAAAGTTGTGTTGTTCCTAGAGATATCAGCGAATGATGCACCCCAAGCGTAGACTTAGATCTTACATGTGAGTTTCGAGGCCTTTACTGCAAGTTACTATAATCCCGATTCCGAGGTGAGCTGCTAGAATAGATCCCCGTTTACCCAGCTTCTTACGATATTTCAGGCTCTCTCGGCGCTGCTCACTTACTCATAGACTAACCTGCTTGTGGTGGCGGCCGTACATTTCTTCTAGGATTACGTCTAGGACGACGCTGGATATATCCTTACCGTGGGAAAGTAAGTGTAGCAGGTTTGGATTATTTTGTATATCAATGCGTTTTTGCTCAAAATAATGGTAAAGAAAATCCCTCGCCATTCTAAGCCTAACTGGATCCGTGGCAGAGTCATGGTTAATCGTCTAGGCATGGCGGAGGCGCTTAGGGGAGGTCGGTACCAGAGGCCCTCCCGTCCCCATAAATGGCGAAAGGCCTTTATAAAGCTTACTGCATCTTGTCGAAGAAAAGAGGCACCGAGCTGAATGATCTCTCGTATATTGTTAAGCCCACGCTTAGAACTGCCTCCGTACAGGGAGTCTAGCCTCTTCACATCGCGAAGGTAACGAGTGGGCGGGGGCGACGATGCCGACCATGTATACATATTATCAAGTACTGGGCTCAGGCTCCAATTCGAGGAGGCTTGGGATGGTGATGCCGAAGAGCATTCGGTGTGACGCTCCGCTTGGGAGACCAGGGCAGAGGAGTAGTCTCCGCCACATTATCCATGTTATTGTTTGTCGGCTCGTTCGAGTCGGCAGCTGTATCACTCGCAGTCTCAGGCGTTGGGTGGGACATAGAGCAGCTTGCCGTCGGTGCCACGATGGCATCTTCACCGCGGTCTGGCACTTCCGTATCAACACTTGCAGCCTGCTCATGGGGAGATGGCTGATCTTCTAGTGTGGTATACATGGCAAAGAGGCCACGGCTATCGAGAGTTTCTGCAGTTGCTGACCGAGTAACTAAAATTATGGAGCGTGGTGATTGCGAGTGGTTCGCGAGGAAAGTGTTGGACGGCTCGACATTCTCTGCGACGTGTGAGTGATATGATGACTCCTGTGCGACTTAAAATATCTCCCAGGCAGATGGGCCGTGATCAACAAGCTGCCTGTGTGGCAGGAGCTTCGACCGGACATTGTCTAGATACTCAGGTTCCGCAACCGCGAGAAGGGACAGAAATGCTCTAACTGAGGAAATGAGCTACCGAGATTTAGTAAAATCGTTTTGTAGGGTGCTCCTCATACCTCTTCCTCCCTCATTCTAGTCCGAGCGTAGCTTAGAAGCGGGTCATTGTTATTAGAATCCTACTCGGTATTAGGTCTAGTCTTGTTGGAGTGACCTTACTCACCAGCAACACGTAGCGCATGGCGTTGTAAAGCGGTGATATTCAAGTTGGGTGGCAGGAAGAAGATGTAAGAATAAGACGATTTTTAATGGAGACTGTTGGCAGCACGAAAGCCAACCGCACTCCACTTGGATTTCTAACTTTGTCGATGGGCCTGAAGAGGCCCCTGTTAGGGACCGCATGACGCTTGACATCCCAGGTTCAAGGATAGTCCTTCCGCCGCTGCGGTTTGACCCAGTTCCGTTTTGAGCCCCTAGAAACTGAAAATTCGATAGGAGTGTGTAGTCTAGAGATGGACTTGACTGCGATCTTGTTTCGGGGCGGGCCAAGATGGCCAATGGGCCAATATTTTGACGAGTCAGAGATACCAGGTAGCCAGCCAAACTCCCAGCAAATCACTCCAACCACATCAATCCAGACTGAGCCGAAGAGCCCTGTGAGGAAGAAGACGAGAGGGGGAAGAGTTTTGTGATATTGCTGCTGGTTGATTTTCGATCAAAGTGGTGAATCTCCTTGCGGGACACGCTGTAATACGCATCCTATTTCCTTTTATCCCTGTGCAGAGTCATCAGGTACTATCTATCCACCATTGCATCGAAACAATACCATTACAGCTTGTTATTTCTCGGCGCACACCTTATTCGCACCTAATCTCGATTGTCGACGTCGTCGCGAGCTGTCTCATTTGTGTAACGCGTGCCCTGTGTTAGGGTGGCTACGCCTTAATGGGTCCCATTCTAGTCTCGCTGCGGTCACTCAAAGTTGCATTGCCTTCATCGCTTCGTGCCTCCAACAACTTTGTACAAAGGAAACGTTATTGCCATCAATAATACAAGATTTCACGGGTCGCTGATATCCACAGCCTCCATTTCTTCCCTTCCTAGCCAGGCCAGCCCTAATCAAAGTAAATCCACACATCAGCAAGAATATCATTCTGCCCCTTCACAAGGTCTTGTCCTTTATAACATTGAAATTTACTACTTGTCCACGACCACCTTACACTCTACTCGATTGTTGCATTAGATGCCAAAGAAAGATCTAAAACATACGTAACGGCCGATTCATGACTGTGCCTTATACCACTAGATTCGCCTGCATTGCGTCGCTTTCACCGTGTCTGCGGGTGTTCTGAACGCTTACTGGAACGTTTAGCCAGGAGTGTGTAATCCACAAGGTGCTCTATCAAACTATCAGATTCCTCAAGGCCCCCAGGTATTAGAGTTTTCATTCAGGGACGTCCAAGACTCCTGACTCATAGTGTAGGCCTCTGTCTCTGACACTGCAGTCACAAAGCTCGGAGCTGGGCTGGCGCCTGCGTCATTAGTCGGTGCCTCAGCTTCCACAGGATTTGTTCTCTCATTCGCCTGGCTAATTACCTCATCCCTCTTATCTTTGCACCAGTCCCTCGCGTTTCTGTACGCGCGGAGTCCGTCTCGACAGGTGTCTGGGGCGTCAGTCATCGCAGAGGATCGGAGCTGAGTCATATGGTACCCTGGACGGCCTCCAGGAGTGCGTGGCGGGGCTACGTGGCTGGTGTACATCTTGAGGTAGTCATCATGATATGTAGACGTTACAGTGTATGGTTTGTTGTCATAAACAGGTTCAGCTCTTCCATGTGACTAAAGGCTATGCATACCTCTCGCTCCTGATGCACCGTCGTAACAAGCTTATCGTTTAGCTACCGCGGCTAATCCATCCGGCCCCTTCGCTACTAGGAAGAAGTTTGGTGCCATGGGGAGATCGTGCTGCGTCAAAGGGATGATACGGCCGCCAGGCTCATCGCGGACTTCCCGCCTGAGCTGTTCTAGGTGGGTGCCGTAGTAGACATCCGGGTTGCCGAGCTTAAGAGTGCTGTCAGTCAGAGGGTCAAGGTTAGTGAACAGGATTCCTCCTAAGCAACATTTCGCACCCTTAATCTTGCCCTTAATAATAGGAACCACTAATTCCAACACTTATTTTTCTTTAGTGGCATGTGCATCTGCTCGTTTAGATTTTCTGAACTCCCCATCAGAAAATTGCAACAGTGAAAGAGACAGTTGAGGTTGTGCTAATATTTGTTTGAAATCCTCCTAGTTGTTTGGCTCAGCAGGTACACTACCATCAGAGTATTTGTATACATCAGGATAAATTGCGTTATCAACAAGGTGTTGTTGAAAGTCACGGTCATACACCCCAGTACTCTTTGTCGTATTGGTGGTGGGCTTAGTACTGGTGGTAGTTGCTGAACCCCGTAGTCGACTCCGAGAACTCGACCGGCTCGAAGAATGTATAGGTTCGGGGAACTAGAAAGCATCGTCAGCTTTGATAAAAGCTAAGTGTCTTGCAATACGTACGTCCTCACGTCCGACAGGTCTGGACCAGTGTGTCTAGTAAATGACTTTATGTGTTTCAAAATACTCAGCTTGCAGAAACAAAGATAGTCAGCTATGTGTTAAACAGTTTAGCAATTTTTCTTCCGCCTAGCAGCAAAGTTTAGAGTGACCGGCCGGCGGACTTGTTGTTGTGGTGAACAAGGTGGGCTTAGAGCAGCTTGAATGTTTCTTTAGTGTTAAATGGGCTCTGACAGCTAGCTGCTTATAGTATAAGCACTTAAGTAGCAAGAGTAAGAGTGGTGTACAGTGTGCACAGCGTATAAAGTAAGTAAAGTAAGAGTAACATGTTTCTAGTTCTATTACTCTTTTCTTTCCTCTGTACAGAGGAAAAGGGGGATATCTAGATGTTCACGCATAGAGGTTTACACATAAGCATTATGTAACAGAGATACGTAGTCCTACTTGTGCGCAATTACTTATATCTAGACTGTAACGCTGCTGCTGTGTACAGACACTAGCAACTTTTTTTTTTGTCTAAAAAGTTACTTTCTGTACATATTACTTTCTTTTTGTCTATGTAGGTCTATTTAATTACATTCTGCCTTTACTTTACCTTATTTATTAAGACTTACCTTAGTAATGCTGTACATTAAAATAGGCTAGTTACACTATATAAATAGCTTTATAAATAGTGTAAAGTGTTTTAAGCTATTATTATCTAGCCTTTATATGCTTACCTTATAAGTAATTTAGCAGTGTATAAACTATTTTATGTAGGGTTTTATACTAGAATAGTGTAGGATCTTTACATAAGCAGGTGCGTAGAGAGGTGTATATAATAAGGTTTTTTTTTTTTCTTTACTTTCTTTTCTTTATCCTTTACTTTCTAAGCCTTACTGTACTATTCCCTAGCTCTTTTCTTTTTTTATATAGTGCTAATAGTAATAGATACTCCTGCCTGCACACACACACACACACACACACACACACACACATAGAGAGAGAGAGAGAGAGAGAGAGATATCTCTCTAGCCTTCCTTTACCTCTAGCGCTGTTAGTGCGGGCGTCTTTAACATTCTTATGCAGTCTAGTAGCCTAGGGCGCATTTATGTTACTTTTCTAACTAGTTTTACTACTAATTAGTAGTTTATTTAGTGTTTTAGTATAAATATATAAATTTTTTAGCTCTTCTACTTCTTTCTTATATAAAATGCTAATTATAAATAGGCTAAGAAGTAGCATGTAGCAGCTTTACTATTTTATAATATTAATATTATCTTACTTACTAGCACTAATCTATAGCTGTAGGCAGTAAAGGTTGTGTGTTATAAAAAGTACTTTTATGTAGTTCTAGTTTAAAGTTATAGTTAAGTTCTAGTAACTTTATATACTTATTATTATAGTAGCACTACTAGTGCCTTTTTTTTTATTAAGTGTTATGTGTTAGCTAACTTCTAGGCTAATGCCTACACCTTATGTGTATAGTAAAGCTGTGGTCTGCATTATAACTACTATATGTAAGGGGTGGTAGCTTTTTCTTTTTTTATATACTAGATAAATAAACTATCTTTTTTACATATTTTTCTCTTTTAATTTTATAATAAGAAAAATAAGTGCGTATAATAAAAAAAATAAAAAAGATAAGCTTTATATAAAAGTGTTATTAGTCTAGTTAGTTTAGAGCATCTTTGCGCATAGAATCTAGCTAGTCTACAGATGCTTCTATCTAGACAGAGAGGCAGTTAGTTAGAACTAATAATTAAAAAGCTTAGTTTAGTGTTTTCTTTATACATATATTTACTAGGTTGTCTTTACTATTAATCTACTTTATCTTAGTAATTTCTCTTTTCTTATATAATTTATAGAGTAATATAATGTTAATTATAAGTTACTTTTTACTAGTAGTGCCTAGCTTAATAAAGTAATTATATAGAGACCTTAAATCTATGTAGATTATAAGGGCAATTACATTATTAAACTCTCTAACTATTCTATACAGTTTACTAGTAAGGACACTCCTAGTTACTCTTTTACACTTAGTAGAATTCTAGTGTATAATGTTGCCTAGTATTTTAAAGTAGTTGCTTTACTCTATATAGTTCTTATTTTTTAATATAATTAAAAATTCTAGCTATAAGCTAAGGTTTTTATTATTAGTAAATAATTTATCTATAAAGATAAACAGCTTTATATAATTAAGCTGTAATAGTAAAAAGGTAAGACTGTGCTTACTATTATCTATCTACTATTAAATTTATGTGTTAAGTGTGTTAATATTATTATGCAAAGAGTCTATAGTTTTGTCAGATTGAAGCACTGTTTCTAGGCTTCCTGAGATGAATGATGGGTTTGGATATGATGTATGGGATGATT